CCATTCTGCAAATGGTGCTGCACCAGTTGAGTAGTCCTCGACTTACGACCGGCTGAGTAGTCCTTGACTTATGACCGGTTGGGGGTCGCAGCATTAAAAAGGTTGAGAACCACTCAACCACCTTTACATCTGACCAATACATAATTAATATATATTATTATTAGTAATAATACCTCCAAATCACAAAGACACTGGCTTTATTCTTATTCTTCCCCTCCACAGTTGGAATATAAAGTATAAAAGACTAAAAAGAGATTTTCGTGGACATCCCAGCCTTCGAACTACCCAAGGAACCGAAACGCAAAGTTTCGCTGTCGGGCGAGCTTATTTATTTATTTAATTTTATTTATATGCCGCCCAATCCCAAAGGACTCAGGGCGGCGTACAAAATTAAAACAATCATCTAACAATAAAACAATAAAATAATACAATCATATCGCGAGTCCGATCATATCCCGCCCCCCCCCCCGGGGACATCAGCCCCAGGCCTGCCGGAACAGGAGAGTTTTAACGGCTTTCTCAAAGGCCGGCAGGGTGGGAGTAGTTCGAACCTCCGGGGGGGGAAGTTGATTCCACCAGGTTGGAGCCACCACAGAAAAGGCCCTTCCCTGAGGGCTTCCACGGCAGCTGCCTTTCTTTCCTCTCACTTCGCCTCTTTTTAACCTCACACACACACCCCACCTTCTGTAAGGGAAGGCAAAGAAGGTCTCCATGTTGATGCGTCTCCCACCGCCACCGTCGGTTTCCACACCGCGTGGTCCAACCCAGCCGATCAAGCCACACGCTCTGGCTGTGGTGCTCCAGTGCCTCATGGCTTTTCCTGGAGGAGGTGGACAGCGCCAGAGGGGATCCCGCTTGCACCGTACCACCAGCAGGGCATTTTCAAAAACAAACAAGGATAGGAAGGGAAACAGTAGGAAAAGAACGCAACTCTGGAAAATCCGTCGAACAAAGGTGCCGGAACTCTGCTCCGTTGCGTTCTATGACAAAAAAAAGCCCTGTATATTTATATATGTTTATCTAGAGATCATCCATCCACCCCATCCATCCATCATCTATCTCCCATCCATCCATTATCTATCTATCTATCTATCTATCTATCTATCTATCTATCTATCTATCTATCTATCTATCTATCTATCTATCTATCTATCATCCATCCACCCATTATCTATCTATTTATCTATCTATCTCCCATCCATCCACCCATTATCTATCTATCTATCTATCTATCTATCTATCTATCTATCTATCTATCTATCTATCTATCTATCTGTCTATCTATCATCCATCCACCCATTATCTATTTATCTATCTCCCATCCATCCACCCATTATCTATCTATCTATCTATCTATCTATCTATCTATCTATCTATCTATCTATCTATCTATCATCCATCCACCCATTATCTATTTATCTATCTCCCATCCATCCACCCCTTATCTATCTCTATCTATCTATCTATCTATCTATCTATCTATCTATCTATCTATCTATCTATCTATCTATCTATCTATCTATCTATCGTCTATCTATCATCTTTCTATCTCCCATCCATCCACCCATTATCTATCTATCTATCTATCTATCTATCTATCTATCTATCTATCTCCCATCCATCCATCCATCCATCCACCCTCTATCTATCTATCTATCTATCTATCTATCTATCTATCTATCTATCTATCTATCTATCTATCGTCTATCTATCATCTTTCTATCTCCCATCCATCCATCCACCCATTATCTATCTATCTATCTATCTATCTATCTATCTATCTATCTATCTATCTATCTATCTCCCATCCATCCATCCATCCATCCATCCATCCACCCTCTATCTATCTATCTATCTATCTATCTATCTATCTATCTATCTATCTATCTATCTATCTATCTATCTATCCTGGCTGAGGAATTCTGGGAATTGAAGTCCATCCATCTTCAAATCACCAAGGTTGAGAAGCACTGGGAGAGATGCTATAATAATTGGATATCTAAGGAAGCTAACATTATTATTCTCATTATTATTCTCATGAGATGCACACAACCCTGAAGCCTCCCTCACAACCATAGCTGTGTAAGGAGAACAAGGAATGTTTTTCCTTCACCAGCTATCTGAAAAGTCGGGACTCGTGTTCCAGTCCAGCTCCACCCTCCGGATTAGGGCTGAAGGAAACCTTGTAAAACAAGAGGCCTCCTTCACACATGCATCATTCAGCAGCCAGGTCTGCCCACAGCCAACGTTGTGTGTTTGCCTGCCTGCGTCGATGACAGGATCAATAATTGATCAATTAATTGATGCCAAGACAAACGAGATAAAGGAAGGATGTTAATAATTTAAACCTGTGCAGAGTAAAGTGCCTGGGAAGAGTTGGGTTGGGAATGGATTGTGTTTGTGTTCTGCCCAGCTGTAAGAACTGCAGGAAAACAGATGCAAAACTAAGAAAAGGGGCTTGTGTGTTGTCCTTGTCTCCCTCCCCACCCAGCCCCTGAGAACCTGGGAATTTGCAGTGTTCCCACATGTGTGTTTTGTCATTTCCTCTCTGGGCTTTGCCCCAGAGTATCCTTTGCACGAGTCGGATTATTTCCTTGTAAACCAATCCGATCCCGTGTGCTGTTCCCTCCAAAGCAGTGTTTCTCAACCTTGACAATTTTAAGGCATGTGGACTTCAACTCCCAGAATTCCACAGCCAGCAATGCTGGCTGTGGAATTCTGGGAGTTGAAGTCCACATGGCTTAAAATTGTCAAGGTTGAGAAACACTGCTCCAAAGGAACCGGTTACAGATGCCCACATCTCTCTAACCCTGTCCCAGAAACTTGTTTTTCCAGCAAGCGTGGCTTCTGTTTTTCTGCCTCTTGCTTAGGAAAATTGAAAATTTTGGTTGCTTTTATCCAGCAGCTTGCTTCTCCTGGAAATGTGGCTTCTGTTTTTCTGCCTCGTACTCAGGAAGGTTTGAGTTGAATAATAATAACAACAACAAAACAACGACAAAGTTGGAAGGGACATTGGAGGTCATCTAGTCCAACCCCCTGCTCAGGCAGGAAACCTTATACCATTTCAGACAAACGGCTGTCCGGTCTCTGTTGCATTTCACCAGCAAGTTATTTCCCTGGAAATGTGGCTTCTGTTTTTCTGCTTCTTGAGGTTGTCCTTGGTGCCCTCTGAACTTGGTTATTTTCTTGTAGACGTTTCATTACCCAAACTAGGTAACATCATCCGTGCTCATCCTAGCACGGATGATGTTACCTAGTTGGGTTATGAAAGGTCTGCTAGAAAACAACCAAGCTTCACACGGCAGCAAGGACTCCTCATTTCAACCCTGAGCCACAAAAAGTCTCCTTTTTTTGGGTTTCTGCCTCTTGGCCAGGAAAATTGACAATTTCTGTTGCGTTTCGCCAGCGGCGTGCTTCTCCTGGAAATGTGGCTTCTGTTTTTCCGCCTCTTGCTCAGGAAGGTTGAAAATTTTCTGTAATAAATAATAATAATAATTGTGGGCACTCCATCGCTGGAAGTGGAAGGGACCTTGGAGGTCATCTAGTCCAACCCCCTGCTCAGGCAGGAAACCCTATACCATTACAGACAACAAATGGCTGTCCGGTCTCTTCTTAAAAACTTCCAGTGTTGGAGCATTCACAAATTCTGGAGGCAAGGAGTTCCACTGGTTAATTGTTCTCACTGTCAGGAAGTTTCTTCTCAGTTCCAGGTTGCTTCTCTCCTGGATTAGTTTCCCTCCGTTGCTTCTTGGCCTGCCTTCTGGTGCTTTGGAGAATAGCTTGACTCCCTCTTCTTTGGGGCAGCCCCTGAGATACTGGAAGACTGCTATCCTGTCCCCCCTCGTCCTTCTCTTCATTAAACTAGACATACCCAATTCCAGCAATCGTTCTTTGTATGTTTTAGCCTCCAGTCCCCTAATCATCTCTGTTGCTCTTCTCTGCACTCTTTCTAGAGTCTCAACATCTTTTTTACATCGTGGTGACCAAAACTGGATGCCATATTCCAGGTGTGGCCTTACCAAGGCCTTGTAAAGTGGTATTAACACTTCACTTGATTCCATCCCTCGGTTAATGCAGCCCAGCACTGTGTTGGTCTTTTTGGCAACTGCAGCACACAGCTGGCTCCTATTTAAGGGATTGTCCACTAGGACTCCGAGGTCCCTCTCACAGTTACTATTATTGAGCAAGGTACCCCCCCCCTATACTATACCTATTGTGTTTACCAGGAGGACTTTTTCAAGATTTTGAAACTTTACGGCTGATGTAGGTGATGTTTTATTTTTACAAAGCTGATTGCAAAAGGCATAAACTTTAGATGGTTAATGCCAGAAGGGATTTTAACCAACTGGAATAACACGAGATACTGATTGGATTCAATCTGGAAAGCAGAAATTAACCAGTGGAACAACCTGCCTCCAGAAGAGATGAATAACCCTGGAAGTTTTTAAGAAGAGACTGGACAGCCATTTGTCCGAAATGGTATAGGGTTTCCTACCTGAGCAGGGGGTTGGACTAGATGACCTCCAAGGTCCCTTCCAACTTTATCATCATCATTATTATTAATAGAGCATTTCTAGATGAAGGAGTGCCACAACGACAAGAGGAAAAAACAAAAGCAAACGGAAGAGGCAGCTGAAGAAACACCTACACACTTAGCACAGAAAGAGAAATCTGAGCAAGAGAGTGAAGGAATGGCCAGAGAACAGAGAATCACACGATCTACTAGACCTGAATATAAATAACTGAAATAGAGAAAGGAAATAGAATTTTTTTTCAATGAATATAAACAGACTAAACTCCCCATCAAAAGAAGCAAAACATTTAGGAAACTACAGAAATGAAATACAGATATAATTTGTTTGCAAGAGACACACATAAAAAAAACCTAATATTATAAGCTGTTGGAATACCCCAAAATTGGGAAATTTTTATCACGCATCAGCGCAACAAAAGAAAAGAGGCGTTGCGGTTATATATTAAAGAGACAACAGATTCTAAAATGATTTATTCAGATGTTTTATTTTGTGCATTTTTCCACCTGCTAAAGCCAGTTCAAGAGTAATACATTAGTTCTTTTTTTTCTTTCTGGGATTGAAAGTCTGCGAAACAGCAGGACAAATGATAGCACATGTGCAAAAAGTCCTTGATTTACAACCATTTGTTTCGTGGCTGTTTCAAGATTGCAACGGCGCTGAAAACAGCGACTTAGGATCAGTCCTCACACTTATGGCAGTCGCAGCGTCCCCACGGTCACATGATCAAAATCCAGGCACTCGGCAACTGGCATGTAATTACGACAGTTGCCGCATCCCAGGTGTGTGTGTATGTGTGTCACGCAATTGCCATGTGTGATCTTGTCAGCCAGCTTCTGAAAAGCAAAGATAGAGAAGCTGGATTCATTTAATGACCAGATGATTTGCTTAGTGACCGCAACAATTTGTTTAAGGTTGTAAAAGTGGGCCTAACCCTTTTAATAACCGATTCCCTTAATAACTGCGTTGATTCGCTGGACAGTGGTGGCCAAAAAAGTCATAAAAATGGGCGTGGCTGACTTAATAATAATAATAATATTAATAAAGTTGGAAGGGACTTTGGAGGTCATCTAGTCCAACCCCCTGCTTAAAGGCACCACTTAGCAATAGAAATTGTGGTCCCAGTTGTGCTTGTAAACTGAGGACTTTCTGTAGTGTGACCAATCCCAACTTGGCAACTTCACAACAAAAGAAATGCATGAAAACCCCCATTACTGAAAGAAACTTAGAAAAGCCAATTTTTTCCCCCCAGTTCGATTTATGGAACGTTTAAGAAGTTACAGCAAATGGATCTGCACTGCTCCAGAATTGCAGAAGTGTATTTCCAACAATCACATACACACACACACACACACATATATGTGGGTCTTTGGTTATTTGGGTTTTCTCCCGACGAAGTCCCATTTATCATCTTCAGGCTGGTGTTTTCAACTTCGTGCTTCGAGGAGCAATGCTTCTTCGAAGCACGAAGCTGAAAACACCAGCCTGAAGATGACGAATGGGACTTCGTCGAAACGTCGCCAAGACACTTCCAATTTTATGCGGGAGAAAACCCAAATAACCAAAGACCTACATACAAACACCCGCGAAAACCTCAGAAAACATATATATAGATTGCCATTTTAGATTGCCAACAAAGAATAAAGGGAGAACTGGAATAGCTATTTCGAGCTTCTTAACTCTCTTCAGCCAGACATACCCTTCTGAGATTCGAACCTGGGCTATGTGCATGTTAGGCAGCTGTATTAACCTCTAGGCCACAGGCTCTTTCTCACTTTGTCAGCTGTATCAGGGAGGGAAGAGACGGGGAGGAGATCTATTTAATATAAAGCCTGTCTTTTTTTTTTTTTCTCCAATTGCCCCAAAAACAAACCTGGAAAAAAAAAAGCAAGAATACCCCTCTTTAATGCATATTTTTCCTACTCGGTCAGTCATAAACTTGGAAAATATTATTCTAAAAGAGAGCAATTCTTTCAGCTTGGCTGCAAAACTGACCTTACACTTCCAGGGTTGCTTGGGTGATGCAAAGCCCGTGGTGGGCCTTTGAAAGGTTTAAATTCTTGGGGGGGGGAGAGCTTAATGCGAGCTGGGAGACACCCCTTTGCACCCCCATTTGCAAGCGAACAAGGAGCCTGTCCTCAATTTGGATAAAAAGTGGAACGCATTGGAAGGAGAGACGAGAGAAAACCGGATTTTTAAAATCTTTCTTTTCAAGCTGGGTCCAAGTTTGGCTGCTTGCAACTTTGTGGGAATGGTGGGGTTGTTCCCATGGAAATTTGGGGTGCAAAGGAAGCACGCCGCGGTCCTTGAATAGGGCTGGCAAGCTCAGCGGAGATGCTGTGAAAAAAAAAAAAAGCATCTTTTCCCCCCCAACCTCCAGTAAAAATGTTTGTAATTCAGAAATTGTTTTTTTCTCTCTGCTGCTAACGACCCCACCCTAACCCAGTTTAAGTGCCATTTAGCCAAATGGGGGAAGGCCCGGAACAGCTGGGCCATTAACCAGTTTTCTGAGGTGACCCTTGTATTTCTTCTCCCTCTTTCTTCCTCGTGCTGTCAATCCGGCAGCCTTTTCCAGGCATCTTCAGGGCGCGGCAAATGGCCTTTATAAAATGTGTGTTTCTTCCAAGTTGTTTTTCTCTCTAATGATGTTTTGTTGGCAGGGCTCCATTCATAGTTGAAACAACAGATTTTTATTTAAAAAAAGAAAGGAAGGAAGGAAGGAAGGAAGGAAGGAAGGAAGGAAGGAAGGAAAGAAAGAAAGAAAGAAAGAAAGAAAGAAAGAAAGAAAGAAAGAAAGAAAGTTGCACGAACAGTCGTGACGTCATGGAAATGTACAAAGCTCTCCACCGATAAATTCTGAAGACTCCACCTCAAAAATCAATCTATTTCGGGTTGCATTCACTTGAGAGATGCTGTTTTGCATCTGTGTGCATCCAGAGTTACTCGACCGTAGCAATTTTAAACTGATGATGTCAACTCCCAGAATTCCCCAGCCAGCACGCTTTAAGATTGGGGGACTTCCACTCCCAGAATTCCCCAGCCAACCTGCTTCAAGAGGGGTGGACTTCCACTCCCAGAATCCCCCAGCCAGCCTGCTTTAAGAGGGGTGGACTTCCATTCCCAGAATCCCCCAGACAGCATGCTTTAAGAGGGGAGGACGATCCCTTAAATAGGAGCCAGCCATGTGCTGCAGCCGCCCAAAAAGGCCAACACAGTGCTGGGCTGCATTAACAGAGGGACAGAATCAAGATCACGTGAAGTATTAGTACCACTTTACAAGGCCTTGGTAAGGCCACACTTGGAATACGGCATCCAGTTTTGGTCGCCATGATGTAAAAAAGATGTTGAGACTCTAGAAAGAGTGCAGAGAAGAGCAACAAAGATGATTAGGGGGCTGGAGGCTAAAGCATATAAGGAACGGTTGCTAGAATTGGGTATGTCTAGTTTAACGAAGGGAAGGACAAGGGGGGACATGATAGCAGTATTCCAGTATCTCAGGGGCTACCCCAAAGAAGAGGGAGTCAAGCTGTTCTCCAAAGTGCCTGAAGGCAGGACAAGAAACAATGGATGGAAACTAATCAAGGAGAGAAGCAACCTGGAACTAATGAGAAATTTCCCGACAGTTAGAACAATTAACCAGTGGAACAACCTGCCTCCAGAAGCAGTGAATGGTCCAACACTGGAAGTTTTCAAGAAGAGACTGGACAGCGATTTGTCTGAAATGGGATAGGGTTTCCTGCTTGAGCAGGGGGTTGGACTAGATGACCTTCAAGGTCTCTTCCAACTTTATTATTATTATTATCTTATTCTCCTGCACCGAAAAGACTCAGAAATCTTTCTTTTTTTTCCATTTGCCTTCTCCCGCCCTTGTTTCCCTACTGTTTTCTTTTCTATTTTATTTTTTTAAACCAATTTAAAAAAAACAACAAAAAAATTAAATGAAATATTGTAAGTCGAAGGACTGCCTGCACTCAAGCAGCTAAAATCTGAAACATCTTATGACGTGGGTTCGGATTCCAAACTTGTTTTGGTCATTCGTTAAACAATTCTGGACCCAGCCCTCCCTCTCTCTCTCTCTCTTAGCCTGCCTACCTCACAGGGATGTTGTGAGTGAGGAGTTGCTGACACCGACTTGCAGCTCTTGAAGATAGAAACGGGATAGCAACAACCTCACCATCACGGAGCAGAGATTCGGCATCCCATTCTTGCTCTCCCACCTTTTGGAATTTGTGGAATTTTTGGGAGGGGAAGCAGCGCTGTGTTCAAGTCCGGACGTCCTGCTGGGGCTCTTCCGTGTCCTGCCGATTTCTTACATCCCTTCATTGTTCTTGTCCGGCATCCAAGCATCTCCTGCGGCTTGAACTCCCGCTTTTGTGGCCCCCCACGAGAAAAAGAGGAATAAGGAAGTCCTTGACTTATAACGGTCCCATTTAGTGACCGTCTGAAGTTACACCGGCCCTGGAAAAAAGGGACTGGCCACTCTTTTCCGTTTCCCAACGACCACAGCGGCATCTCGACGGCTGCGAGATCAAAATTCAGGCCCTTGGCCACCGACTCGTATTTATGACGGTTAATAATAATAAAGTTGGAAGGGACCTTGGAGGTCATCTAGTCCAACCCTCTGCTTAGGCAGGAAACTCCATATCGTTTCAGACAAATGGCTGTCCAGTCTCTTCTTCAAAACTTTCCAGTGTTGGAACATTTTAATTTTGTACATCGCCCTGAGTCCTTTGGGATTGGGTGGCATATAAGTAAAATTAAATAAATAATAAATAAATAAATTCACCGCTTCTGGAGGCAGGTTGTTCCACTGGTTAATTGTCCTCACTGTCAGGAAGTTTCTCCTTAGTTCTAGGTTGCTTCTCTCTTTGGTTAGTTTCTGTCCGTCGCTTCTTGTCCTGCCCTCTGGTGCTTTGGAGAACAGCTTGACTCCCTCTTCTTTGGGGCAGCCCCTGAGATATTGGAAGACTGCTATCATGTCCCCCCTCATCCTTCTCTTCGTTAAACTAGACTTACCCAATTCCAGCAAATGTTCCTTATATGTTTTAGTCTACAGTCTCCTAATCACCTTTGTTGCTCTTCTCTGCACTCTTTCTAGAGTCTCAACATTTTTTTTTTTTTTACATCGTGGTGACCAAAACTGGGTGCAGGATTCCAAGTGTGGCCTTACCAAGGCCTTGTAAAGTGATATTAACTCTTCCCGTGATCTTGATTCCATCCCTCTGTTAATGCAGCCTAGGATTGTGTTAGCCTTTTTGGCTGCTGCAGCACACGGCTTACTCACATTTAATCGTGCTTCCAAAGTGGCACGTTCTCGTACCTTCCCCTGTAGCCACTCATCAACACTACCCCGAGGGACAAAAGTGAACTTGGTCCCCCTTTTGTGATCCCATCATTTTTGTCCCCCCCTTTTTTCCCCCTGCAGATACAAGAGCATGGTGACGGGGAAGCGAGCCCGCGGACTTATCGCCGTCCTCTGGATCCTCTCGTTTGTCATCGGCCTGACGCCGCTGATGGGTTGGAACAACATGGAGGCGAGTAAGAACTGCACTAACAAGATGTCGCCCCCCGACGGGGGGAGACAGAACAGCTGCCTGGTGACCTGCCTCTTCGAGAACGTGGTGCCCATGAGTTACATGGTCTACTTCAACTTCTTCGGCTGCGTCCTGCTCCCGCTGTTCATCATGCTCTGCATCTACGTCAAGATCTTCACCGTCGCCTGCAAACAGCTGCGGCAGATCGAGCTGGTGGGCAACTGCCGGATGACGCTGCAGAAGGAGGTCAGCGCCGCCAAGTCGCTAGCCATCATCGTGGGCCTGTTTGCCCTCTGCTGGCTGCCCCTCCACATCCTCAACTGCCTGACCCTCTTCTACCCCGCCTTCAAGGACAACAAGCCGGAATGGAGCATGCACTTGACCATCGTTCTCTCCCACACCAACTCGGTGGTCAACCCCATCATTTACGCCTACCGCATCCGGGACTTCCGGTACACCTTCCGGAAGATCCTCACCCGCTACGTCCTCTGCAAGAACGAGGACTTTCCCAAGTGCCCCAAAGGGAGCATCGGCGGCAGTAGCCGTCACCTGGAGGTGAATAACGTGAGCACTTCTCCAACTTACGTTTGATGGCCAGTCAGACTTTTGGTCTGTCCCCTGTTGGTGGCAGGACAGCGCCGTTAAGTGGGAAAGAGGTGCCAGGAGATTTACATTCTGGTGATCCTCGACTTAACGACTGTATTAGAGCCTGTCACGGTTGTTTGTCGTAACGGTTGCAAAGTGGGTCACCCAGCCGATTGGCCTGCTTTTACAGCAGTGGTTCTCAACCTGTGGGTCGGGACCCCATTTGGGGTCGAACGACCATTTCACGGGGGTCGCCAAACAACGCAGTCCGCCATTTTTCCCCCCTCTTTTCCTTAGCTGTGCTACTCCCTTTTATTCTATTGGCTTTTGAAAGCCAATAGAATAGACTCTCTTGAATAGAGTCTAATTCTATTGGCTTTCAAAAGCCAATAGGAATGGTCCAGGCTGTCTCTGCCCTGCTGAGCCCGCCAAAAGTCCCATTCTGCAAACGGTGCTGCACCAGTGGAGTAGTCCTCGACTTACGACCGGTTGAGTAGTCCTCGACTTACGACCGGTTGGGGGTGGCGGCATTAAAAAGGTTGAGAACCACTGTTCTACGGCCTTTTTTTTTTTTTTTTTTTTTGCAGTAATCGTTAAGCAAAGCAATTGTTCGATAAGGGCTGGTTTTGCTGAAAACTGGAAGTCATTTTTTGGGGTTTAGGCAGGAACGTCGTAAAACCAGCCCTGTGGCGGTGAGACGCTGCAGCTGGCCGTAAAGGCGGGCCAACGGACAACCCGTTGTGAACTCCAGAACTGGGTCTTAAGGAAGCTTGCTGAGGTTGTGGCAGTTTTGAAGGACTGTCCGTGCGACCTCCGGCGATGTGCAGGAGTGTGTGAACAAGAAGAGCTTTGCAAATGTGTGGTTTTGTTTTGCGTACAATAGTGTTCCTCAACCTCAGCAAAGAGGAGCTGTGTGGACTTCAGCTCCCAAAATTCCCTGTGCTTTAAGATGGGTGGACTTCAATCCATGCTGGCTGGGGCATTCTGGGAATGGAAGTCCACCTCTCTTAAAGCAGGCTGGCTGGGTAATTCTGGGAGTTGAAATCCTCCCATCTTAAAGCAGGTTGACTGGGGGATTCTGGGAGTGGAAGTCCACTGATCTTAAAGCATTGCTGGCTGGGGGATCCTGGGAGTTGAAATCCTCCCATCTTAAAGCAGGTTGACTGGGGGATTCTGGGAGTGGAAGTCCACTGATCTTAAAGCATTGCTGGCTGGGGGATTCTGGGAGTTGAAATCCTCCCATCTTAAAGCAGGTTGACTGGGGGATTCTGGGAGTGGAAATCCACTGATCTTAAAGCATTGCTGGCTGGGGGATTCTGGGAGTAGAAGTCCACCCCTCTTAAAGCATTGCTGGCTGAGGGATTCTGGGAGTTGAAGTCCACCCCTCTTAAAGCAGGCTGGCTGGGGGATTCTGGGAGTGGAAGCCCCCTCCCTTAAAGCAGGCTGGCTGGGGGATTCTGGGAGTTGAAGTCCACTGATCTTAAAGCATTGCTGGCTGGGGGATTCTGGGAGTGGAAGCCCACCCCTCTTAAAGCAGGCTGGCTGGGGAATTCTGGGAGTGGAAGTCCACACAGTTTCACGTTGCTGAGATTGGGAAATACTGGTGTACAATTAAGGGCTTCTCCTGCTGCCTGAGCCCTTCTAGGAAGGTGAGAGTTAATTGACATTTAATTACTATTAATCTTTGTCTCCATCAGAAGGGCAGGTTTTCAAAACCGTGCTGCTCTTTGTGGGTTTGTCTGCCTATGTGAGTGAGAGGGTGTCATCTGTTAAATGTCTTGTGGCCCTGCCTTGCTCCAAAAAGAAAACCAAGGGGGACAGTGGCGTAGAAATTTAATCCATGCGATAATTTGATGTTTTGTATGAAGCTGTTACTTTACACGCTCGGCTCTTTTTTTTTTTTAAGATTAATTTAAGTTTGTCATCAATTGTTTGATGCTGCTGGTATTCTCCTATGGGAAATCCTTTTTAAGTAGGCCAGTTATGGTATAACTGATGTGCTGTTTTTTTTTTTTTTTTTGTTAATTAAAATATTGTTGAGTGCAATGGAGAGTGTTTGAAAGGGGACCTTTTCTTGTTTACCTCTGAACTAAATTATTGGTTTAAATTGGCAAAGGGAGAAGCCAGATTTAAACAATCGCTTTTCTTTCTTTCTTTCTCTTTCTTTCTTTCTTTCTTTCTTTCTTTCTTTCTTTCTTTCTTTCTTTCTTTCTTTCTTTCTTTCTTTCTTTCTTCCTTCCTTCCTTCCTTCCTTCCTTCCTTTTTTTTTTAATAAAACACTTGCCAAAGTCAAAGTTGGTTTCCCAATTTACCGGCGTCGTTTTTATGCTTGCGGACAGATGTTTAAAACTTTTTTTTGTTGCAGTCCACTTTTAGGGTTAATTGTTTCCTGCGTTTGGGCCGAGTTGCATAAAATTGCACAAAATTGGAATACCCAAGGGATCCAGGGCGATCGGCCATTTCTGCACAGGAAACAGGAGCAGGACCCTGGGGGGGGGGGAGAGCAGAAAAATGTACACCCAGCCCAGGAGCCACCAGCTCCCTGTAGTTACTGCTCACATTTTTCTCCTTCTGTTTCTCAACCTCCTTCTGTCCTCATTTTTCTCCGGGAAGTAGTAAGGCTGTCATTTGCTGGTTGGAGATGCTTTGCTCCTGACACGCCCCAATGGCTCGGCTGAGATAGACGGCCAGGATGTGCTTACACTACCAAAACAAACAAACAAACAAACAAACAAAAAACAACACAAGAGAGGCAATCACATTAGCGGCGGGCCGGGGGTGTGGAAATGTCTGCCCGATTGGCACAAGAGAAAACAATGAAGGTTGCCGGTTTCCAGCTACCGTAATTTCAGCAGAAAAGCAACTTGATCAATCTAGAATAGAGCTGGAAGGGACCTTGGAGGTCTTCTAGTCCAACCCCAGGCTCAGGCAGGAGACCCGGGATCATTTCAATCTACCTATCTATCTATCATCCATCCATCCTTATCTATCTATCTATCTATCTATCTATCTATCTATCTATCTATCTATCTATCTATCTATCTATCTAATCTTCCTTTCCTTTTCTTTCCTTTCCTTCTATCTTCTATCATCTTTCTTTTCTTCCATCCATCATCTATCTATCTATCTATCTATCTATCTATCTATCTATCTATCTATCTATCTATCTATCTACCTACCTACCTACCCACCTACCTATTATCTCTTATATCTACCCACCCACCTACCTACCTACCTATCTCTACCCACCCACCCACCCACCTACCCATCCACCTACCTGCCTGCCTACCTATCTACCTATCTACCTATCTATCTATATCAGAATACAGCTGGAAGGGACCTTGGAGGTCATCTAGTCCAACCCCCTGCTCAGGCAGGAAACCCTGCACCATTTCGGACAAATGGCTGTCCAGTCTCTTCTTAAAAACTTCCAGCGTTGGAGCATTCACCCCTTCTGGAGGCAACTACCGTTCCACTGGTTGATTGTTCCAGCCCAACCAAAGGACCCGCGTCAAGTAAAATGGATTTAAATAAAATTTTGAATAGTTTAAACTGAATTTCAATTAAAAACAAAAAAAACAAAAAATTAAATAAAATTTAGTGAGTGGAATAATGGTGTTGGAAGGGACCTTAGAGATCTTCTAGTCTAACCCCCCTGCTCCAGCAGCAAAAACTATACCGTTTAACACAGTGGTTCTTCAACTGTGGGTCGGGACCCCATTTGGGGTCGAACGACCATTTCACGGGGGTCGCCAAACAACGCAGTCCGCCATTTTCCCCCCCTTTTCCTTAGCTGTGCTACTCCCTTTTATTCTATTGGCTTTTGAAAGACAATAGAATAGACTCTCTTGAATAGAGTCTGATTCTATTGGCTTTCAAAAGCCAATGGGAATTGTCCAGGCTGTCTCTGCCCTGCTGAGCCCGCCAAAAGCCCCATTCTGCAAACAGTGCTGCACCCGTTGAGTAGTCCTCGACTTACGACCGGTTGAGTATTCCTCGACTTACGACCGGTTGAGTAGTCCTCGACTTACGACCGGTTGGGGGTCGCGGCATTAAAAAGGTTGAGAACCACTGGTTTAACAGAATAATCCTCCTGCAAGGGGCTACATCCTGACACCCTAGAACGAGTGCAGAGAAGAGCAACAAAGATGATTAGGCGTCTGGAGGCTAAAACGTATAAGGAACGGTTGCTGGGATTGGGTAGGTCTGTCTCATTGGGGTGTGTGTGTGTGTGTGTGTGTGTGTGTGTGTGTGTAACAAGGTGGGGTGGGGCTGTACTGAGGTCTTTTCGCTGCAAAGAAGCTCTTCCTGCAGGTAACCAGATCCTGTTTTGCCCACTCTCCTACACACACACACACACACACACAGACAGACAGAGACACACACACGTCACCTTCTTTCAACACAACCGTTTCCTCCCTTGCACAAACTTGAGTGAAAGACAGACAATGGGGAGAGTGAGTCACTGGGCAATATGTAGCACGTGGTCCCCACCCCACCCACCCCCGGGCTAGCCTGGACTCTGCCCTTCCCTTCCTGACCGCTCAATCTATCAGAATAGACCGGGATGGGACCTTGGAGGTCTTCTAGTCCAACCCCTAACTCAAGACAGGAGCCTTATACCATCCCAGGCAAGGGGTTGGTCCGGTCTGATTTTTTTAAAAACTTCCAGTGATGGAGCACCCACAATCTCAGGAGGCCATGCAATTGTCCTCCTTGTTTTGCTGTGACTGCTGGGAATGAAATAGTGGGTAGGAAGGACTGACCGGAAGTCAATCTGAATCAATTGGAATAGAGCTGGAAGGGACAGTAGAGGTCATCTAGTCCAACCCCCTGCTCAGGCAGGAGACGCTACACCATTTCAGACAAATGGCTGTTCAATCTCTTCTTAAAAACCTCCAGTGTTGGAGCATTCACAGCTTCTGGAGGCAAGGACTTCCACTGGTTAATTGTTCTAACTGTCAGGAAAGTTCCAGGTTGCTTCTCTCCTTGATTGGTTTCCATCGGTTGCTTCTTGTCCTGCCTTCAGACGCTTTGGAGAATAGCTTGACTCCCTCTTTGGGGCAGCCCCTGAGATATTGGAAGACTGCTATCCTGTCCCCCCTCATCCTTCTTTCCTCTAGACTATCCAATTCCTGCAACCGTTCCTTGCATGTTTTGGTCTGCAGGCCTTTCGTCATCCGAGTTGCTTAAACTTACCACGAGGTTGTCTCCTTTGCGCAACACGGAGAACACAAAAGCCGGGCAGCTGCAGAAGTGACAGGAGCTGTAGCAAGTATAGAGTTTGCCGGAGCTGCCCACCACCTGGGAGGGTGGGAGAATGGGTTATTTTTTTTTAAAAAAAAGAGAAAAATTAAAATGATTTTTTAAAAAGTTAAATATGCCTCTCATCGCAGGAACCTGATTCGTCTTATAAACTGCACAAAGGGGGCTTATGTTGTTTTATCTAGGTTCCTCATCGACCTGGTGGCCTCCAAAGGTATTAGATCACAACTCCCATCATCCCCAGGAGAGCAGGAGGAGGGGGAGAGCTGCTCTAGGATGATGGGGGCCTCCAAAGGTGTTAGACCACAACTCCCATCATCCCCAGGAGAGCAGGGGGAGGGGGAGAGCTGCTCTAGGATGATGGGGGCCTCTAAAGTAGTTAGACTACAACTCCCATCATCCCCAGATCAGTGGGTGCCTCCAAAGGTGTTAAGACTACAACTCCCATCCTCCCGAGGAGCACAGGTCAGGGAGACACACTGGTCTATGATGGGTTGGTGGCCTCCAAAGGTAAGACTACAACTCCCATCATCCCTAGGATCACAGGTAAGGGAGAGGCATTGCCTTATATGGATTGGTGGCCTCCAAAGGTGTTAAGACTACAACTCCCATCATCCCTAGGAGCATAGGGAAGGGAAGACACTGCCCTATGATGGATTGGTGGCCTCCAAAGACGATAGACTACAACTCCCATCCTCCCTAGGACCACAGGTCAGGGAGACACACTGGCCTATGATGGGCTGGTGGCCTCCAAAGGTGTTAAGACTACAACTCCCATCCTCCCTAGGAGCACAGGTCAGGGAGAGACACTAGCCTATGATGGGCTGGTGGCCTCCAAAGGTGTTAAGATTACAACTCCCATCATCCCTAGGAGTACAGGTAAAAGAGAGACACTGCCCTATGGTGGGCTGGTGGCCTCCAAAGGTGTTAAGACTACAACTCCCATCATCCCTAGGAGCACAGGTAAGGGAGAGACACTGCCTTATATGGGTTGATGGCTTCCAAAGGTGTTAAGACTACAACTCCCATCATCCTAGGAGTACAGGTAAAAGAGAGACACTGCCCTATGATAGACTGGTGGCCTCCAAAGGGGTTAAGACTACAACTCCCATCATCCCTAGGAGCACAGGTAAGGGAGAGACACTGCCTTATATGGAATGGTGGCCTCTAAAGGTGTTAAGACTACAACTCCCATCATCCCTAGGAGCACAGGTAAGGGAGAGACACTGCCTTATATGGAATGGTGGCCTCTAAAGGTGTTAAGACTACAACTCCCATCATCCCTAGGAGCACAGGTAAGCGAGAGACACTGCCTTATATGGAATGGTGGCCTCTAAAGGTGTTAAGACTACAACTCCCATCATCCCTAGGAGCACAGGTAAGGGAGAGACACTGCCTTATATGGAATGGTGGCCTCTAAAGGTGTTAAGACTACAACTCCCATCATCCCTAGGAGCACAGGTAAGCGAGAGACACTGCCTTATATGGAATGGTGGCCTCTAAAGGTGTTAAGACTACAACTCCCATCATCCCTAGGAGCACAGGTAAGGGAGAGACACTGCCTTATATGGGTTGATGGCTTCCAAAGGTGTTAAGACTACAACTCCCATCATCCCTAGGAGTACAGGTAAAAGAGAGACACTGCCCTATGATAGATTGGTGGCCTTCAAAGGTGTTAGACTACAACTCCCATCCTCCCAGGACCGTGGGGGAGACAGTATCCTACCCCTTGAAAAACATAACTAAAGGAAACCAGGATCCCTGTGGAGTGAACAAACCAGGGTGGACAAACCCACTTTCCGCTCTTAACTCAACCTGACGGAGTGATCCGATCAGGGCTGAAAATCAATTGAGGCAATCCTTGAAGAAATATATTGTATTTGGTGGGAAATGCAATTTGAATTAGTCCCTTTTTCGGAGATTTACAAAGGCTCGTGATTCACGTTGATCCAACCGGCCTCCGCGAAAGGAAGGCGTGGAAGAGGGAGAGGAGCAAAATTACAAGCCGAGGGCTGGAGAGATTAAAAAAAAAAAGAGATTCGTGATAGAAAAATAATTAAAATTCCCATCAGCCGAAAGGCTGGCAAGACGCAGGGGCACACACCGGAGGTATTTTCACACAAACAACCTCAGGCTGCAGTGGGGGAAACAACAGCCAGCGTAATCTAGTGCTTAAAGAGCTAGGCCAGAAACCAGGAGACGGTGAGTTCTAGTCCCACCTTAGCCATGAAAGCCAGCTGGGTGACTTTGGGCCAATCACCAGGCGACAGGGAATTCTAGTCCCGCTTTAGCCATGGAAGCCAGCTGGGAGACTTTGGTGACTTTGGACCAATCACCAGGCAACAGTGAGTTCTAGTCCCAACTTAGCCATAAAAGCCAGCTGGGTGACTTTGGGCCAATCACCAGGCGACAAGGACTTCTAGAGTCAATCACCAGACAGGGAATTCTAGTCCCACCATAGCCATGGAAGCCAGCTGGGTGACTTTGGCCCAATCACTAGGTGACAGGGAGTTCTAGTCCCACCTTAGCCATGAAAGGCAGCTGGGTGACTTTGGGCCAATCACCAGGCGACAGTGAATTCTAGTCCCACCTTAGCCATGAAAGCCAGCTGGGTGACTCTGGGCCAATCACCAGGCGACAGTGAATTCTAATCCCACTTTAGCCATGAAAGCCAGCTGGGTGACTTTTGGACCAATCACCAGGCGACAGGGAGTTCTAGTCCCGCCTTATCCATGAAAGCCAGCTGGGTGACTTTGGCCCAATCACCAGGCGACAGGGAGTTCTAGTCCCACCTTAGTCGTGAAAGCTAGCTTTGGGCCAATCACTAGGTGACAGGGAGTTCTAGTCCCACCTTAGCCGTGAAAGGCAGCTGGGTGACTTTAGCCCAGTCCCTCTCTGTCAGCCTAACCCACCCCACAGGGTTGTTGTGGTGGGGAAACTAGGAGTAGGAAGGGGTGTTGGATAGGTTCCTTGCCTGGAGTTACTTGTACAAAAAAAAATAAAGGCGGGATACAGATGAATAAGCCAAGAAACAAATGAAACCCTGCTAATGGGCAGGCATCCAGTGGTGCTCCCCCATGCGAGGGGGGGGGGAGGAATTAAGATCTCCAAAACAGACCCATGGAAGAGGGAGTCCTATCTCTGCAGCCAAAGACCCCAGGGCTTCATTTTTAGAAAGGAATTTCCAGTAACAAAGATAAAAGACACAAAAAAGACTATTTCATCAATTGCTTGGAAGCTGGAATGACCAGGGAAGAAAGCCCCAGCTTTGCTAGGATTGTGTAAATCTATTCTCTTATCTCTGGAGCAGTCTTTCCCAACATTGGGGAATTTATGATGGGTAAGAGTTCAGGTCTGAGAATCCCCCAGCCAGCCTGCTTTGAGAGGGGTGGGCTTCCACTCCCAGAATTCCCCAGCCAGCCTGCTTTAAGAGGGGGGGGGCTTCCACTCCCAGAATCCCCCAGCCAGCCTGCTTTGAAAGGGGGGGGCTTCCACTCCCAGAATCCCCCAGCCAGCCTGCTTTGAGATGGGTGGATTTCCAGTCCCAGAATTCCCCAGCCAGCCTGTTTTAAGATGGGTGATTCTCCACTCCCAGAATCCCCCAGCCAGCCTGCTTTGAGATGGGTGGATTTCCAGTCCCAGAATCCCCCAGCCAGCATGCTTTAAGAGGGGAGGACTTCCACTCCCAGAATCCCCCAGCCAGCACGCTTTAAGAGGGGTGGGCTTCCACTCCCAGAATCCCCCAGCCAGCCTGCTTTAAGAGGGGTGGACCTCCACTCCCAGAATCCCCCAGACAGCCTGTTTTAAGAGGGGTGGGCTTCCACTCCCAGAATCCTCCAACCAGCTTGCTTTCAGAGGGGTGGACTTCCACTCCCAGAAACCCCCAGCCAGCCTGTTTTAACATGGGTGAATCTCCACTCCCAGAATCCCCCAGCCAGCATGCTTTAAGAGGGGTGGACTTCCACTCCCAGAATCCCCCAGCCAGTATGCTTTAAGAGGGGTGGAGGACCACTCCCAGAATCCCCCAGCCAGCATGCTTTAAGAGGGGAGGGCTTCCACTCCCAGAATTCCCCTGCCAGCTTGCTTTAAGAGGGATGAACTTCCACTCATGCTGGCTGGGGAATTCTGGGAGTTGAAGTCCACTCATCGTACCGTCCCGAAGCTTGAAAACCCTGCTCTGGAGAGACAGAAGAATTGCAAAAAGGGAGGCATCGGTGCTGGAAAAATGGCCCAGTGACCCCCCCCCAGCACCCCATAATCCATCGCTCCCCTTCTCAAGCACAGACAGGGGGAGAATTCCAGTCTTCCTGCTTTTCATCTCCTCCACCGTGAAACAAACCCGTCTCTCTCTTGTGTCCCTCTCCTCTTTGTGACCGACAACACATTTTTTCAGCCTGGCAGAATTAATCCATTTATTCCTGCCCGGAGGGTGGGCTGTCATCAGGACGAGGGGTAATTAAGATGAAAATCACCCCTCAATTCCAAATAGAATAACGGAGATAAATGGACGGAAGCAGAGCGGAGAGCCGTGGAAGAGGAGGGGGGGGGGAGAGTGCCGGGTTCGAAAGAGGAACAGGGCACCCCCTGAGGCTGGAGAACCAGTTTGGGGGGTCCCTGTTCTTTGAGTTTCTCCAGCTGAGCCAACGTGGCTGGAGTTCAGATGCTGGCTTCAAGCAGTCCTGGACTTATAACCATTTGTTTAATGACGGTTCGAGGTTACAAAAAGCGACTTAGGACCATTTTCACACTTAACGACCGTCGCAGCATCCCCACGTCACGTGAACAAAATTCAGACGCTTGGAAACTGACTTGTACTTACGACTGTTGCAACGTCCCGGGGGGGTGTCACGTGATCCCCTTTGGCGATCTCCTGACAAGCCAAGTCGGGGGGGGGGGGGGAAGCCGGATTCACTTAACGACCGTGTGACTGACTCCACTACTGCAGTGTTTCACTTAACGACCGTGGCGGGGAAAGTCGTAAAATGGGTCAAGTCTCACTTAACGACTGTCTTGATCAGCAATGGAAATTTTGGGCTCCGTTCGTAAGGGTGAAAACGGTCATCGGTCCCTTTTCCTTAGTGCCCCCCCCCCGTCACTTTGAACGGCCGTTAAATGAACGGTTGTAAGTCGAGGACTGCTGCGTAACAGCTTCTCCGAGGGACGTGTTTTATTCGGAATTTCTGTTCTTCTGTTAGTGGGCTCACAAGAGGGTCAAAAGTGTGTTAAAACTTGCCGGCAGGGAGAGGAAAGAGCTGTACCTGATACACCGTCCTGCCACTTGGAGATACGAACCGGGTGACCGATTGGCGGTCCACCAAGTCCAGAGCCGCGACGACGGAGGTCCCAAAGACGAACCTCAGCCTGGGAAGAGGGGGGAGAAACCAACATTTTAAAGTCGCACTCCTTTTGTTCTGAAGAGGCCATAAAAACCCTGGGGTAGCCTTTCTTCAAAATGCATACAAGAACAACAACAATAAGAACAATGAGGAGGAGGAGGAGGAGGAGGAGGAGGAGGAGGAGGAGGAGGAGGAGGAGGAGAGAAGGAAGAACAGGAGCAGGAGGAGAAGAAGGAAGAAGGAAGAACAGGAGGAGAAGAAGAAGAGGAGGAGGAGAAGGAAGAACAGGAGGAAGAGGAGGAGGAGAAGAAGAAGAAAAGGAGGAGGAGAAGAGAAGGAAGAAGAAGAAGAGGAGGAGGAGAAGAAGAAGGTGGAAGTGGCGAGGAGCAGGAGGAGGAGGAGAAGAAGAAGAAGAAGAGGAGGAGGAGAAGGAGGAGAAAGAAGGAAGAAAGAAAGAAGAGAAGGAGAAGAAGAAGAAGAAGAAGAGGAGGAGAAGAAGAAGGAGGTGGAAGTGGTGAGGAGGAGGAGGAGGAGAAGAAGAAGAAGAGGAGGAGGAGGAGGAGGAGGAGAAGGAGGAGGAGAAAGAAGGAAGAAAGAAAGAAGAGGAGGAGGAGAAGAAGGAAGAGGAGGAGGAGGAGGAGAAGAAGGTGGAAGTGGTGAGGAGGAGGAGGAAGAGGAGGAGGAGGAGGAGAAGAAGAAGAAGAAGAAGAAGAAGAAGAAGAAGAAGAAGAAGAAGGAAGAAGAAGAAGAAGAAGAAGAAGAAGAGAAGAGGAGAAGAGGAAGGAAGAAGAAGAGAAGGAAGAAGAAGGAGGAAGAGGAGAAGAAGAAGGAGAAAGTGGTGAGGAGGAGGAGAAGGAGGAGGAGTGGAAGTGATGAGGAGGAGGAGGAGGAGAAGAAGAGAGATGGAAGGGACCTTGGAGGTCTTCTAGTCCAACCCCCTGCCCAGGCAGGAAACCCTATACCATTTCAAACAAATCGATGGAATACAGGTGAGTCCTCGACTTACAAGGGAGCCCAAATTTTTCATTACTGAGCCAGGCAGTTGTTAAGTGAATCTGGCCCCCTTGTACGACCTTTCTTACCACCATTGTTAAGTGAATCACTGCAAGTTCTTGAGTTAGTAACGTGGTTGTTAAATGAATCCGCCTTCCTCTGAGGACTCAGCTTGTCAGAAGGTCGCAAAAGGGGACCACGTGACATCCCGGGGACATTGCGACTGTCGCAAATGTGAGTCAGTTGCCCAGCGGCCGAATTTTGATCAGGTGACCCTGGGGAACGCTGCAACAGGACAGTGTTAGGATAGTGTATTTTTGTGGTATTTCAATTATATAGGTGAGGGGTAGGCAACCTTGGCTCTTTTATGACTCGTGGACTTCAACTCCCAGAATTCCTGAGCCAGCATGAGGGAAACTTTGGCCCCTTCATGACTTGTGGAGTTCAACTCCCAGAATTCCTGAGCCAGCATGAGGGAAACTTTGGCCCCTTCATGACTGGTGGACTTCAATTCCCAGAATTCCTCAGCCAGCATGGTGGAACTATGGCCCCTTTATGACTCGTGGACTTCAACTCCCAGAATTCCTGAGCCAGCATGAGGGAAACTATGGCCCCTTTATGACTCGTGGACTTCAACTCCCAGAATTCCTGAGCCAGCATGGGGGAACTATGACCCCCCCCTTCATGACTGGTGGACTTCAACTCCCAGAATTCCTGAGCCAGCATGAGGGAAACTTTGGCCCCTTCATGACTCGTGGACTTCAACTTCCAGAATTCCTGAGCCAGCATGGCTCAGTATGGAAACCTCTCCCTTTTCCCTCAGCCTGGCTGGCTCAGGAATTCTGGGAGTTGAAGTCCACCAGTCATAAAAGAGCCAAGGTTGCCTATCCCTGGTATAGGTCTATCTTTTTTACTATTTAATATTCACATTTAATATTTAAATATTTAATGTTGTAAGCTGCCCTGAGTGACTCCATGAGGAGCTTGGGCGGCCGAGACATTTAACAAATAAAAATAAAATAAAAGGATGGCCCAAAAAGAGAAGTTTAAATTTCTATAAATGGAAAACACAGGTAGTCCTCGAGGTAAAACAGTTCATTCAGTGACCCTTTGAAGTTATAACGGAGGTGAAAAAAAAAAAAGGACTTAGGACTGTTTTTCACAGACCATTGCAGCAATGCGATCAAAATTCAGAGGCTCAGCAACTGGCATGTACTTATGACAGTTGTAGCGTCCTGGGGGGGGGTCACTGGATCCCCTTTTATGACCTTCTGACAAGCAAAGTCAATGGAAAAAGCTAGATTCACGTAGCAACTCACTTAACAACCGCAGTGATTCGCTTAACAATGATGGCAAGAGCAGTTGTAAAACAGGGCAAAATTCATTTCATAACTGTCTTGCTTAGTGACTGAAATTTCCGGGCTCCATTGTGGCCGTAACCCGAGAGATAATAAAAAAAATCAGATTAATTTATTTTATCACTGGAGGAATGTTACTCCAGCCTCTTCTCCGGGAATTTAAGGGCTCCCAAATTGGATTAGGAGTGTGGAATGATCCCTTTGCATTTAATAATAATAATAATAAAGTTGGAAGGGACCTTGGAGGTCATCCAGTCCAACCGCCTTGATGGGGGGGAGCTTGAATATAATGGGGTAAAACAAGGTGGAACTGAACCCAAATAATTTACAATAGGAAAGAACAGGGAGGGAATTGGGTTAGAATTCAGTCCTATTTCTAGGGGATGACAATGAGTAACAACTCTGTCCTGGAAACCAATGAGAAAAATGTAGAAATTGGTTTAATTTTCTTTACAGGTTCTGTTTTTTGACTCGGGCAAAGCTAGAGAAGTCGTTTGGCCAGCAAAGGAGTTTAGGAAGATTGCCTGCTTGAAAAAATTACCAGAATTGAGATTTTAGGAGAGGATTCAGCAGCATTCAGCAGAATTGAGAATTCAGAATTGTCTCCTTGAAAAATCCGGTGGAATCAGGAATTTGGGAGAATTCACTGCAATTCAGCTGCATTGAGAATTCAAAATCGCTGGCTTGCAAAGTTGAGCAGAATCGAGAATTGAGAATGAAGTAGAACTGAGCAGAATTCAGAACGGTCTGCTGGAAAAGTTCGGAAGAATTAAGAATTTAGGAAATTCAGAATTCAGCTGACTTTGGAATTCCCCCTGTGAAAAGTTTAGCAGAATCGGGAATTTAGGAGAATTTGCTGGAATTCAGCTGAATTGAGCATTTAGAATCGCTGGCTTGCAAAGTTGAGCAGAACGGAGAATGAAGTAGAATTTTAGCAGAATTCAGAACAGTCTGCTGGAAAAGTTCGGAAGAATTGAGAATTTAGGAAATTCAGAATTCAACTGAGTTTAGAATTCCCTGTAAGGAAAAATTCAGGACTGAAAATTCAGCTGACTTGAGAATTCAGAATAGTCTACTTGAAATATTTGGGCAGAACTGAGAACTTACAGGAGGATTCCATGGAATTCAGCTGACTTGAGAATGCAGAATCGCTGGCTTGTAAAGTTTAGCAGAATTGAGAATTAAGCGGAATTGAGCAGAATTCAGGAGGGTCTGCCTGAAAAGTTCAGAAGAATTGAGAGAGAAGTCAGCTGATAAAGTTCTTTCTGGAGGAAAAAGGACGAGACGCTGATGGGCAAGGGCTGATTTTGCAAAGCCAGGATTTGTTGGCCTCCTGTTTGGGAAGGAGGGATGGGGGGGGGGTGTCTTTACAGAATAACAGAATAATAGTTGGAAGGGACCTTGGAGGTCATCTAGTCCAACCCCCTGCTCAGGCAGGAAACCCTATACCAGTTCGAACAAATGGCTGTCCAGTCTCTTCTTAAAAACCTCTAGTGTTGGAGCATTCACAACTTCTGGAGGCAAGGAGTTCCACTGGTTAATTGTTATCACTGTCAGGAAGTTTCTCCTTAGTTCCAGATTGCTTCTCTCCTTGGTTAGTTTCCATCTGTTGCTTCTTGTCCGGCCTTCAGGCGCCTTGGAAAATAGCTTGACTCCCTCTTCTTTGGGGCAGCCCCTGAGATACCGGAAGGCTGCTATCATGTCCCCCCTTGTCCTTCTCTTCATTAAACTAGACATACCCAATTCTAGCAACCTTTCCTTATATGTTTTAGCCTCCAGTCCCCTAACCGTCTTTGTTGCTCTTCTCTGTCCTCTTTCTAGAGTCTCAACATCTTTTTCACATCGTGGTGACCAAAACTGGATGCCGTATTCCAAGTGTGGCCTTACCAAGGCCTTATAAAGTGGTATTAATTCTTCACATGATCTTGATTCTCTCCCTCTGTTAACGTAGCCTAGCACTGTGTTGGCTTTTTTGGCAGCTGCAGCACACGGCTGGCTCCTATTTAAATGATTGTCCACTAGGACTCCGAGATCCCTCTCACAGTTACTACTATTGAGCAAGATACCCCCTATACTATACCTGTACATTTGGTTTTTCTTGCCTAAATGTAGAACCTTGCTTTTTTCACCACTGAATTTCATTTTGTTAGATAGCACCCAGTGTTCAAGTCTGTCCAGATCCTCCTGTATCCTAAGCCTGTCTTCTGGAGTGTTGGCTGTTCCTGCCAGCGTGGTGTCGTCTGCAAATTTGATGAGTTCCCCATCTATCCCCTCGTCCAGATCGTTGATGAAGATGTTGAAGAGCACTGGGCCCAGAACAGAGCCCTGGGACACCCCACTACACACTTCCCTCCATGTAGATGTGGTTCCATTGAGGACAACACGCTGAATACGGCCAGTCAGCCAGTTATGGATCCATCTGGTGGTGATGCTGTCTAACCCACATTTTTCTATCTTGTCAAGTAGTAGGTTGTGATCTACTTTATCTTTATCTTAAGCCTGTCTTCTGGAGTGTTAGCTGTTCCTGCCAGCTCAGTGTCATCTGCAAATGTGATGAGTCCACAAGTCTCTCTTTGCTTGGGAGGTGCCCATTCTCAAGAAAAGCCCCAGATCGCCTCCATCAATCTTAATCTAGCCCAGTTTTTCCACCGTGGCAATTTTAAGATGTGCGGATTTCAATTCTGGGAGTTCCACCCATCTTAAAATTAAAGCACCGACCTAGCCTTTCCACTGGGGGGGGGGGGGAGGAAGCACAGCAGATTCCACTTTGAGGTTTGATCTTTTTAAATTTCTTTCCAAATCAATTTTCTTTTATTCAAACCAGTTCAGATATAAACTTCAAAACAAAAAATTGCGAGGTTTTGATCTGAATTAAAAAAATAAAAAGCGTAGAATTTTACCAGGAAGGAAACGGGGAGAGGCTGATCACTGCATAAAACTACATTCTCTGCTGTGCACCTTAAAACCCACGTGCGCCTCATACGGTCACCACATCCCTGCTTTGTGGGTGTGTATAGCTCGGAACAAGAAAAAAAAACCCATTCGAAGGGCGAAAGGCGTTTTTGCCGTTACAAACAGCCGCGGACAATAACCGAAACCCTTGCCGTTGAGCACAGCGGGGACTTAAATATGCAAAGGAAAGTTTTGCAACATGAATGAGGCCTAAATGCACAAATGTTGCAGCCCCGTGTGACTTTCACAACCCGGCTCGTCTCTTCTGCAGAAGCCGCAAGGAAGAGCAGCAAAACCGACTTCACAACATAAAAAAAATATAACAATCTGAATTTGGAGCCTTCTATGCACTGGGGGGGGGGGAAGGACTTCCTTTGGCTGGAAACAAAATAACAGAGCTGGAAGGGGCCTTAGAGGTCATCTAGTCCAGGGCTTTTCACCCATGGTACCACTTTTAGGATATGGCAACATCCGAGGACCACCAGTCGCCTAGCAAGGTGTCAAAAACTTGATGACCAAAAAAAAAAAAAAAAAAAAAAAAAGGAAAAAAGTGATAAAGTACAGGTAGTCCTCTACTTACAACAGTTCGCTTAGTGACTGTCCGAAGTTACAATGGCACTGAAAAAAGTACCCCCCGAGCCACAGCCGAGCAAGATACCTGCCTGCCCGCACGGCCGCGCTCTTCCTCCTGTCCGAGGTTTTCATTGTTGTGAGCATTTCTGTTGAGGATTGGGAGCAGGGGTGGGGTGGGGGGTGTTTGGTTTTTATTCCCCCCGTCTGCTGGGTGGTTGCAGCAGGTTTTGGCCACTTCACATGACCCTGGGACACTGCGACCGTCATAAATATGAATCGGTTGCCAAGCATCTGAGTGTAAATCACAAGACCTTGGAGAGGCTGCAACATTCCAGCTGATCGGCACTTACTTCTTCAGGGTTCAGCAGAAGCGCCAGGATCAGCGCTGAGCTCCAGCTTCCGCTGAGCCCTGACAGCCCCGAAGAACCGCCAATCAGCTGGAAAGCGGCACTGATCCTGGCGCTTCCGCTGAGCCCCGACAGCCATGCAGCTCCAGCCGTCTCTCGCTCAGGCTTGTGCGGTGCTGCCACTGGTTCAGCTCATTCCCCTCCCCCGCTACCATTTTTCTGGGATGGTCGCGTACCACCTGCCAGGTGCCAATGGACCACAGGTGGTACCCGTACCACTGGTTGAACAGCCCTGATCTAGTCCAACCCCCTGCTCAGGCAGGAAACCCTATACCATTTCAGAAAACGGCTGTCCTGTCTCTTCTTAAATCTCAGATCTCAGCTGCAAAAGGGAATCACAGGATCCCAGGGACACTGTGACCGCCATAAATATGAGTCGGTTGCCAAGCGTCTGAATCTTTATCACTGCAGGGCTGATCGTAAAGTTGGAGTGACCATTAATGGAGAAAGTCTGATCCCTAAGCCAACGCCGCCGCCCCCTTCCCGCCTCATTCCTGCAAAATGGGATAATAATTATGATATATTTGCAGGGTCCATATTGTTAATTGGGATCCTGGGAGGCAGCAGCAGGCTGTGAGAAATTCTATGGTGGTCGCCACGACACAAAAAAAAAAAAAATGCCGAGACTTCGGAAAGAGTGCAGAGAAGAGCAACAAAGACGATTAAGGGACTGGAGGCTAAATCGTACGAAGGACGGTCGTGGCAACTGGATATGTCTAGTCTAGGGAACAGAAGGACCAAGGGTGATGTGATAGAACCTTCTGGTCCAGTGGTTCTCAACCTTTTTAATGCCGCGACCCCCCCCAACCGGTCGTAAGTCGAGGACTACTCAACCGGTCGTAAGTCGAGGACTACTCAACGGGTGCAGCCCCGTTTGCAGAATGGGACTTTGGGCGGGCTCAGCAGGGCAGAGACAGCCTGGACAATTCCGATTGGCTTTTGAAAGCCAATAGAATTAGACTCTATTCAAGAGAGCCTATTCTATTGTCTTTCAAAAGCCAATAGAATAAAAGGGAGTAGCACAGCTAAGGAAAAGGGGGGAAAAAATGGCGGACTGCGTTGTTTGGCGACCCCCGTGAAATGGTCGTTCGACCCCAAATGGGGTCCCGACCCACAGGTGGAGAACCACTGTTCTAGTAGGTCACAGAGAATTATAGAACGACAAGGCTGGGAGGGACCTACTGCACTTTTTCAGAATAGATGGAGTTCTAAGGCTGAGATGCCTCTAAGGCACAGGATCTCAAGCTTGGCCATGTTCAGATGGGTGGACCAACTCCCAGAATCCCCTGTCAGACATGCTTTAAGAGGAGTGGACTTCAACTCCCAGAATTCCCTAGCCAGAATGCTTTAAGAGGAGTGGATTTCCACTCCCAGAATTCCCAGCATGCTTTAAGATGAATGGACTTCAATTCCCAGAATTCCCCAGCCAGCATGCTTTAAGATGGGTGGACTTCAATTCCCAGAATTCCCCAGCCAGCCATGCTTTAAACAGGGTGGACTTCAACTCCCAGAATCCCCCAGCCAGGGTCTCTGAGCTTGAGCTGGCAGCCCTCATTCCAAAGCAAAAAGCTGGTGAATTAAAACAAAAACAGGGAAAGTACTCACGCCAGAAGGAGCTCATCCGAAACTGCAAAAAAAGGGAGAGGAATAAATCAATATTAATTTCCAAACAAGGTGTCAGCCCAATACAGTAGGGGTTCCAACTTGGCCCTTTGATGACTTGTGGACTTCAACTCCCAGAATTCCTCAGCCAGGATGCTTTAAGACAGGGGTCTTCCAGCTTGGCCCTTTTCTCACTTGTGGACTTCAACTCCCAGAATTCCTCAGCCAGGATGCTTTAAGACAGGGGTCTTCCAACTTGGCCCTTTGATGACTTGTGGACTTCAACTCCCAGAATTCCCTGAGGGCTAGATTCGAATAGCCTAAATCAGGGGTAGGCAATCTTGGCTCTTTTATGACTCGTGGACTTCAAATCCCAGAATTCCTGAGCCAGCCATGCTGAGGGGAAAGGGAGAGGTTTCCAAGTTGAGCCATGCTGGCTCAGGAATTCTGGGAGTTGAAGTCCACCAGTTATGAAGGGGCCATAGTTCCCCCATGCTGGCTGAGGAATTCTGGGAGTTGAAGTCCAAAAGTCATGAAGGGGTCATAGTTCCCCCATGCTGGCTGAGGAATTCTGGGAGTTGAAGTCCACGAGTCATGAAGGGGCCATAGTTCCCTCATGCTGGCTCAGGAATTCTGGGAGTTGAAGTCCACGAGTCATAAAAGAGCCAAGGTTGCCTACCCCTGGCCTAAATATATCCCGGAGTGAGTTGGCAGGCAATCTACAAATCACACTGACAGAATGAGGGAAGCGTCCATGAAAAAAAAAATCATTTTCTTATGAGTAGAAAGAGCAACACTTTGTTCCTGAAAGCTATTTGAGCGTCCTCGGGGATTTGGCCACATTACTTGGCACTTGAGGATGCTAACTCCTGGCAGGCCGGCCGATGAAAAAAAATCCCAGCTGTATGGGGAGAAAGGATGTCGGATTCCAGTGTCCTAAGATTACCTGGAGGAATTTTGCTGGGTTTATTTTAGCATTTTTAGCCTCAAGAAGGGGGCTGGCAGACCTGCTGGCCTGCAAAGTGTCAAAATGGACGAGAACCTGCTGCACACATTTCAGAAGCAATGGCGTTTTTAAGGGTGAGATGCCTATAAGGCAGCGTTTCTCCTTGAGCAGTTTAAGATGGGTGGACTTCAACTCCCAGAATTCCTCAGCCAGCATACTTAGAAGATGGGCTAACTTCGAGTCCCAGGATTCCCCAGGCAGCACGCTTTAAGATGGGTGGGTTTCAATTCCCAGAAAGCCCCAGCTAGCTTGTTGAAGTCCACCCCTCTTAAAGCAGGCTGGTTGGGGAATTCTGGGAGTGGAAGCCCTCTTAAAGCAGGCTGGCTGGGGAATTCTGGGAGTGGAAGTCCACCCCTCTTAAAGCAGGCTGGCTGGGGAATTCTGGGAGTGGAAGTCCACCCATCTTAAAGCATGCTGGCTGAGTAATTCTGGAAGTGGAAGTCCAACCCTCTTAAAACAGGCTGGCTGGGGGATTCTGGGAATGGAAGTTCTCCCATCTTAAAGCAGGCTGGCTGGGGAATTCTGGGAGTGGAAGTCCACCCACCTTAAACCATTTTATGACTTTTCTTGCCACTGTTGTTAAAATGAATCATTGTCATTGTTAAGTTAGTCATACAATTGTTGAGTGAATCTGGCTTCCCAATTGACTTTGCTTATGAGAAGGTTGCAAAAGGGGATCACATGAACCTGGGACACTGCGACCGTCATAAGTATGAAGCAGTTGCCAGCATCCAAAGTCTGATCATGTGACCACGGGGATGCTGAAATGGCCGTAAGTGTGAAAAACGGCCCTAAATTCACTTTTTTTCACTGCCGTTGTACCTCTGAATGGTCACTGAACGTACTATTGTAAGTTAAGGACTTGCTTGTAGTTTGATTTCAGCTTGTTAAATAATTTTAATAATAAACTTTCTACCTCAACAGGAAATTAATAAGTATACATGGTCTCTGAGATGATCCCAACTGAGACCGGAACTTGCCACTAAGCGAGACGATAAAGTGAGTCATGCAACCATTTTAGACCGTTTTTTTCTCACAGTTGTTAAATCAGTGGTTCTCCACCTGTGGGTCGGGACCCCGTTTGGGGTCGAACGACCATTTCACGGGGGTCGCCAAACAACGCAGTCTGCCATTTTTTCCCCCCTTTCCTTAGCTGTGCTACTCCCTTGAAAGCCAATAGAATAGACTCTCTTCCATAAAGTCTAATTCTATTGGCTTTCAAAAGCCAATAGGAATTGTCCAGGCTGTCTCTGCCCTGCTGAGCCCGCCAAAAGTCCCATTCTGCAAACGGTGCTGCACCAGTTGAGTAGTCCTCGACTTACGACCGGTTGAGTAGTCCTCGACTTACGACCGGTCGGGGGTCGCGGCATTAAAAAGGTTGAGAACCACTGTGTTAAATAAATGACCCGGCGTTCATTAAGTGAATCGCAGGGTCGTTAAACAAATCTGGTTTCCCCTGTTGATTTTGGTCGTCGGAATCGGCTGAGGGGGGGTCTCAAATGGCGAAGACGTGATGCTAGGACCCGCGTGATATCACATCATAATGCATCCCGTTGCCAATGCGTGTACAATTTAATTGTGCGATCATGGGGACGGTCATAAATGCGAGGAACGGCCGTAACTTCGGAGCAGAACATCTTATGCTGTGGTTTATCAAATCGGCTTTCTAATGATAAAGGGCACAATAATTTTTCCTTGTCCGTTGAAAGCAGCTGACAGCCGAGAGAGGGGAAAAAAAATCACTTGTGCCAAAGTGACCTCTTTATACGGAATAATTCCAGTAGAATGGCACTCTCTGCTGGTCATTAGAAAGGATCCCTTGCAGATCTATTTTTGCAGCCAATTTTTAACGAGAGTGCAGCATCAGTGGTCCTCCACTTACAACGGTTCATTTAGTGACCAAAGTTAAAACGGCGCTTAAAAAAAGTGACTGATAACTGTTTTTTTTTACACTTAGGACTGTTGCGGCATCTCCGTGGTCGGGGGACCAAAATTCGGACGCTCGGCAACCAGCTCATATTTAGAACGGTTGCAGCGTCCCAGGGGGAGCGGGGGTCACCTGATCCCCATTTTGGGACCTGCTAACAAGCCAAGTCAAAGGGGGAAGCCAGATTCACTTAACAACTGTGTGACTCACTTAACAACCAGAGGGATTCGCTTAAGAACAGTGGCAAGAAAGGTTGCGAAAGAGAGGGAAAAAAAATTCACTTAGCCGCTGTCTTGGTGAGCGACGGAAATTTTGAGCTCCATTGCGGTCGTACGTCGAGGACTAACTGTGGAGAGTCAGTCCATCACTTACTCTGGGAAGTTTCGCGGAACGATTTCTGGATTTCTTGAAGCAATTCTTCAGCGATGAGTGGTAAGGAAGGGTCCATCTTGAGAGCCAGGATGTGGGTCCTCTTTCCCCTAGCAGGGGAGGAAAAGAAAAGCGTAGGATTGCAAGGAAGAAATAAAAAAAATATTTATTTTAATTGACCAAGCGATACACAGAGAGAGAGAGACAGACAGACAGAGCCAGGATCCCTCACCACTTCTTCATCCTTAAGGAATCTCATGGTTTAGTTATTTACTTATTTGATCTAGATCCTGCTTTTATAATTTTTATAAAAAACTCAAGGCAATGAACACGTCTACTATTCCTTCCTCCTATTTTCCCCACAACAACAATCCTGTGAGGTGGGTCAGGCTGAGAGAGAGTGAATGGCAGGATAAAAATTCCCAGTCTCCTCATGATTGGCTCAAAGTCACCCAGCCGGCTTTCATGCCTAAGGCGGGACTAGAACTCACCGTCTCCTGGTGATTGGCCCAAAGTCACCCAGCCGACTTTCATGCCTAAGGCGGGACTAGAACTCACCGTCTCCTGGTGATTGGCCCAAAGTCACCCAGCTGGCTTTCATGCCTAAGGCGGGACTAGAACTCACAGTCTCCTAGTGATTGGCCCAAAGTCACCCAGCCGGTTTTCATGCCTAAGGCGGGACTAGAACTCACAGTCTCCTAGTGATTGGCCCAAAGTCACCCAGCTGGCTTTCATGCCTAAGGCGGGACTAGAACTCACAGTCTCCTAGTGATTGGCCCAAAGTCACCCAGCAGGCTTTCATGCCTAAGGTGGGACTAGAACTCACCGTCTCCTGGTGATTGGCCCAAAGTCAATCAACTGGCTTTCATGCCTGAGGTGGGACTAGAACTCACCGTCTCCTGGTGATTGGCCCAAAGTCACCCAGCCGACTTTCATGCCTAAGGCGGGACTAGAACTCACCGTCTCCCGGTTTCAAGCTCGGTGCCTTAACCACTAGACCAGTGGTTCTCAACCTTTTTAATGCCGCGACCCCACAACCGGTCGTAAGTCAAGGACTACTCAACCGGTCGTAAGTCGAGGACTACTCCACTGGTGCAGCACCGTTTGCAGAATGGGACTTTTGGCGGGCTCAGCAGGGCAGAGACAGCCTGGACAATTCCTATTGGCTTTTGAAAGCCTATAGAATTAGACTCTATTCAAGAGAGTCTATTCTATTGGCTTTCAAAAGCCAGTAGAATAAAAGGGAGTAGCACAGCTAAGGAAAAGGGGGAAAAAATGGCGGACTGCGTTGTTTGGCGACCCCCGTGAAATGGTCGTTCGACCCCAAATGGGGTCCCGACCCACAGGTGGAGAACCGCTGGTCTAGACCAAACTGCCTCTCATATTTTTCCTTTTCCATGAAAAGGCTTTTCAATCACCCTCCAAGCGCTTATAGCATCTCTGGAACACCCAATCCGGCCCTTGTTCAGTAAAGGTCATTCTTTTTTTTTTAACGTTGCCAAAGACCAGATGTTTTTAATAATATTAAGAATAAGAATAAGAATTCCTCAGTCTCTTGAACCAGACATGACCCATGTCTATCAATTCTGCCTTCTCATTAGCCGTGTAAGATTAAAAAAAAAAGGGAGGAAGATGCAACTTAAGGAGTCCAGACCAGCAGGTTTTTCTCCATAATAAGAGGGAGGAGAGTTGAAACCAATTTCAATTGCAGCCTAAACGCAGATGTCTCTCTTTTTTTTTTTGTCGCTTTCGTCACCCCTTTTGCTGTCCAAGAGGTGGCTGAGGAATTTTCAAAAGCTGATGTGAATCACCTACTAAATATTTACACGCGGGTGGTTGTTAAGAGCTTAATCAGGAGGAGGCGATTTAGAAATAGAAGAAAATCCAGAGACCAGCCACCCTAATGATAGATTTGTAAAAATTGATTTTTTTTAATTACCATATTTAGCTAAAATGAAGACAGCCCTGCATTTATGGCAATCTTTGTTCCCCTGCAAATAAAGATTAAAAAGCAAAAAATTTGCCTGCCTGTTTCCAGTTGGGACAGGAAACCCCAATTAACCCTCCCATTTTATTAAGCAAGGGAGAGAGAAGGCTCAACTTTATATATGAGCAACAAAGATGATTAGAGGACTGGAGGCTAAAATATATAAGGAATGGTTGCTAGAATTGGGTGTGTCTAGTTTAACGAAGAGAAGGACAAGGGGGGACATGATAGCAGTATTCCAATATCTCAGGGGCTGCCCCAAAGAAGAGGGAGTCAAGCTATTTTCCAAGGTGCCGGAAGGCAGGACAAGAAGCAACGGGTGGAAACTAACCGAAGAGAGAAGCAACCTAGAACTAAGGAGAAACTTCTTGACAGTGAGAACAATTAACCAGTGGAACTCCTTGCCTCCAGAAGCAGTGAATGCTCCAACACTGGAAGTTTTTAAGAAGAGACTGGACAGCCATTTGTCCGAAATGGTGTAGGGTTTCCTGCCTGAGCAGGGGGTTGGACTAGATGACCTCCAAGGTCCCTTCCAACTTTACTACTATTACTATATTGTGCAATTGTGTTTAGCTAGGCAGGTGGTGAAACAGTGTGAAGCTGTGAAGAGTTCCTAGGATGCCTCTGAAGGTAGACACACCTGAAAAGGTATTTGCGTCCACCCACACGAGTCTGGGTGAGCCTCGTCAAAAGGGGTTAATTTTCTCGTCTTGCGAAGGCCTCCAGTTGGGGCCAGCCATTAAATGGTTGTTTTCTGGGATGGCTCTGTGAAGAAAGAAGCAGAAAATTGGAACTCAGAAGGAAGTATTGACATTTATCCAGAATGTTTGTATTGCCTGTTTGTATTAGTAGCTGCACACACACACACACACACACACACACACACACACACACACACACACACACACACACCATTCATAATCACACTGAGTCTCTTCCACCTACCTTCGGTAAAGTTTCTCCAAGGCTGATTTTTGCTCTATTCATTGCACCAAAGCTTTGCATGCACAACTTCCAGCAAATTCCAAGGGGGAGGGAACCAGCCCCCCTCAGGCAATTTGCAATTCATATGCCCTGACTGAGGAAGTAGCAGGAAACAGATCTCCAAAACTCAGCCCTGAATATCTTGCACTGGTGAACTCAGATTGGGAGTCTTAGGGCTCACTAGGTGCATTTTAAGAAAAAAAAATTAATAGCCTGGCTTGCATACTGGCTAACAGGTCATGGGTCGGCAACATGCGGCTCCGGAGCTGCATGTGGCTCTTTGAACCTTCTCCTGCGGCTTCCAGCCTCCTCCGCCATTTGCAGAGAGACAGAGAGAGACACTTGTGCTTCCCTTCTCTCTCTCTCTCTTTCTTTCTCTCTCTCTCTCTCTGTGTGTGCACGCGCGCGCATAAAAAAGAGAGTGGCCTCACGCTGTTCTCAGACAAGCTGACAAGCTTATTGGGTGGGGCTCCTGCCTTTGCTGCATCTCAGCAGGAAGCAGCATCTCTCTCTCTCTCTCTCTCTCTCTCTCTCTCTCTCTCTCTCTCTCTCTCTCACACACACACACACACACACACACACACACACACACACACACACACACACACTGAGTGGGGGAAGAGGACTGGCAGACCAAGAGCAGGAGAGATCCAGCCCAATAAGAATGTGTGTCAGCTTGTCGGACAACAGCATGAAGCCAGCTTGTCAGGTGACCAAAAGGTCAGGGAGAGGGGGGGGGAGAGAGAGAGGGAGGGAGGGAGGGAGAAAGAAAGAAAGAGAGAGGGAGAGAGAGAGAGAGAGAGAGAGAGAGAGAGAGAACTCATGCACAGCAGACTCTATTTCTTTTTAATTAAACTCTTCAATCAAGCTCTTCCCCCTCGCGCGTGCGCACGGTTTGCCGCTCCCAGTGTTTTTTTTTCTCTGGGAAACGGGTCCAAGTGGCTCTTTGAGTGTTTAAACCCCTGGGCTAACCTCAATTGGACATTACAAACCTGGATGCGCTGAATTAAGAGCTAAGGCAGGAAACAACCCTTGAAAATGGGCAGCCAGTGGTTATGTACTGAGACAAACCACGGCTGTGAAGAATTTTGGGGAGGAATGTGCAAACCTGACTGGAAGCTCAAAGTGACATCCAACATTCGAAAGTGATTGGCACAGAATATTGGAGGCTATACATTTCTTTTCCACCTAACAAATTTTTTTGCCCTGACTTTTAGAACTTTATGGGTTGGAAGCACCCCTTTTGGGAGCAGGGATCTTTTTTTGCTTGCCTCCATTAGTGTCTTCTTCTTCTTCTTTTTTGGCTTAACAGTTCTAAAGCAGTGGTTCTCAACCTTTTTAATGCCGCGACCCCACAACCGGTCGTAAGTCAAGGACTACTCAACCAGTCGTAAGTCGGGGACTACTCCACTGGTGCAGCACCGTTTGCAGAATGGGACTTTTGGTGGGCTTAGCAGGGCAGAGACAGCCTGGACAATTCCTATTGGCTTTTGAAAGCCAATAGAACTAGACTCTATTCAAGAGAATCTATTCCATTGGCTTTCAAAAGCCAATAGAATAAAAGGGAGTAGCACAGCTAAGGAAAAGGGGGAAAAAATGGCGGACTGCGTTGTTTGGCGACCGTAAAATGGTCGTTCAACCCCAAATGGGGTCCCGACCCACAGGTTGAGAACCACTGGTCTAAAGCTTGTTTACCAAGTCTCCCTGATCAGATCAATTTTAATCTTGTGCCAGTAAGTGTGTCATTCACACACTTGCGACACAAAGCGGGATTGTGGAAAGTCAGTCCCCCCTTCCCCCAGAGAAGGAAATATTAAAAACGGCAAAAAAATATATTTTCTCCAAAGGTCTTAAAGAAGCAGGAAAGCATGCCCAGTTTTTCTTAATAGTCCCAAGTCTCTCTCCCCGCAAGCAGAAACCAGCTGTGTAGAAATGCAGATGTAAATCCAGGGAGCTAGAAGATTAGGACGACAAAGACCTAAAATCTGCATACCCCACTTGGGACAGGACATGGTAGGATTAACTCACAAAGACCAAAGGGCACACCCAAACTCAGGTCAGAATACATGACACAGGAAATAGCCTCAAAACAGGAACAGGAAATAACTCCAAACAAAAGGCTCCAGAGGGTATAAAAACCTACTTCCTACATGTGCTCAGTCCTTTTTTCTCTCCTTTTGCTGCCACAGCCATCTTTCTGTCTGGCTCCCCTCTCCAATAAACTACAACCTTCTTCCCAAAGCAGTTGTGTTTATTCCCAGCTTGGATGAACCAGGATGAAGACTTTTCTTCCAACGGAAGGAAGGAAGGAAGGAAGGAAGGAAGGAAGGAAGGAAGGAAGGAAGGAAGGAAGGAAGGAAGGAAGGAGAGTGAGGGGAAGGAAAGAAGGAAAGTGTAAGGGAGGGAAGGATGGAAATAAATGAGAAAGGAAGGGAGGGATGAAAGAAGGAAGGAAGGAAAAAAGGAAGAAAACTGAGAAAGTGAAGTGAAGGAAGTAGAAAATATGAAAACGGGAAAGTGGAAGGAGGGAGGGAGGGAAGAAGGAACAAGGAAGCAAGAAAGGAAATAAGAAACAAAGAGGAGAAGAATGGGAGAGAGGGAAGGAGGGAGGAAGGAAATGGGAGGGGAAGAAAATGGGAAGAAAACAAAGAGAATATAAGAAACACACCGTCATATCTCCTCATCAAACTCATTCCTATGATTTTAGTAAAGGATCAGATATCACCTGCCTCCCTCTCTCTCATCATCATCGATCATCTATTGCAGTGATGGCGAACCTTTTAGAGACCGAGTGCCCAAACCGCAACCCAAAACCCACTTATTTATCGCAAAGTGCCAGGGCCGCATCAGTATTGTGGTACCCTGGGGCGGGGCAGGGAGGCGCCTCTGAGTGCCGCTTCTGGCACACAAAATCTGGGGGCGCAAAAATGGGCCACCGTGCTGCAAGGCGCAAAAACAGCCGCCGCTGCACCACGGGGTGCAGATACAAGGCGCTGCACCACGCAAGAACGGGGCAGGGCTAGTGAGTATCACGCAGGCACTAGCCCCACCCCATTTGCAGTGTGTGCGTGCTTGCGGCCCCGTGCGCGCATGCACGCGTGTAAAATGCTTCCCCCTCCCTTTTCTTCCACTCCACCAATTGACAATGGTTGGTGACCCTCTGCTCTACCACCTCTACTCAAGCTTGCTAGTCGGCTGCTTTGCCTCCTTTGTGCTGGGCGGGGCTCCTGCTCCAGGTGGCGGTGGTGGCCTGATGGACCTGCTATTGGTGGCGGTGGCACGCGTGCCAAAAGAGAGGGCTCTGAATGCCGCCTCTGGCACGCGTGCCATAGGTTCTCCACCACTGATCTATTGCTATAATTTCTGTAGCTGCCCATCTTTAGCCAAATGACTCTGTTCAGTTGTTTCTCCTTCTTCTTTTCTTTTTCTTTCTTTTTCTCTTCTTTCATTCTTTCTTTCATTCTTCCTACTTCCCTCTTCTTCCTTCTTTCCTTTTCTCTTCCTTCCTTCTTTCCTTCTTCTTTCATCCTTCCTACCTCTCTCTTCTCTTCTTTCTTTCTTTCTTTTTCTCTTCTTTCATTCTTTCTTTCATTCTTCCTACCTCCCTCTTCTCTCTTTCTTTCTTTCCCTTCCTTCCTTCTTTCTCTTTCTTTCATTCTTCCAACCTCCCTCTTCTTCCTTCCTTCCTTCCTTCCTTCCTTCCTTCCTTCCTTCCTTCCTTCCTTCTTTCTTTCATCCTTCCTACCTCTCTTCTCTTTCTTCCTTTTCTCTTCTTTCTTTTTCTCTTCTTTCATTCTTTCTTTCATTCTTCCTACCTCCGTCCTCTCTTTCTTTCCCTTCCTTCCTTCCATCTTTCTCTTTCATTCTTCCAACCTCCCTCTTCTTCCTTCCTTCCTTCCTTCCTTTTCTCTTCCTTCCTTCCTTCTTTCTTCTTTCATCCCTCCTACCTCTCTTCTTTCTTCCTTTTCTCTTCTTTCTTTCTTTTTCTCTTCTTTCATTCTTTCTTTCATTCTTCCTACCTCCCTCTTCTCTTTCTTTCCCTTCCTTCCTTCTTTCTTTCATTCTTCCCTCCCTCTTCTTCCTTCTTTCCTTCCTTTTCTCTTCCTTCCTTCTTTTTCTTCTTTCATCCTTCCTACCTCTCTCTTCTCTTCCTTTTCTCTTCTTTCTTTCTTTCTTTCTTTCTTTCTTTCTCTTTCCCTCTTCTTTCATTCTTTCTTTCATTCTTCCTACCTCCCGCTTCTCTCTTTCTTTCTTTCCCTTCCTTCCTTCTTTATTTCTCTTTCCTTCTTTCAACCTCCCTCTTCTTCCTTCCTTCCTTTCTTCATTTTCTCTTCCTTCTTTCTTTTCCTTTCTTTCTTTCTCCCTCTTTCCTTCCTCCCTCCTTCCCTCCCAAGTGATGGTGGGTGGGGGGAAATTCATTAAGGAAAGCAAGAATAACACACAACGCCTGAAACACTCCAACGGAAGGCAGTTTTCCCTGTCTGCTCTTTTCAAAAGAAAATAAAAGAAGAGGAAGAGGATAAGAAGAGAGTCCAGTACTGCTACCCCTACTATCTGCCCCCCCCCCAAGAGTGAGGTCGGGATGATTTAAATCCATTGCATGTTTTGGCAAGAGGATGGCTGCTTTTTTGGCAGTGGCACCAGCTGGAGATCCTGGGAATGTGACCTTTCAGGGATATTAATAATTGCGATGCGCGGACAGAAGCACGGCCCTCAACTCCGGTTTTTTCCTCTACCGGCCAGCAAAACAAGAGATTTATCCCTGAAAAACGAAGAAGCTCTTGAAACACACACAAAATGCCCCTTGGCAAAATAGGGGAGAATCTCTTCCAAGATAAGTCAGGGAGGGGAAAAAAAATGATTTTTCTTATTTGGAGTTTCGCCTGTGCTGGGTCTTTTGAGTTCAGACTGAAGGAAAAAAACATGGAAATTGGCATCGGGATAAAGAAACGGAAGCAAAATGATTGATGTTGGTCTGAGAGTCACAAGTGGCAGCATCTGGCGAAGCTGGGTCCAGATGTGGCTTTTTGATACGGAGGGGAGACCACAAGGAGATCTCGGGTTTGTAAACTAGACCGGAATGTTTAAAACAAAACATGGGGAGAGGCAGTGACAAGTTGTCCTCAGCTACAAGTTATCCTCAGCTTAGGACAGTTTATTTAGTGATCGTTCGAAGTTACAACCGCACTGAAAAAAGTGACTGATGACCATTGTTCACACTTACGACCGTTGCAGAATCCCCATGGTCACGTGATCAGATGCTTGGCAACAGGTTCATATTTACGACGGTCGCAGCGTCCTGGGGTCCTGTGATCTGTTTTGTGATCTTCTGACAAGCAAAGTCAATAGAGAAGCCAGATCCACTTAACAACCATGTTGCTAACTGAACAGTGGCAAATGATTCACTTAACAACAGGGGCCAGAAAGATGGGGCAAAACTCATTTAACAGTTGTTTCACTTAGCAACAGAAATTTTGGGATCGTCATAAGTTGGGGAATGACCTGCATTGGGAAGAAAACCTCCTAGCGGCCTCTAGAATCTAATTCATTTTTACGTGAGGTTTAATTTCTTTTAAAATGCTGGTGGTTTTTTAAGCTACAGAATTCTCAGAACACAATAAGGACTAGAATTTCCATTGCAATGATTCAGTGAGCCATGCCCGGTTTTACGACCATTTTGCCATGGCTGTTAAGTGAATCATTGCAGTTGTTAAGTGAATAAGGTGATCATCAAAAGGAGGGAGTCAAGCTATTCTCCAAAGCGCCTGAAGGCAGGACAAGAAGCAATGGATGGAAACTCATCAAGGAGAGAAGCAACCTGGAACTAAGGAGAAACTTCCTGACAGTGAGAACAATTAACCAGTGGAACAACCTGCCTCCAGAAGCGGTGAATGTTCCAACACTGGAGGTTTTTAAGAAGAGACTGGACTGGTATAGGGTTTCCTGATTGAGCAGGGGGTTGGACTAGATGACCTCCAAGGTCCTTTCCAACTTTATTATTATTATTATTATTATTATTATTATTATTATACTACTACTACTATATACTACTACTACTACTACTACTACTACTACTACTACTATGGATCATCGCACAGTCAGCCAGATGTTCAGACTGGATTTGGCATTTTGTCTACCTATCGAGTCCTTACCCAGGACCTGGGATAGGCAGATGTGGATGTTTGATGGTATTACAGGTATCATCCCAGGATGGAAGCAGTTCCTAGTAAGGCCGCCTTTTGCAATTGACTAATAGCGAATTTGTCAATGCCGATGAGGGTGTCCAAGTGGTGTTCCGGTTGTTTTGGGATTGCACCCAAGGAGCCTATGACTATTGGTACTACCCTTGCTTGCTTTTGCCACAGTCTTTCTATTTCTGTCTTTGTATTTATTATTATCATCATCATCATCATCATCATCAAGCAAATCAAATCCAGCTTCTCCCATTGACTTTGCATGTTGGAAGCCAGCTGGGAAGGTGGCAATGTTGATCATATGATCCCAGGATGGCACAACTGTCCTAAATACACGCCAGTTGCCAAGCAACTGAATTTGATCATGTGAGTTGTGGAGACGTTGTGACGGTCGTAAGTGTGAGGACTGCCCATAACTCATTTTTTTTTCAGTGCCTTTGTAATCAATGAACGGTTGCAAATCGAGGACTGACTACCTGTATTCGTAATTAATTTCTTCTTCTTTTTAACTAATTCTCGTGATTAATTTTATTGTTTTATCTACTTTACTCGGTTTTTTTTAAAGCGACGGTACAAAGATACGGTATAAAGTTTGACATGAGGTGGCTAGTGTTGGAGGTTTTGTGTTTTTCTAAAAAAAATAAAATAAAATTAAAACACGAGCAGTTTTGTACAAAACTGAAAACAAATCGAGGCGGGAAACGAGGGGCTCTCCAAAAAAGAAGGCCCTGTGTGGCGCCGTTGCCAAGCAACAAAGCTTTTCCCTGCGCTGACCTGAGTGGCTAATTTCAGTCACGTGCGACGCCGCCTTCTCTTCCACCATCCACTAACGTACGTAGAGAGGGCGACGTCGAGCGCCTCGCGCGGAGGATTAATTTCAAAGCACCTGATGCTCAAGTGACATCTTAGGTATGGCCTACTCTGCGCATGCGCACAGCAGAACGAACGGAGAGCTAGAAAAGGGTAGAATGAGCCTTTCAAAAGCCGAGGGCGGGAAAACGAGGTGGAGTATCCGATATTTGGCAAGTAATGAATGCTTCCGAATAAGCCAATTCCTCCTTCTCACAGAGTGATAAATCCGTGAAGTAAACAACTAACATTTAGCTCGTTTCTCTCACGTGGTGTCAAAAATATCTCGCAAGACCTCAACGCTCACCACTCTATAAGAAGTAGTCTATGAATCGAGCGATGAACTCACGTGCCTGAACGTTCCCTGTTCTGGCGTCGGCTCCCTGATCACGTGCCGAGGGAGTGACGTCACCGTCGTCGTCAGGGTCACCCTGCTGCTTCTTCCTCCTTCCTCCGCCTCCTCTTAAAGGGCCATGTCTCTTTTCTCGCCGCTCCTACGGCTGCCGCCACGAGGCCTCGCCGCGGCCGCCGTGGCCGCCCGACACCGCCTGGCGCAAGCGAGGCCCCGGCCGGGCAGAAACGGAGGTCAGAGCCGAAGGACGCCCCGCCAAGCGGCAGAAGGAGGAGCTGTCAGCGTTGGCAGCGGCCTCGGCCTATCAGGTAAAGGGGGCGTGTCTTCTTGTCCAATGGAGACTCAGGGTAGGAGGAGTGGGCGTGGTTTCCAATGTGGGCGGGGCCTCCGAGGCATAAATGGAATGGCGGTATTGTCCCATTCGCTGATTGATTGAAAATAAGTTTTTTTTCTTTAAAAAAATCATCTATTTCTTTACATTATGAATTAAGGCAACAAATGGATTGAAAAGAAGCCAAGGAAGAGGCTTGCAAGTTCTGGATCTTAAAAAAAAATCAATAAAGAGTCAGTTCCCCCCCCTCCCCCAGCTGCCTATTAACTTCCTACCATTATCCTCAGCCAACATGGGCAGAGGCTGATGGGCATGGAGTACCAACTTGGCAACTTTTAAGAGGGGTGGACTCCCAGAATTCCCCAGGCAACATGCTTTAAGAGGGGTGGCCTTCCACTCCCAGAATCCCCCAGCCAGCTTCCTTTAAGATGGGGGGACTTCAACTCCCAGAATCCCTCAGCCAGCAATGCTTTAAGATGGGCAGACTTCCACTCCCAGAATCCCCCAGCCAGCCTGCTTTAAGAGGGTAGACTTCCACTCCCAGAATTCCCCAGCCAGCAATACTTTAAGAGGGGTGGACTTCCACTCCCAGAATCCCCCAGCTAGCTTCTCTTAGATGTGTGGACTTCAATTCCCAGAATCTCTCAGTCAACCATCCTGGCTGAGGAATTGTGGGAGTTGCAGTCCACCGGTCTTAATGTTGCTGTCTTGCACAATCATCTCGGCTTTAAGCTTGGCAGCCGCTCTGAATGGCTGGGCTGGCAGCCTGTGGCGGGGAAGGGGGCTGAAAGCCGCGGTTGGAAGCTGCCCCTGCAGAGAGCCAGGCCAGCCGATGTGCCTCTGCCCTGGGCCCCCTTTTCTCTGCCTGGGGGGGGATGCAGAGACCCGACGCCTGTCCTCTCCGATGCCAGCCTCTGCCCCTTGTCTCGTCTTCCAGCCTTCTTCCTTTTCTCCGGGGAACCTGCGCAGAAGGAGGGCGAGGGCGATGCCGAGGGAGGAGAGGCCAAGGCGGACCCGGAGGCCGCCATCATTCTGGTGCTGAAGAAAGCCAAGGTGAGCCCAGGCCTTGGGGAGGGAGGGGAGTCTGTCCTCTTGGCAAGCCAGGCCTCTGGGGGAGGACAGAGAGCAGCTGCTGCCGCTCTCCCCCACCCTCAGGCTGTTCCCGGGGAGGGGCCAGAGATGCCTCCGTCCCTCCCCATCCGTGGTGGGGCCAGGGGTCTCTGCAAGAAGGAGAGGGGGTTGCTACCTTGGTCTCTAAAAGGGCACAATCGTGTTTTAAAATCTTTTCTTGGAACAACCAGGCTGGTTTTGCTAATTTAATCAGACTTTTTCTCCTTCCTTCCTTCCTTCCTTCCCTCCCTCCCTCCCTTCTTTCCATCTTTCCTTCCTTCCTTCCTTCTTTTTCTTTCCTTCTTTCCTTCCTTCCTTCCTTTCCTCCTCCCTTCCCCTTCCTTTCTTCCTTCCTTCCCTCCTTCCCTCCCTTCTTTCCATCTTTCCTTCCCTTCCTTCCTTCTTTTTCTTTCCTTCCTTCCTTCCTCCCTTCCCCTTCCTTCCTTTCTTCCTTCCTTCCCTCCCTCCCTTCTTTCCATCTTTCCTTCCCTTCCTTCCTTCTTTTTCTTTCCTTCCTTCCTTCTTTTTCTTTCCTTCCTTCCTTCCCTCTTCCCTTCCCCTTCCTTTCTTCCTTCCCTCCCTTCTTTCCATCTTTCCTTCCCTTCCTTCCTTCCTCCCTTTCTTTTTTCCTCCCTCCCTCCCTCCCTTGTTCCTTCCTTCCTTCCTTCCTTCCTTCCTTCCTTCCTTCCTTCCTTCCTTCCTTCCTTCCTTCCTTCCTTCCTTCCTTCCTTCCTTTCTTTCTTCCCTCCCTCCCTCCCTCCCTCCCTCCCTCCCACCACAAGCTGAAGATCATGAAAGGAGAAATGGAAGAAGCCGAGCGCCTCCTGCACGAAGCCGCTTGGCTGTCTCAGCAATCAAACAACAAAGCGGCCATCATTTACACCTATGACATGGTTAGTCTCTAGAGCCCTTGTGAGCACTGCAGCTCCCCTTAGCCTCCCCGTGGTTCTTCTCTGCAGCCCTTCCAGAAGAGGCTCTGCTCAGGGAGAGAATCATGATCACGTGAAGTCTTAATACCACTTTACAAGGCCTTGGTAAGGCCACACTTGAAATACAGCATCCAGTTTTGGTCACTACGATGTAAAAAAGGTGCTGAGACTCTAGAAAGAGTCCAGAGAAGAGCAACAAAGATGATTAAGGGACTGGAGGCTAAAACATATAAGGAACGGTTGCTAGAATTGGGTATGTCCAGTTTAATGAAGAGAAGGACAAGGGGGGACAGGATAGCAGTCTTCCAATCTCTCAGGGGCTGCCCCAGAGAAGAGGGAGTCAAGCTGTTCTCCAAGGCGCCTGAATATAGGACAAGAAGCAACGGATGGAAACTGATCAAGGAGAGAAGCAACCTAGAACTAAGGAGAAACTTCCTGACAGTGACGACAATTAACCAGTGGAACTCCTTGCCTCCAGAAGCTGTGGATGCTCCAACACTGGAAGTTTTTAAGAAGAGACTGGACAGCCATTTGTCCAAAATCGTATAGGGTTTCCTGCTTGAGCAGGGGTTGGACTAAATGACCTCCAAGGTCCCTTCCCACATTATTATTATTATTATTATTGATCATCACACAGTCAGCCAGATGTTCAGACTGGATTTGGCATTTTGTCTACCTATATTATTATTATTATTATTATTATTATTATATTAAAAGCTGCTCGGGGCTTCCGAGAGATTTCCACAAGAGAAGCAGGGAAAAAGTGAAACCGCCCCATTTTCCTTCCTGTGTTCTAGATGGCAAACTTGGCCTTCCTCAGAGGAGAGCTGGAGAAGGTAAGACGAGATGAAAGACAACCGACAACTTTGTGTGTGTGTGTGTGTGTGTGTGTGTGTGTGTGTGTGTGGCCTTGTGGGGTGGGGAGGAGTTGGGAAGGGGCTGCGGTGAGCCCATCTTCTCAAACCTCTTGGGATCTCTGAACAGCTCAGCCTCAACCCTCCTCTTCTCACTTCTCCTTTCAGGCTGAAAAGCTTTTCAAGGCCACCATGAGCTACATGCTCGCCGGGGACGTAAAGCAAGTAAGCGCGTTTCTCGGCTAGGAACCGGCCCCGTGGTTTTGGATCAGCTGGCTCTGAAGTAGGGGGGTCTCCAAATCTGGCCACTTTAAGGCTTGTGGGCCGCCACTCCCAGAATCCCCCAGCCAGCATGCCCAGTTGGGTCATGAAACGTCTGCAAGAAAGCCACCAAGCTCAGAGAGCACCAAGACCCCATCCTCCTCCTCCTCCTCCTCCTCCTCCTCCTCCTCCTCCTCCTCCTCCTCCTCCTTTCTAGCACTGATGATGTTCCCTAGTTGGGTCATGAAACATCTGCAAGAAAACCACCCAGCTCAGAGGGTACCAGGGACCCCAGAGTCATCTTCCTCCATCTCCTCCTCCTCCTCCTTCACTCCACAATCTTCCCTCCCTTCTAGCACTGAGGATGTTCCCTAGTTGGGTCATAAAACGTCTGCCAGAAAACCACCAAGCTCAGAGAAGCACCAAGGACCCCACAATCGTCCTCCTCGCAAATCCCGCTCCCTTCTACCACTGATGACGTTACCTAGCTGGGTAATAAAACATCTGCAAGAAACCAGCCAAGTTCCAACAGCACCAAGGACCCCACGGTCCTCTTTCTGCTTTTTTTCTTCCTCCATCTCTTTCCCCTTTTCCTCTTCTCCTCCTACACTCCACAAACCTCACCCCCTTTGACTGCTGATGGTGTTACCTAGTTGGGTCATGAAACGTCTGCAAGAAAACAACTGAACTCAGCAGCAAGGACTCCTCCTCCTCCTCCTGCTCCTCCACAAACCCCACACTCATCTAGGGCTGATGATGTTCCCTAGTTGGGTCAAGAAACGTCTGCAAGAAAACCTCCAAGCTCAGAGAACACCCAGGACCCCCACAGTCGTCCTCCCCCCCTCCTCCTCCTCCTCCTCCCTTCTAGCACTGCTGATGTTCCCTAGTTGGGTCATGAAACATCTGCAAGAAAACCACCCAGCTCAGAGAGCACCAAGGACCCCCACAGTCCTCCTCCTCCTCCTCCTCCTCCTCCTCCTCCTCCTCCTCCCCACAAATGCCTTCTAGCACTGATGATGCTACCTAGTTTGGTAATGAAATTTCTGCAATAAAACCACCCAGCTCAGAGAGCAGCAAGGACCCCCACAGTCCTCCTCCCCTCCTCCCCACTCCCCCCCCCGTTCTCTCTTGCACCCAGCCCTCCCTTCTAACACTGATCGTATTACCTAGCTGGGTCATGAAACGTCTATAAGAAACAACCCCCCCCCCAGCTCAGAAAGCACCCAGGAGTCAGGGCTCATTTCTGCCTCCCGTGTCTTGGCTGTGGCCGTCCTCTCCTTCTGTCCAGTGACACAGTATTGTCACAGGAGGTTCATGGCTGAAGTTTGGGGGTCCTTGTGGAGTGTGGGGGGGAAATGTTAAGGAGGGGAAGAGAAGGAAGCAGTTTCACCAAGTGAAATTCGGCTAGTTGGCTTTTCCCACGCTTTCCAAAGAAACTCAAAAATGGAGAACAGTGTTTCCTACGTTCCTTCTTCGCTTGTGTGGTGCTCGGTGGGGAGGGGGGGCATCAAGCTTAGGTAGGCCATCCCTTACAGATGCCCACCCACCCCCTTTTTTCCCCTCTCCCTGATCCTCCAGGATGACAATGCCATTCTCCAGATGTCCCTGAAGTTGGCCAGCATCTACGCCGCTCAAAACCAGTAAGTTTGATCGCCTCTTGGTGCCTTTTCCTTTCCCTTGCTGGGCCCTAGGATAGAGTTTCTCCATTTCAAGACGGGTGGGACTTCAACTCCCCAAAATTGCCCAGCCAGCATATATACGAGTGTGTGGGTATATGTGTTTGTGTGTGTGTATATATATATATGTTTGTGTGTGTGTATATATGTGTGTGTGTTTGTGTGTGTGTGTGTTCAGATTTCTTTTTGCTGACAAAGAGTTAAAGAATTAAGTGGGAGACTAGAATAGCTATTTCGAGCTCATTTTGCTCTTATCAGCTGGCCACACCCTACATGCTAGGCCAGGGGTAGGCAACCTTGGCTCTTTTATGATTCGTCGACTTCAACTCCCAGAATTCCTGAGCCAGCCATGCTGAGGGGAAAGGGAGAGGTTTCCACACTAAGCCATGCCGGCTCAGGAATTCTGAGAGTTGAAGTCCACGAGTCATCAAGGGGCCATAGTTCCCCCATGCTGGCTCAGGAATTCTGGGAGTTGAAGTCCATAAGTCATAAAAGAGCCAAGGTTGCCTACTCCTGGTCTAGGCCAGGAGTGGGGAACCTTGGCTCTTTTATGACTCGTGGACTTCAACTCCCAGAATTCCTGAGCCAGCCACGCTGAGGGGAAAGGGAGAGGTTTCCAAGCTGAGCTATTCTGGCTCAGGAATTCTGGGAGTTGAAGTCCATGAGTCATAAAAGAGCCAAGGTGGCCTACCCCTGGCCTAGACCAGTCTTTTATGACTGGTGGACTTTAACTACCAGAATTCCTCAGCCAGCCTCCATTTTCTTTGTTAGATTTAAGACAGGAGTCTTCAAACTTGGCTCTTTTATGATTCGTGGACTTTAACTCCCAGAATTCCTGAGCCAGCATGGGGGAACTATGGCCTCTTTATGACTGGTGGACTTCAACTCCCAGAATTCCTGAGTCAGCCATGCTGAGGGGAAAGAGAGAGGTTTCCATGCAGAGCCATGCTGGCTCAGGAATTCTGGGAGTTGAAGTCCACGAGTAATAAAAGAGCCAAGGTTGCCTACCTCTGGCCTAGGCAGTTGTATTAACCACCAGGCCACCGGCTCTCCTCCCCTCTTTGTCAGCCAGAGTCAAGGGAGTATATACAAAAAGTTTTTTCAGACAGACCAGTCTGCTTGATTGTACCTTGGCATTTTGGACTGCTATACTGCAGTTCTACTTTTTTTTTATAATCACTTTTGCCTTGCAGCCCCCCCAACTTGGGGTGTTAAGCAGGCTTAAGTCGCTGCTGCGATCCATTATAAATTCAGATTTCTTTTTTGCTGACAGAGAATTAAGTTGGAGACTAGAATAGCTATTTCGAGCTCATTTTGCTCTCATCAGCTAGCCACACCCTTTATGGGATTCGAACCCAGGCAGCCTACATGCTAGGTAGTTGTATTAACCGCGTGGGTGTGTGTGTAGTGTGTGTGTGTCTGTGTCTGTGTGTAAAAGAGATGAAGAGACTTGGAGAAACAGCATCTCTTTTCTTAGAAAACCCGAATCCCCAAAAGAAATTTTAAATAAATCCTTTCTCTGTGCAGGGACAAACTAGCCCTGGCTGGCTATCAGTTCTGCATCCTGACCCTGGAGGAGAAGGTCGCCAAGCAGAAGGAGATGCCCGCGGACGCCTTGCCAGGTAAAAGGCTGCTGGGAGCCCAGTGGGCCACCCCAGACCTGTTGGCTGTCAGCCTGACCGCCTTGAGAACTTGCTTACAGGCAGTGCTCAACTTACGACCGACCACTTAGCGACTGCTAGAAGTTAGCAACCGACCTACATGCAACCTAGGACTCTGATTCTCTCAGCTGCCGCCCCCTGGTGGTCATGGGATGAACCTTCAGGCTCTCGGCATTCCCGGTTGCCTTTATGGCTCTGGTGTCCAGGGGTCCTCATTTTATGACAGTGTGGCTGAAAACGGGTATTTGCTTCCGGTTTTCAGCAGGACTGACGCCATTGTGAACCGCTGCCTCGCTTAACAACTGTGGCACTCACTGAACGGCTGCTGGGGGGAAAAAGGGGTCTTAAAATCAGGCTGCAGATCGAGGCATTTTCTGACTGTTATGACGTATGGCCACAATGAACAGGATCCATTGTGTGTCGTAAATTGAGGACCACCTGGTATTTGGCTGGGTGGGGAGGGAGAACCTACCTGAGAATCATAATTCACGGTATTACAGGTAGTCCTTGACTTATGACCATATAGTCCTCGACCTATGACCCAAATTCCTGTCTGCTAAGTGAGACCGTTGTTAAGTGGGTCTTGCCCCCTTTTATGACTTTTCTTGCCACCGTTCTTAAGTGGAAGACAGCAGTTGTCAGTTAGCGGGCAGGGTGGTGAAGTGAATCTGCCAAGCGAGTTTTGCCCCATTTTACAACCTTTCATGTCACAGTTGTTAAGTGAGTCACTGCAATTATTACGTTAATAATAATTAATTTAAAAACAAACGATTGTTAATGGTTATTAACTTGTTGTTAAATGAATCCGGATTTCCCCGTGGACTTTGCTCGTCGGAAAGTCGCAAAAAGGGGATCAGGTGATCCCAGGTGGCTGCGACCGTTGTAAATACGAGTCAGTAGTTGCCAAGTGTCCAGATTTTGATCACGTGGCCGTGGGGGATGCCGCAATGCCGTAAATGTAAGAAACGGTCATACATCCCTTTTTTTTCAGTGCTGTAGAATAACTTGGAACGGGTCACTAAATGGGACGTTGTAAATAACAACAATAATAATAAAGTTGGAAGGGACCTTGGAGGTCATCTAGTCCAACCCCTGCTCAGGCAGGAAACTCTGTACCATTTCAGACAAAGGGCTGTCCAGTCTCTTAAAAACTTCCAGTGTTGGAGCATTCATAGTTTCTGGAGGCAGGTTGTTAATATAATAATAAAGTTGGAAGGGACTTTGGAGGTCATCTAGTCCAACCCCTGCTCAGGCAGGAAACTCTATACCATTTCAGACAAATGGCTGTCCAGTCTCTTCTTAAAAACTTCCAGTGTTGGAGCATTCACCGTTACTGGAGGCAGGTTGTTAATATAATAATAAAAGTTGGAAAGGACCTTGGAGGTCATTTAGCCCAACCCACTGCTCAGGCAGGAAATCCTATACCAGTGGTGGCACGGGTGCCAGAGGCGGCACTCGGAGCCCTCTCTGGGGGCACATGTGCTGTTGCCCCAGCCTTGCCTCCTCCCATGACCCCCTCCTCACCAGCAGCCCCCCTGCAGAAGAGTCGCCCCCAAGCGTGGCCCACGCAAAGCAGCGCAGCCAAGGACATGGCAGCCGGGCAGCGTAGACAAGACTCTGCCCTCAAACCCCATTGTGCATAGTTGATGCTGCAGGGCACGGGCAGAGGGTGTGGCTGCCATGGTGTGGCCCTGCGGGCAGGCGGGATGGAGTGGGGCGGGGCCAGTTTTTGGGCACTTGGTCTCTAAAAGGTTCACCATCACTGCCCTAGACCATTTCAGACAAAGGGCTGTCTAGTCTCTTCTTAAAAACTTCCAGTGTTGGAGCATTCCCCGCTTCTGGAGGCAAGGAGTTCCACTGGTTAAAAGTCGAGGACCTGTCACGCAGACCGGAGCCGGGCTGGGTTGACAGTCTCCGTCCTTCTCTCTCCTTGCAGAGGAAGAGCGCAGCAACACCCACCTCCTGCTCGCCATGACCCTTGATTCCTACGCCCGCTATCTCCTGGCCCACCAGCAGACCGCCCTGGCCCAGACCATGTACGAACGGGCCCTGCAGATCGCGGTGGAGGTCAACGGCGAGAGACATCCGCAGGTGACCCCGCCCCTGGGATGTCCGGGATGAAGGACAGGGCACAAATTCACTGGACTGACAGGGTTTATACACTTGATACCCCAAAATAAGACCGGGTCTTATATTCATTTTTGCTCCAAAAGACAGAGGAGGGCTTATTTTCCGGCTAGGGCTTATATTTGGGGAAATAAGGTACTCAGCTGACCATCTTAACTGGGGCTTATTTTTTGGGGTGGAGGCTGATAAACATCAAGAAAAATCAAGCTAGGGCTCGTTTTCCAGTTAGGTCTTCGTTTTGGGGAAAAGACGGCAGGATTTCCCTTCTCGAGCAAGGGGGGGTCAGACTAGATGACCTCTGAAGTCTCCTCCGATGCTGTTCTTCTTGAAAGAAGAAGAATTAGCGACCGCTTGCCATTCAGATCCCGGGTTTGCGTGCAGGAGGACTTCAGCTCTTCCGGTTTCCCCGAAAGAAAAGGCGGTTTGGGGTGGGGTTGCCCTGGAGAGTGGGAGGCTGCGAGTTCGAGTGCTCCCTTTGGCACGGGAACAGGCCGGGCGTTGGGGGTGGGGATGGGCTCAGGACCATGCAACCCTCCTCGCAGGACACGGTGGTGTGGTGGGTAGCGAAGAGAGCAAGTGGGATGTCCCTGGATTAAAAATAAAGAAATGGCACAGTTGAGGACAGAAGGATTGGTTTGGCTGTGGAACATTGGCCTTTTTTTTTGTTTGTGGGGCCCTTGGTGCTCTCTGAGCCTGGTGGTCTCCTTGCAGGCATTGCGTGACCCCACTGGGTGACGTCATCAGGGTTTGAATGGAGTTTGGTTTATGGAAAAGGAAGAAAGAGGGGGGAGGAGGACTGTGGGGGTCCTGGGTGCTCTCTGAGCCTGGTTGTTTCCTTACAGACGTTTCATGACCCAACTAGGTAACATCATCAATGCTAGAAGGGTTTGTGGAGAGGAGGAGGAGGAGGAGGAGGAGGAGGAGGAGGTGGGAGAATGTTGATGAGGACCATGGAGTCCTTGATGTTCTCTGATCTTGGTTGTTTCCTTACAGACGTTTCATGACCCAACTAGGTAACATCATCAATGCTAGAAGGGAGCGGGGTCCGCTGTCATTTTAAATACAAGTGGCTTGCCCTGTCAGTGTCAGTGGGTGTGTAGTCTTGGTAGTTGCTTGATTAGGCTGCGGTTTAATGTTTGGTTGTTTGTCTGAGTTGGTAGCACCTTGACTGGGGTAAACAGAGGAAATCTGCCCCCCTCCCTTCTAGCACTGATGACGTTAGCTAGTTGGGTAGTGGAACGTCTGAAAGAAAACCAAGAGCACCAAGGAGCCCATAGTTGCTTTCCTCCTCCTCCTCCTCCTCCTCCTCCTCCTCCTCCTCCTCCTCCTCCTCCTCCTCCTCCTCCTCCTCCCTTGCTCTTTCTCCACAAACCTCACTCCCTTCTAGCCCTGATGATATTACCTAGTTGGTTCATGAAACATCTGCAAGAAAACAGCCAAACTCAGGGGGCACCAAGGACCCCACAGTCCTCCTCCTCCCTTCTAGCACTGATGATGTTACCTAGTTGGGTCATGAAAGGTCTGCAAGAAAACCACCAAGCTCAGAGATCACCAAGGACCCCCACAGTCCTCCTCTCTCCTGCCTTCTACCATTGATGTTACCTAGATGGGTCATGAAACATCTGCAAGGAAAACCACCCAGCTCAGAGAGCACCAAGGATCCCACAGTTGTTCCCCTCCTCCTCCTCCTCCTCCTCCTCCTCCTCCTCCTCCTCCTCCTCCTCCCTTCTACCACTGATAATATTACCTAGATGGGTCATGAGACGTCTGAAAGGAAAACCACCAAGCTCAGAGAGCACCAAGGATCCCACAGTTGTTGTTCTCCTCCTCCTCCTCCTCCTCCTCCTCCTGCCTTCTACCACTGATAATATTACCTAGATGGGTCATGAAACGTCTGCAAGGAAAACCACCCAGCTCAGAGGGCACCGAGCACCTCCCAGTTCCGCCCTGAGCTGCAGATAGCCTCTCCTCCTAAGTGTCATCTTTCCGGGCCTGAAGCCTTCTCCCTTCCCCTCCTGCATAAGGGGAGAGCCCCAGATAAACCTTTACCTGAGCCACCGATCCCCCCGAAAGCCCTTCATTTGGGGGAGCAGCTCACCTGACCCATCGAAGCCGCCTTTGCGCGCAAGGACAGCCTCTCCGCCTTCGGAGTCCCTCGACTTAACGTTGGCCCTTCTGGCCTGCCGTTGTGTTTTGTGTCGTTTCCCCTCCCTGGCTCAGACCGTGGTGGTGATGAACGACTTGGCCACGGCACTGGATGCTCAGGGCCTCTACGAGGACGCCTACGCCCAGGTGAGCCGCGCGGCGGAACTGGCCCAGCAGACCCAGCACCCCGATGCCCCCGTGATCCTGAACAACCTGGCCGGCATCCTGATCCATAAAGGTAGGGGCGGCATCGGGGTGGATTAGCCTGGTGGGGCAGGGAGAGGGGAAGGGGGGGACCCCATCAGGGACCCCCACCAGGAGGTCCCCAAAGTGCTTTTTTCAGGAGGCAACGGGACTATATACCTAATGCTCCCTCTTCCTCCTATTTTCCCCAGAACAACCCTGTGAGGTGGGTTTGGCTGAAAAGAACTGGACCAAAGTCCCCCAGCTGGCTTTCGTGCCTGAGGCGGGACTAGAACTCACCGTCTCCTGGTGATTGGCCCAAAGTCCCCCAGCTGGCTTTCAAGCCTAAGGCGGGACTAGAACTCACTGTCTCCTGGTGATTGGCCCAAAGTCCGCCAGCTGGCTTTCATGCCTAAGGCGGGACTAGAACTCACCGTCTCCCGGTGATTGGCCAGTCACCCAGCTGGCTTTCAAGCCTATGGCGGGACTAGAACTCACTGTCTCCTGGTGATTGGCCCAAAATCAATCAACTGCCTTTCATGCCTAAGGCGGGACTAGAATTCACCGCCTCTTGGTGTGATTGACCCAAAGTCATTCAGCTGGCTTTGATGCCTAAGGCAGGATTAGAATTCAGATCGCTTGGTTTTTTAGCCTGGTGCCTTTAACCAACTCTCTTAGCTGCCTATGTACAAGTAGTCCTTGACTTACGACCTCAATTGGGCCCAAAACTGCCATTGCAAAGTGAGACTGTCGTTAAGTGAGTTTGGCCTCATTTGACGACCTCTCTTGCCACAGTCTTTAAGTGAACCACTGCAGTTGTTAAAACAGTCACCCGGTTGTTAAGTGAATCTGGCTTCCCCCATTGACTTTGCGTGTCAGAAGATCGCAAAAGGGGATCACGTGACCCCGGGACACAGCGACCGTCATAAATAGAAGTCAATTGCCAGTTTTGATCCTGGCAACGGTCATTAAGTGTGGGGAAAACAACCATAAGTCACATTTTTTTTCAGCGCTGTGGTAACTTCCGTGCTCCCTAAACAATTAACCAATGGAACTCCTTGCCTCCAGAAGTTGTGAATGCCCCAACACTGGAGGTTTTTAAGAAGAGACTGGACAGCCATTTGTCTGAAATGGTGTAGGGTTTCCTGCCTGAGCAGGGGGTCAGACTAGAAGACCTCCAACGTCCCTTCCAACTTTATTATTATAAACGTCCTGTTGTAAGTCAAGGGCGACCTACAGTTCCTCAGCCACGTTTTAAGACGGGTAGATTCCAATTCCCAGAATTCCCTGTCCGGCATGCCTTCATCACAAGTGCCTAGGGCATTCTGGGATTTGAAGTCCAACTGTCTTCGTCTTTGCATTGTCTTTTTTTCCCCTTCTCAGGAGATTATTCCCAGGCCCAGCAGGTCTACCAAACCGCCCTGGAAGTGGCCGAGAAATCCGGGGACGGCGTTGCCGTCAGATACATCACGAAGGAACTGGCACAGCTGGCCAAGAGGAAACGGGTGCGAGCCAAAGCGAGGGCCGGCTTGCAGGAGATGGAGGCGGGCAAGGCCGGGGCTGAGGGGCCGAAGGAGTGACCGGCCCTGCTTCCCGCAATTGGCTTGGACTACGATTGTCCGAACTGCGACAGGTGCTTTGTCAGGGCCCCACGGCGTGGCTCTCCGTGGGGCAGCCCTCCACCGTTGCCCTGCCCAAGAGGACGGCATGTAGGGGGCGCCAGCTGGAGGGCAGAGGGTGAGGACCCCACCCCCAGGACAGCCCCAGTTGGCACCGCCAGGGGCCGAATAAAGCGGAGATACCTGCAGCTTTTAAGCCATAAAATTATCCTTATTTTTTTTAATTTCCCAGTCATTCCACGAGACCTGAGGGAGGCCTGCCCCTCCCAACTATAAGTTGTCCTCGACTTACAACCGTTCAAAGTTACAACGGCACCGGGAGAAAAAAGGGACGCGTTTTTCACACCTACGACCGTCCCAGCGTCCCCCAGGGTCACGCGATCCAAATGTGGGGCGCTTGGCAACTGCCTCGTATTTATGACAGCCGCGGTGTTCCCGGGGGATCACGCGATCCCCTTTTGCGGCCTTCGGGCTAGCAAACTTGACGCGGGAAGCCGGATTCGCTTAACGACGGTGTTACTGACTTAGCGACCGCAAGGATTGGCTTAACAACCGTAGAAAACTTTGTGAAAGGGGGCAACGCTCACCTCAGAGCTGTCTTGCTTAGCGACAGAATGGCTGGGCTCACGTGTGGTCGTACGTTGAGGATTACCTGGATGACAGAATGTGAGATAGGTAGGAAAGGCAAACAAGGAGAGAGGAGTAAGAAAAAAATGCCCTGTGAATGTCCCTGTTCTCTTGAAACCCAGAAGGTCTAATCCAGATCTCATGAAGTCATTTTTCCTGGATGACATCTGGGCACAGCAGTCAGATAGTTTGCAGAGAAGACCTGGGTTCAACGCCCAGAATTCCCCATCCAGCCTGCTTTAAGAGGGCCGGACTTCCATTCCCAGAATTCCCCAGCTTGCATGCTTTAAGAGGGGTGGGCTTCCACTCCCAGAATCCCCCAGCCAGCCTGCTTTAAGAAGGGTGGGCTTCCACTCCCAGAATTCCCCAGCCAGCATGCTTTGAGATGTGTTGGCTTCAACTCCCAGAATTCCCCAGCTATCCTGCTTTAAGAGGGGTGGACTTCCACTCCCAGAATTCCCCAGCCAGCATGCTTTAAGATGGGTGGACTTCAACTCCCAGAATTCCCCAGCCAGCATGCTTTAAGAGGGGTGGGCTTCCACTCCCAGAATCCCCCAGCCAGCCTGCTTTAAGAAGGGTGGGCTTCCACTCCCAGAATTCCCCAGCCAGCATGCTTTGAGATGTGTTGGCTTCAACTCCCAGAATTCCCCAGCTATCCTGCTTTAAGAGGGGTGGACTTCCACTCCCAGAATTCCCCAGCCAGCATGCTTTAAGATGGGTGGACTTCAACTCCCAGAATTCCCCAGCCAGCATGCTTTAAGAGGGGTGGGCTTCCACTCCCAGAATCCCCCAGCCAGCCTGCTTTAAGAAGGGTGGGCTTCCACTCCCAGAATTCCCCAGCCAGCATGCTTTGAGATGTGTTGGCTTCAACTCCCAGAATTCCCCAGCTATCCTGCTTTAAGAAGGGTGGGCTTCCACTCCCAGAATTCCCCAGCCAGCATGCTTTGAGATGTGTTGGCTTCAACTCCCAGAATTCCCTAGCTATCCTGCTTTAAGAGGGGTGGACTTCCACTCCCAGAATTCCCTAGCCAGACTGTTTTTAATTAGAGAACTCTGGGAGTTTGTCCAAACCCTGTCGAGGACTCAATCTTGAGATCAACACTGCTTTTTGGCGTAATTCTCACACCTTCCTTTGCACCCTACAAGAACGGGGAACAGATTTAAGATTCCCTCCGGGGACCAACCAACCCTGGCAGCTGCCTATGGGCTTTCTTGGGGGCACTGGGTGAGAGTGGGGACGGGGGAAAGGAGACACACCCCTACTTATTTTGGGGACAGCCATGATGAAAAGCAAAAAAGCCCCCCTTTCCAGCTGTCTGCTGCCCCATCCCTGAGAAAAGACAGATTGAACGAAACTCCACAAACCTGCCCTTTTTTTTTATTAGTTGATTCGTCTGAATTGTAGAAGTCACCATTTCACTCGAGGCATGGGTACCAACAGAACAGGGACATAAACGGGGGACATTTGGGATTCTTCTCTCTCTCCCCACTCCCACCCCTCCAAAAATAAAATTAAAACTGAACGTACCAAGGTGGAGAAGAACAACAGGCGACGTTTCGACGAAGTCCCATTCGTCATCTTCAGGCTGGTGTTTTCGGCTTCGTGCTTCGTATTCCTAGAAGCATGAAGCCGAAAACACCAGCCTGAAGATGACGAATGGGAATTCGTCGAAACGTCGCCAAGACACTTCCACTTTGACGTGGGAGAAAACCCAAATAACCAAAGACCTACATACAAACACCCGCAAAAACCTCAGAAAACATATATATAAGTATATATATTCTACCTCCCAAACTAGGAAATGTTATTGGAGATACTGAGGGACAATTCGCTGTGCAACACAGCCTGCTTGAAAACTACCAAATCTGTGGAATTTTTTGCAGAAAATTCCAACTGAAAGATGGAGCTTTTAAAAAAAACAAAAAACATTTTTCCTGGGCTTTGCAAAGTGCTGGCATCTTTTGACTTTCGCTTTGTTGGTTGAAGGTTGATGAAAGAAATTTGCAAAGGACGGATTGGCGAGAACCTTCGCAAGGATGTGTCCTTGCGATCTGACTTATTTATTTATTCTGAAAAATAAACCTGACGCCGTTGCCCCTCCTGTACGGTTTTCCGGTTGTGCGCTTTGTTTCCAGGGCCTCTCAGGGATGGAAAAACGGTTTAAAAGGCAACACAACTTCCGCCTCCCCCCCCCCCTTTCCTACGGTTCTTCATTCGGCAAATGTTAGTAACCAGGTTCCGAGCGCGATGGGAAGATTTTAATTTTATTTTTAATCAAGCCCTGCATGAAAACTGGAAAGGCAACACACAAAGGCAACAACACCCTGTTGGGATGAAAAGTCCAGTGCGTCCAGTGCGGTTGCTGAAGGGAGAACCAACTCGCCACTTTGTGTCACTCAAAGCAACTTCTCTCTGCGCTGCAGAGGACTACAACTCCCATCTGCACAGCCACAGAAGTGGGTATAATTCCAGGACTGTGGGAGGCCGATTCCCTTTACAGAAATTAGGTTTAGAGCAAATTTTTAAAGCGACGTTTCCCAACCTCAACGATATTTACGAAGTGTGGACGTCAACTCCCAGAATCCCCCACAGGCTGACTGGGGAATTCTGGGAATTGAAGTCCATGCCTCTTAAAGTTGTTGAGGTTAATGCTTTCTGCCTTAAAAATTTGCCAATGCTATCCTTCAATGGCCCAGAGGACAATTTGAGGGGAGAGGAAGAAGGAGAAAAAAAAAAGAAGAGATTTACAGTTCAGATTTATCTTTAAATTCAGCTTTTTTTTTTTTTTTTTCTCGTCGAGATTCTCCAAAGCTTGACCCGGTTCAAGATTCAAATGCTTTCACAAATTCTTCTCTTGCGGTTACACAAAATTGGCTTTTAAACAGACAACTGTAGCTTCAAATGCATACCAGAAGCCGTTTTGCAGGGCAATCTTAGCCTCGGTTTCGGGCCAAAAAAGGAAAAAAAAAAAAAGTGTGGGAAATTCTCTCGCAAGGCCGAGCGAATCGGCCGTCTTTTGCCAGAATCCACAGCTTAATTTTTTTCCAAAGGGAAGAAATACGAATTTGGGTGCAGAGACTTGCATGAAACAAAAGAACAGACTGGAGACTTGGCCTTTGCTACAGCCGAAGACCCGGCAATTTTGCTTTCAGTTAGGACAAAAAGCAGTTAAGATGACTTGGGAGTTAAAGACAGGAAAGGAGAAGAGAATTTATGGGAAGGAAGGAAGGAAGGAAGGAAGGAAGGAAGGAAGGAAGGAAGGAAGGAAGGAAGGAAGGAAGGAAGGGCCAGGGGTGGGTGGAAAAAAAAAATTGATTTGGACTGAGGTCACACCAGGAAGTGGGGGGAAATTTGGATAGCCCCCATGCAATGGTGTCCTTCACAGGCTTGCGGGAACAAAACCAACTGTACGGTAGGAGAAAGAAAAAAAAAACAACAAAAACAAAGCAAAACGAAGTTAAAATTACAGCATGGCATAATCATTAAAAAGATCTTGGTTATTCCAGCAGACCGGAGACTTCAAATGTACAGATCTCACCAAAAAAAAAAAAAAAAAAGGAAGGGGGGGGGGGAGAAGCAGTTTTCCAAAGGAAAAAAAATGTTTTCCACAAGTTTTAAACAACCACAGAAAAAAGGGGCAGGGGGTCAGCAGAGTGTTTAGAATTGTGTGTGTGTGTGTGTGTGCACACGCCTGTGTGGGGGGAATAGCAAGTTGCCCTCCAGAGCAAGCGGGGTGCTGCCTATGGACACAGGAGGGAGGGAGGGAGGGGGAGGGGAAGGGGGAGGAAGGGAGAGGGAGGGAGGGAAGGAAAAGGGGAAGGAAGAGAAAGAGGGAGGGAGGAAGGGGGATGGAAGGAGGGAAGAGAAAGAGAAAGAAGGGAGGGAGGGAGAAGGGAGGGGGAAGGAAGGGAGGGAGGGAGGAAGGAAAAGGAAGAGAAAGGGAAAGAAGGAAGGAAGGGAGGGAAGGGAGGAAAAGAGGAAGGAAGAGAAAGGGAAAGAAGGAAGGGAGGGGGGAAGGAGGGAGGGGGAGGAAGGAAGGAAGGAAAAGGGGAAGGAAGAGAAAGAGGGAGGGAGGAAGGGGGATGGAAGGAGAGAAGAGAAAGGGAAAGAAGGAAGAGAGGAAGGAAGGGGAAGGGAAGGAAGGAAGAGAAAGAGAAAGAAGGGAGGGAGGGAGAAGGGAGGGGGAAGGAAGGGAGGGAGGGAGGAAGGAAAAGGAAGAGAAAGGGAAAGAAGGAAGGAAGGGAGGGAAGGTAGGAAAAGAGGAAGGAAGAAAAAGGGAAAGAAGGAAGGAAAAGGAAAAAGGAAGGGGGGGAAAGGGGAAGGAAGTGAAGGAAGGAAGGAAAAGGGGAAGGAAGGGAAAGGGAGGGAAAGGGGAAGGGGGGAAAGAAGGAAGGAGCCAGCAACATGGCTGGGCTGAATTGTCCCCCCCCAAAAAGAAGGGGTGATGCCCCAAAGGTCTCCTTTTCTCCCCCCCTTCCCATTTCTACAGGCAGCCGATGCAAAAGGGGGGGGGGGGCGTCCTCTTGCTTGAAACCCCAAAGATTTAGGAAGAGTCTTCTCTCAAGTGACAAGGCCTTTAGGTCTTTGGTTGTTCGGGTTTTCTCCCGCGTAAAATTGGAAGTGTCTTGGCGACGTTTCGACGAAGTCCCATTCGTCATCTTCAGGCTGGTGTTTTCAGCTTCGTGCTTCGAGCAGCAATTTTACGCAGGAGAAAACCCGAACAACCAAAGACCTACATACAAACACCCGCGAAAACCTCAGAAAACATATATATATAAAATGACCCCCAAATTATATATATATAATTTTATATATATATAAAATGACCCCCAAAGTTTACCACAATGATTTTGAACACCAGAAAGTCTTAGCCGGGGGTTAAGTGGGGCTGGGGGTGAGGGCTGGGGGTGTGAGTGGGAGGGAGGGTGGGTGGGGCGAGAGGTGGAAACTCACTGCAGAAAAAGTTTTTCTATGTACATGAGAAGGATTCCCCCCCCCGCCTTTCCTTCTTCTCCGAGACATCGTGTGACGCTTCTCTTTACAAATAAGGATGTCGCTCCAGAATAAAAGGTCCTACTTTTTTCTCTTTAAAAAAAAAAAAAAAACAACAACCCCAAAACAAACTCTTTACATATTTATCTTCGAGACACCCGGCCGGCTGAAAACGGGAGGGATCCTTTTTTTTTTCCCCCCCGAGCGAGTTTTTCCTCCGTAAAAAAAAACGATCCCGCGGTCCATTTGGGCGCCGTAAAAAAAACGGGATCCCCGTGCCTCTCCTTTCGACAGTCTCAGGGGGAGGAAGTGGGGAGGGGGGGGGGCTTTGCGGCTTTTCTTTTTTTAAAAAAAAAAAATGCAGCAAACTCCATCACCCCCCACCCCCAGCGACTTGGTTTGCAAACTTCCCTGCTGCGTTGTTTCTTTCGTTTCTCCCTTTTGTTTATGGGTGTGTCTCTCATTTTTTTTCCTTTCTCCCCGGACGTCACTCGTCGCTGTCGGAGAGGGTCTCGTACTGGGCAGAGAGCAGAGGGGCCGGTTCCCGCTCCCATATCCGGCTGGGCTGGTGTGGGGCGGCCTGTCCGGCCGAAGAGGGGGCACAGGCCATGGAGCCGGGGGGAGTACTGCTCAGCATCCGGATGGTCAGCGGGTTGTAGGGGAACTGCGTGGAACCTGCAGGAGAGCAATCGAAGAGGCTGCTTAGGCTTGAGGCCCCTCGATTTACGACGCCTTGTTTTAGTGACCGTCTGAATGGGATGGAAGGATGGGGTTTGGGATAGTCCGGCTACGGGGAGTCCCTGTCTTACGACCACTTGTTTAGTAACTGAATGGGGTGGAAGGATGGGGTTTGGGGTAATTCAACTACAGGGAGTCCCTGTCTTACCACCACTTGTTTAGTGACCGTCTGAGTGAGCTGGAAGGATGGGATTTGGGGTAATTCGGCTACAAGGAGTTTCTGTCTTACGACCACTTGTTTAATGACCGTCTGAATGGGGTGGGAGGATGGGGTTTGGGGTAATTCAATTACAGGGAGTCCCTGTCTTACAACCACTTGTTTAGTGACCGTCTGAGTGAGCTGGAAGATGAGGTTTGGGGTAATCCGGCTACAAGGAGTTCCTGTCTTACGACCACTTGTTTAGTGACCGTCTGAATGGAGTGGAAGGATGGGATTTGGGGTAATCCAACTAAAGGAAGTCCCTGTCTTATGACCACTTTAGTGACCATCTGAATGGCATGGAAGGGTGGGGTTTGGGGTAATCTGGCCACAGAGCGTCCCTGTCTTACAAACACTTGTTTAGTGACCATCTGAATGGCATGGGAAGGATGGGATTTGGGATAGTCCGGCTACAGGGTGTCCCTGTCTTATGACCACTTGTTTAGTGACCAGCTGAGTGAGATGGAAGGATGTGGTTTGGGGTAGTCTGGCTACAGGGAGTCCTAGACTTATGACCACTTTAGTGACCATCTGAATGGCAAGGATGGATGGGATTTGGGATAGTCTGGCTACAGGGTGTCCCTGTCTTATGACCACCCGTTTAGCGACTGTCCAAAGAGGTTGAAAAAATTGGCCATGGCTTATAGAAGAGTCCTCGACTTGCAACCGTTCCCTTTAGCGACAGTTCAAGCAGGATTGAATGATGGGCTTTGGGCAATCTGGCTGCAGGGACTCCTTGATTGACAGCAGTTCATTCAGCGACCGTCCAAAGTTACATCGGGACTGAAAAAAGTGACTTATGACCGTTTTTCCCCACTTAACGACCGCTGCAGCGGCCCCGGGGGTCACATATGATCAAAATACGGACGCTTGGCCACTGGCTCACATTTACGACGGTCGCAGCGTCCACGTGATACTCTTTGGCGATCTTCTGATAAGCAAAGTCAATGGGGGGGGGAAGCCGGATTCACTTAACAACCGCGTGACTAAGTGAACCACCGTGGCCAGAAACCAAATGGGGGTAAAGCTCACTTAGCCGCCGTCTCACTTAGCAACGGAAAGGCTGGCTCAAGACTGGTCGTAAGTCGAGGACTCCCCGTATGCAAGCGTCCCGAAGATGATATCCCGGTAATGTTTAAATACCTCGCGACTGTCTCGAAAAACAGGGTCCTTAAAAACCTGCAGCGCCCAATTTGGGTGGGACGCCACTCGCCCAGACACACCTGGCTCAGCTCACCTGTGGAGGACGGCCGGTCATCCCACGACCAGGCGGGGGTCTGCCGGTGATAGTCGCCTTCCGAATGGACCGAGGAGACCGAGGAAGGTCGCTCCGTTCCCAGGTAGCCTTGACCAGGAATTGGGGATTTGGACTTCCTGCTCCCGGATTTGCCCATCAGCTTCTGCTTGCTGACCCCCCCACCTGGAGGAGGAGGAGGAGGAATCGAGTTATGGGGGGCACCAATAAGAATCAGTGAATTTCATATCTTCAAGCAGGCTGGCTGGGGAATTCTGGGAGTGGAAGTCCCGCCATCTTAGAGCATCCTGACTGGGGAATTCTGGGAATTGAAGCCAACAGGGCTCAAAGCAGGCTGGCTGGGGAATTCTCGGAGTTGACGTCCATCCCTCTTAAAGCAGGCTGGCTGGGGGATTCTGGGAGCGGAAGTCCACCCCTCTTAAAGCATGCTGGCTGGGGAATTCTGGGAGTTGAAGTCCATCCCTCTTAAAGCAGGCTGGCTGGGGAATTCTGGGAATTGAAGTCCACCCATCTTAAAGCAGGCTGGCTGGGGGATTCTGGGAGTGGAAGTCAACCCATTTTAAAGCAGGCTGGCTGGGGGATTCTGGGAGTGGAAGTCCACCCCTCTTAAAGCATGCTGGCTGGGGAATTCTGGGAGTTGAAGTCCATCCCTCTTAAAGCAGGCTGGCTGGTGAATTCTGGAAGTGGAAGTCCACCCCTCTTAAAGCATCCTGACTGGGGGATTTTGGGAGTGGAAGTCCTCCCCTCTTAAAGCAGGCTGGCTGGGGAATTCTGGGAGCTGGAATCCACATGCCTTAAAATGGCTTAAGATTGTGAAACATTTATTTAAACGTACTCTTTCTCTTGGTTGGGATGACCCGTGTTTAAAAGAATCATGGTTTTCTTCTCTCTTAGGCACCACCTTGTCCATCACAGGCTTACACATAGACCCACTTTTTGCAAAAATGTTATTATCTTCCTGTACGATAGGAAGATCCAAGTCATTCTGGGGTCCTTCTATACACCAAAAAACGGTCATAAGTCACTTTCTCGCTGCAATTTGCCTGCTCAGCTCTGGGGAGATGTGTGCTTGTGTGTGCCTGTCTGTGTCTTTGTGTGAATAATGCAACCTTTCTGTACGATATCTATATCAGCTGGATGCCGGACCTCCCCAACCCCAGCACTGTAGTTAGTCCTCGACTTACGACGAAAACCGAGCCCCACATTTCTTTTGTCAAGCAAGACAGTTGGAGTGCGGTTTTTTTGCCACATTTTACGACCTCTCTTGACACCGTTGTTAAGTGAATCACTGCCGCTGTTAACACGGTTGTTAAGTGAATCCCGGCTTTCCCATGGACTGTACTCATCGGAAAGGTCGCAAAAGGGAATCAGGTGACCCCGGGACCCTAAGTCCGAGTCGGTTGCCCAGCTTCCAAATTTCGATCACGTGACCATGGAGGATGCTGCAGCGGCCGTTAAATGTGAAAAACGGCCCTTTTACCAGTGCCGTTATAACTGTGGAACGGTCACTAAACCAAGCGGGTTATAAGCCGAGGACTGCCGGTGGCCAAGTCGTTCTTCTGCTTTTTTAAAAAAATATATATATTTAAATTGAAAGTTAAATTCAACCGCCACAAAAACCAGCAGGAAAGATTTAAGGCCAAACCTGCTGGGAGGGGGAAGGGGGGGGGAGAATGGGAATTGTAGTCCGACACCTTGCAAAAACTCAGGGAGGCGGGAAACTCATTAGCGTGTTCTACCTGCACCGGGAGGGGGGGAGGCGGCCAAACTTGGCCTGCATGGCTCACCTGGATTGGGGGAGGGGCTGGTTTCCTCCCGCCGCGTTTCGCTGTTGGTCGGTAATGACCCGCCGGGCACCATCCCCAGGGGCTGCGCCATGACCAGGCTGTGGTCCTCGCCTTTGTCGTCGAAACTGCCCATCAGGGCTTTGCGGATGATGTCCTCCAGCCCCAGGTTGCTGGCTGGGTCGGCTAAGGACGGGCCCCTAGCACTCACCGAACCTGGGAGGGGAAAGCAGACGCGATGGATCCAGGGGGAAGGAGGGGGGAGGCTCCTGCGAGAGGCCCCCGGGTAGAGGCTCGGACTGGACGGCAATGTTTCTGTGTGTCGTGTATGTGTGGGTATGGATAGCGGTGGTCTTTGGAGGGCTGAATCCAACGGAAGTTCATGTTGGCCTGTGCGGATTAGTCCACGTTTAAAGGGACAATAAAGTTGCTATTCTATTCCGTTTGGTTCCGTTCCTTTCCATTCTATTCTCAGTAAAGATTCTATTCTATTCGGTTCTGTTCTATTCTATTCTGTTCTGTAATTCTATTCTATTCTATTCTATTCTATTCTATATTCTATTCTATTCCATATTCTATTCTATTCCATTCCATTCCCTATTCTATTCTATTCTACTCTGTTCTATTTTATCCTGTAATTCAATTCAATTCTATTCTGTTCTATTCTACTCTACTCTATATCCTGTAAATCTATTCCCATTCCTCTATTCTATTCTATTCTATTCTATTCTATTCTATTCTATTCTATTCTATTCTATTCTATTCTATTCTATTCTATTCTATTCTATTCTATTCTCTTTTTATTTTATTCCATTCCATTCCTGTTTCTATTCTATTCTATTCTATTCTACAATCTGTTTATTTTATTCCATTCCATTCCATTCCATTCCTGTTTCTATTCTATTCTAATTTTATTCCATATTCTATTCTATTCTTATTCCATATTCTATTCTATTCCTAATTATTCTATTCTATTCTATTCTATTCTATTCTATTCTATTCTATTCTATTCTATTCTATTCTATTCTATTCTATTCTATTCTGCAATCTGTTTATTTTATTCCATTCCATTCCTGTTTCTATTCTATTCTACTCTACTCTATATTTCTATTCTATTCTATTCTATTCTATTCTATTCTATTCTATTCTATTCTATTCTATTCTATTCTACAATCTGTTTATTCTATTCCATTCCATTCCATCCTGTAATTCAATTCAATTCAATTCAATTCAGTCCTGTCCTGTCCTTTAATTCTATTCTATTCTGTTCTGCTCGTTTCTGGAGTCCTTACCTGAGGTGGTGACTGCTGGCAAGTTAAATATTTCTGTCCCAGGTTGAGCGGCTGCTGTTCACAGAGAGAGAAGGAAGAGACATGGGTTACTTTCCAAGGCTGAAGAGATCAATGACACCGACAGGAGAAGAGAACACGGGTAACTCAGGGTCAAACTGCGGGGGCGCTCCCTGAAATGGGTGCTTTTCTTGCAGACGTTTCATGACCCAACTAGGTAATGTCATCAGTGCTGGGGAAGGAATGGGGCTGGGGGGTTATGGATAAGGAGGAGGAGGAGGACTGTGGGCCCTGTGCTGCTCTTTGATGCTTCCTTGCAGACGTTTCATGACCCAACTAGGTAACGTCATCAGTGCTACAAGAGAGTAGGGTGTGCTCTCTGTTGACACACAATAGCTTGCGCTGCTGCCAATGTTGGAGTTGGGGCTGTTTCTTTGTTACTTTGATTGGGGTATGGTTTTCTGCTTGTGGCTGTCAGAACGGGACAATCAGCCATGGGACAATTCAACAATTCCATTAAATTGTTTAAAATAATTTAAAGAATGGTTTTAATTTTTGTCACTCGCACATCGTGTTGTCCCTCCATTCGCACCCTTTCTATAGTGATTCTATTCCACCATTTCTTCGATATTAGTGTAAAATCCTTGTCCCACAGTGATTGGGCCATGGCGACTTCTCCTAGACCTGCCTGGTGTTAATCCCTGCTTTTCTTTGTGTTGGTTGTTGAAGAGGATATTTCCTGGTCTTTTTTATTTGGAAACTGATCCAAGAGAGAAGCAACCTGGAATTAAAGAGAAACTTCCTGACAGTGAAGACAATCGACCAGTGGAACAACCCAACTCCAGAAATTGTGGGCGTTCCATCGCTGGAGATTTTTAAGAAGAAACTGGACAGTCACTTGCCTGAGATATTATAGGTTCTCCTCCTTGAGCAGGGGGCTGGACTAGAAGACCTCCAAGGTCCCTTCCAATTCAATTCAATTCAATTCGATTCAATTCAATTCTATCCTATCCTATTCCTGTTCTTATTCTATTCTATTCTATTCTTATTCTATTCTATTTTCTATTCTATTCTTATTCTATACTATTTTCTATTCTATATTTTAATTCTATTCTATTCCTATTCTATTCTGTTCTGTTCTATTCTATCCTATCCTATTCCTGTTCTTATTCTATTCTATTCTATTTTCTATTCTATTCTTATTCTATACTATTTTCTATTGTATTCTATATTTTAATTCTATTCTATTCTATTCTATTCTATTCTATTCTATTCTATTCTATTCTATTCTGTTCTGTTCTGCAGTTCTATTCTAATCTGTTCTGTTCTGTCCTGTCCTATCCTATTCCTGTTCTTATTCTATTCTATTCTATTCTATTCCTATTCCTATTCTATATTTTAATTCTAGTCTATTCTGTTCTGTTCTGTTCTGTTCTGTTCCCTTTTTAGATTCTTATTGTATCTTTTGAATGGTGTGCAAATGTGGTTTATCTCTAGGTGCCTGTGGATGGCTGATAGTCCGTTGGTCTACTGACAAACTCCACCCCTATATAAATAAGCAGCACACCCGACCCTTTCTTACATTGATGGTGTTCCCTAGTTGGGTCACGAAACTTCAGTAAGAAAACCACCAAATTCAAAGAGCACCAAGGACCCCACAGAGTTCTCCTCCTCCTCCCCTCCCCCTCCCCTCCCCCTCCCCTCCGCAAACCCCACTTCCTCCTAGCTGGGTCATGAAATATCTGCAAGGAAACCACCAAGGTCAAGAGAGCACGAAAGACCCCTTAGCAGTCCTCCTCCTCCCCTTGCAAACCCCTCTCCCTCCCAGCACTGAAGATGTTACCTAGTTGGGTCATGAAACGTCTGCACGAAAGCCACCCAGCTCAGAAAGCACCAAAGACCCCACAGTCCTCCTCCTCCTCCTCCTCTCCAAAACCCCACCTCCCTCCTAGCCCTGATAACGTACCCTAGTTGGGTCAGGAAACGTCTGCAGGAAAGCCAACCAGCTCAGAGAGCACCCAGGACCCCCACAGTCCTCCTCCAAAAACCCACCTTCCTTCTAGCACTGATGATGTTACCTAGCTGGGTCATGAAACGTCTGCAGGAAAGCCACCAGGCTCAGAGAGCACCCAGGACCCCCCCAGTCCTCCTCCTCCTCCTCCTCCCCTCACAACCTCTCCCTCCCTCCTAGCACTGATGACGTTACCTCGTTGGGGTTATGAAACGTCTTCAGGAAAGCCACCCAGCTGAGAGAGCACCCAGGACCTCACAATCCTCCTCCTCCTCCCTTCTAGCCCTGATGACGTTACCTAGCTGGGTCATGAAACGTCTGCAGGAAAACCACCCAGCTCAGAGAGCACCAAGGACCCCCACAGTCCTCCTCCTCTCCAAAACCCCACCTCCCTCCCAGCCCTGATGATGTTACCTAGCTGGGTCATGAAACGTCTTCAGGAAAGCCACCCAGCTGAGAGAGCACCCAGGACCCCACAATCCTCCTCCTCCTTCCTTCTAACACTGATGATGTTACCTAGCTGGGTCATGAAACGTCTGCAGGAAAGCCACCAAGCTCAGAGAGCACCAAGGACCCCACAGTCCTCCTCCTCCTCCTCCTCCCCTCACAACCTCTCCCTCCCTCCTAGCACTGAGGACGTTACCTCGTTGGGTCATGAAACGTCTGCCGGAAAGCCACCCGGCTCAGAGAAGCACCCGGGACCCCCGGAGAAAAGGGGGGGGGGCGGGCTGGGGGGAATGAAAAGGAAGAAGACCTCCGAGGAAAATCAGTCCTACCCATTTCGGATTCGCTTCCCCCGCACGAGTTCAGCTTACGAAAGATCTCCTGCTTCTTCGACTTCACCATGGGCGAGGTATTCTCCAGCTTGGTGAAGAAGGAAGGCAGGTAAGCGATGTTGCCCGGAGAACGGGAGTCGGTCCTGCGAAGAGCCAAAGAAGGAAGTGAGAGAAAAAAATAAAAAATACATGAAAATAAAAAAACGCCTGCTGGACCAGAAGGAAAGCACGCTCCGCCCCCTTCTGCCTTGCACGCTTTCAAACAGCTTGACTCCCCTCTTCTTTGGGGCAGCCCCTGAGATACTGGAAGGCTGCTATCCTGTCCCCCCTCGTCCTTCTCTTCGTTAAAGTAGACCAGTGGTTCTCCACCTGTGGGTCGGGACCCCGTTTGGGGTCGAACGACCATTTCACGGGGGTCGCCAAACAACGCAGTCCGCCATTTTCTTTTCCCCTTTTCCGTAGCTGTGCTACTCCCTTTTATTCTATTGGCTTTTGAAAGCCAATAGAATAGACCCTCTTGAATAGAGTCTAATTCTATTGGCTTTCCAAAGCCAATAGGAATTGTCCAGGCTGTCTCTGCCCTGCTGAGCCCGCCAAAAGCCCCATTCTGCAAACGGTGCTGCACCAGTTCAGTAGTCCTCGACTTACGACCAGTTGGAGGGTCGCAGCATTAAAAAGGTTGAGAACCACTGAACTAGACATTCCCAATTCCAGCAACCGTTCCTTATATGCTTTGGCCTCCAGTCCCATGATCGTCTTTGCTGCTCTTCTCTGCACTCTTTCTAGAGCAGTGGTTCTCAACCTTTTTAATGCCGGGACCCCCCCCCAACCGGTCGTAAGTCGAGGACTACTCAACCGGTCGTAAGTCGAGGACTACTCCACTGGTGCAGCACCGTTTGCAGACTGGGACTTTTGGTGGGCTCAGCAGGGCAGAGACAGCCTGGACAATTCCTATTGGCTTTTGAAAGCCAATAGAATTAGAGTCTATTCAAGAGAGTCTATTCTATTGGCTTTCAAAAGCCAATAGAATAAAAGGGAGTAGCACAGCTAAGGAAAAGGGGGGAAAAAATGGCGGACTGCGTTGTTTGGCGACCCCCGTGAAATGGTCGTTCGACCCCAAATGGGGTCCCGACCCACAGGTGGAGAACCACTGCTCTAGAGTCTCAACATCATTTTTAACAGAACGGCAGAGTTGGAAGGGACCTTCCAAATCAAGACTGACTGCAATGAGGAATCAGTACAGATTCAATCCAATCCAATCCATCCATCCATCCACCATCCATCCATCCATCAGAACACATCTTGAAGGGACCTTAGACGTCTTCTAGTCCAGGGGTCCTCAACCTTTGCAACTTTTAAGACTTGTGGACTTCAACTCCCAGAATTCCTCAGCCAGGCACGCTGGCTGTGGAATTCTGGGAGGAAGTTCACAAGTAGGGGTCTTCCAACTTGGCCCTTTTATGACTTGTGGATTTTAACTTCCAGAATTCTTCAGCCAAGCACACTGGCTGAAGCATTCTGGGAGTTGAAGTCCACAAGTCTTAAAGTCGCCACGGTTGTTCTAGTCCAGCCCCCTGCTCAAGCAGGAGAACCTGTACCGTTCCAGACCGGTGGCTGTCAATCTCAATCCATCAGAATAGAACTGGAAGGGCCCTTGGAGGTAATAATAATAATAGTAGTAAAGTTGGAAGGGACCTTGGAGGTCATCTAGTCCAACCCCCTGCTCAGGCAGGAAACCCTACACCATTTCGGACAAATGGCTGTCCCGTCTCTTCTTAAAAACTTCCAGTGTTGGAGCACCCACAGTTTCTGAAGGCAGCTTGTTAATAATAATAATAATAAAGTTGGAAGGGAGCTTGGAGGTCATCTAGTCCAACCCCCTGCTCAGGCAGAAAACCCTAAACCATTTCGGACAAATGGCTGTCCAGTTTCTTCTTAAAAACTTCCAGTGTTGGAGCATTCACAGCTTCTGGAGGCAGACTGTTCCACTGGTTAATTGTTCTCACTGTCAGGAAGTTTCTCCTTAGTTCTAGGTTGCTTCTCTCCTTGATTAGTTTCCATCCGTTGCTTCTTGTCCTCCCTTCAGGCGCTTTGGAGAATAGCTGGACTCCCTCTTCTTTGGGGCAGCCCCTGAGAGATTGGAAGGCTGCCATCATGTCCCCCCTCGTCCTTCTCTTCATTAAACTAGACAGACCCAATTCCAGCAACCGTTCCTTGTATGTTTTAGCCTCCAGTCCCCTGATCATCTTCGTTGCTCTTCTCTGCACTCTTTCCAGAGTCTCAACATCTTTTTTTACATCGTGGTGACCAATGGTCTTCTAGTCCAGCCCCCTGCTCAAGCAGGAGAACCTATACCGTTCCAGACAGGTGGCTGTCAGTCTCAATCCATCAGAATAGAGCTGGAAGGGACCTTGGAGGTCCTCTAGTCCAGCCCCCTGCTCAAGCAGGACACCTTCTACCATTCCAGACAGGTGGCTATCCAGTCTCTTCTTAAAAGCTTCCAGTGTTGAAACACCCACGACGTCCAGTGGCAAGCAGTTCCCCTGGTTCGTTGGCCCACCAACCCCTTTGCAAGTCCAGCCCAACCCAGCCCAGCTACCTCTGCTCCAAAGGCTCCGGCCTCTGCGACACCAACAGGTAGTTGTCTTGCTTCTCGTGGGCCGCCGGCGCCTGCGGTGGAGAGATCGGCTCGTAGGACTCCGAGGAGACGTGGCTTCTCTCGGGGGACTTCCCAAGCCTGGGGGGTGGGGTGGGGGTGGGTGGGGTGGGGAGACACACAAGCGACAAAAGTCACCCTTTTCTTCAGAATGCGAATTTTCCCGGCGCAGAGTCCAGCCAGAAACGATCAGTTCAGCGAAAGCTAAAAAGAAAGGATCACGCGATGGAAATACGGGGGGTCCTCGACTTACGAACGTAACTCAGCCTGAAATTTCTATTGCTAAGGGACAACCTTTCTTCAGTGGGTTTTGCCCCCTTTGACGACCTTCCGTGCCACGCTCGTTAAGTGACTCAATGCAGTTGTTAAGATAGTAGCCCGGTTGTAAAGTGAATCAGGAAGGGAGGGAGGGAGGGAAGAAGGAAGGGAGGGAGGGACTGAGGGAGGAAGGAAGGAAAGAAAAAAAGAAAGGAAGGAAAGGAGAGGGAGGGAGGAAGGAAGAAGAAAGGAAGGAAGGAGAGGGAGGGAGGGAAGAAGGAAGGAAGAAAGGGAGGGAGGGAAGAAGATGGAAAAAAGGAAGGAAGGAAGGAAGGAAGGAGAGGGACGGAGGGAGGGAAGAAGATGGAAAAAAGGAAGGAAGGAAGGAAGGAAGGAAGGAGAGGGACGGAGGGAGGGAAGATGGAAGGAAGGAAGGAAGGAAGGAAGGAAGGAAGGAAGGAAGGAGAGGGAGGAGGAAGGAAGGGACTGAGGGAGGGAGGGAAGAAGATGGATGGATGGAAGGAAGGAGAGTGAAAGGGAGGCAGGAAAAAGAAAGGAAGGAACGGACTGAGGGAAGATGGAAAAAAGGAAGGAAGGAAGGAAGGAGAGGGAGGGAGGGAGGGAAGAAGGAAGAAAGAAAGCGAGGGAGGGAAGAAGGAAGGGAGGGAGGGACTGATGGGAAGGAAGGAAGGAAGGAGAGGGAGGAGGAAGGAAGGGACTGAGGGAGGGAGGGAAGAAGATGGATGGAAGGAAGGAGAGTGAGAGGGAGGCAGGAAGAAGAAAGGAAGGAAGGAAGGAAGGAAGGAAGGAAAGAGAGGGACAGAGGGAGGGAAGAAGGAAGGGAGGGAGGGAGCGAAGAAGGAAGGGAGGGAGGGAGGGACTGAGAAGGAGGGAAGAAGGAAGAAAGGAAGGAAGGAAAGAGAGAGGTCAGAGGGTTAAGGGAAGGCAGGGAAAAAGGGAAGAAACAGAATGGGAAACAGAAAGTGGAAAGAAGGAAAGAAAGAGATGAGAGAGGAAGGGAAGGGGAGGGAGAAGAGAACAGGGTTATTATTACCTTCCCCGGCTTTTCTCACAGAGGTTTTCGGGGGACATCCGGGAGCCCGGGCGCTGGTGGGGGGCGGCCTGCACCTGGATGTCCGGGCTGTAGCGGTTCGAAGCCTTGGGCCGGGGGCTCGGCGTGACGGAGGTCAGAGCCGAGCTCTGGAATGTGCTGGTGGGCGTCGGGAGGGAAGGCTGGGCGGAGGCCTGGCTGCGGGCAAAATCCTGCGTGATGATTTGCTGGGCCAGCGAGGAGCAGATCCGAATAAAAAGAGGGGGGGGGAGGGGGAGAGAAAAATCACCGGTTAGCCAGCTTTCCTTTTCAAAACTCCGGCCAGAATCAAGAATCAAAAGCATGACCCACACGAGATGAATTGTGGGGTCCTTGGTGCTCTCTGAGCTGGGGGTGTGTGTGTGTATGTGGTTCTTTCAGACGTTTCATGACCCAGCTAAGTAACGTTATCCGTGTCAGAAGGAAGTGGGGATTGTGGAGGAGGAGGAGGACGACGAGTGTGGGGTCCTGGTTGGTTTTCTTGCAGACGTTTCATGACCCAACTAGGTAACATGATCATTGTTAGTTAGAAGAGAGAGGGGTTTGCAGGGAGGAGCAGTAGGAGGAGGACGACGACTGTGGGGTCCCTGATGCTCTCTGAGCTGGGTGGTTTTCTTGCAGACGTTTCATGACCCAACTAGGGAACATCATCAGTGCTAGAAGGGAGGAGGAGGAGGAGGAGGAGGAGACAAAGGAATGAAAGGAGGGAAGACCAAGAGGAGAGAGAAGAGGATTCTGGAGTCTTTATTGATCTCTGAGCTAGGTGGTTTTCTTGCAGACATTTCATGACCCAACTAGGTAACATCATCAGTGCTAAAAGGGAGGAGGAGGAGGAGGAGGAGGAGGAAGGAAGGAAGGAAGGAAGGAAGGAAGGAAGGAAGGAAGGAAGGAAGGAAGGAAGGAAAGAAAGGACTGTGGGATCCTTGGTGCTCTCTGCGCTTGGTGGTTTTCTTGCAGACGTTTCATGACCCAACTAGGGAACATCATCAGTGCTATAAGGGAGGAGGAGGAGGAGGAGGAGGAAGGAAGGAAGGAAGGAAGGAAGGAAGGAAGGAAGGAAGGAAGGAAGGAAGGAAGGAAGGAAGGAAGGAAGGAAGGAAAGAAAGGACTGTGGGATCCTTGGTGCTCTCTGCGCTTGGTGGTTTTCTTGCAGACGTTTCATGACCCAACTAGGGAACATCATCAGTGTCAGAAGGGAGTGTGGGGTTTCCTCCTTGTTGATATGCAGTGACTACAGCCAACAAGAACTGAATCAAGGAGCTACCAAGAAGAAAACAACACTCAAATCAACACTGACGTGGGAAGCCACTTGTATTAAAACAGAGAGCAAGCCCTCCTCCCTCCTTCTAGCAGTGAGGATGATGCTCCCTAGCTGGGTCATGAAACGTCTGCAAGAAAATAGCCAAGCTCAGAGAGCACCCAGGACCCCCCACAGTCGTCCTCCTCCACCACCAACTCCTCTTGTTCCCTCCTTCAACCCTCCCTGCCTTCTAGCACTGATGATGTTACCTAGTTCAATAGTGAAACATCTGCAAGAAAACAGCCAAGATCAGAAAGCACCAAGGACCCCACAGTTGTCATCTCCTCCTCCTCCTCCTCCTCCTCTCTACAAACACCCTCCCTTGTAGCCCTGATGATGTTACCTAGTTGGGTCATAAAACGTCTGCAAGGAAACTGGCAAGCTCAGAGAGCACCAAGGACCCCACAGTCTTCCTCCTCCTCCTCCCTGCTCCTCCTCCTCCTTCAACCCCCCACTCCCTCCTAGCACTGATGATATTACCTAGTTTGATAATGAAACATCTGGAAGAAAACAGCCAAGATCAGAGAGCACCAAAGACCCCACAGTCGTCATCTCCTCCTCCTCCTCCTCCTCCTCCTCCTCCCCCCTGCTCCTCCTCCCTCTGCTCCTCCTCCTTCAACCCCCCATTCCCTTCTAGCACTGATCCTGTTACGTAGTTCGATAATGAAACATCTGCAAGAAAATAGCCAAGATCAGAGAGCACCAAGGACCCCACAGTCCTCTTCCTCCTCCTCCTCCTCCTCCTCCAACCCCCCACTTCCTTCTGAGGTTCCCTAGTTGGGTCATGAAACATCTCTGAGAAGACCAGCAAACTCAGAGCGCGCTCAGAGGCCTCCTCTCTTCACAAAGGGACCCCAAAGTGCAAACTTACACAGATGTGGTCGGCCAGGGTGATCAAGCGGTGAGTCCGAGGCACGGGGCCCATCCCCTCGCCCTGGGCAGGCGGAGGGGCTGGCTGTGGAGCCGGTGGTGCCGGCGTCGGCTGGGCCGACTGCTGCTGTGGCGAGGGCGAATCCTGCGAGGGCCTGTAAGGATGGCTGGACCCCTCGTACTGGCGGCTGCAGTCTCCTATGGGTTCGAAAGGAAAGGGAGAGAGATTCGCACGGGGTGCAGCTTGGGAAAAAAAACCCCCGCTGAAATGGGCGGTGGGCTTCCTCCGCCCAAAATACAGGGAGTCCTCAACTTATGACCCCAAAATGTCCGTTACTAAGCGAGACAGTGGCTAAGTGAGCTTTGCCCCATTTTACCACCTAATCTCGTTCATAGTTGTTAAGTGAGACACACGGTTAGTAAGTGAATCCGGCTTCCCACATTTGACTTTGTTTGTCAGAAGGTCGCAAAAGGGGATCACGTGACTCCCCTCCCCCGGGACAATGTGTCCGTCGTATGTATGAGTCAGTGGCCAAGCGTCCGCGTTCTGATCAGGTGACCACGGGGACGCTGCCACAGTCGTTAAGGGTGAGTAACGATCATGAGTCACATTCTTCCAGTGTTGTTGTAACTTTGAACGGTTACTAAGTGAACTGTCGTAAGTTGAGGACTAGCTGTAGCTCTGAGGTCAATTCTTCTGCTTCTTCCGAGAAGCGACCGGATGGGAGGCGTTGTTCCTTCCCTTGCTTGGCATCTTTCAGGAGGGTTAAGTTTTGGAGGATTTGCTATAGTAAGGACTGTTTTGTTCTCCTATTTATTTAAATGTTTAAACCAGGGGTCTTCCAACTTGGCCCTTTGATGACTTGTGGACTTCAACTCCCAGAATTCCTCAGCCAGGAGGCTTTAAGACAGGGGTCTTCCAACTTGGCCCTTTTATAACCTGTGGACTTCAAGTCCCAGAATTCCTCAGCCAGGCATGTTGCTGGGGAATTCTGGAAGTGGAAGTCCACCTCTCTTAAAGCATCCTGGCTGAGGAATTCTGGGAGTTGAACAAACGATTGTTAAGTTGAGGACAAACCGCAGAGGTTGCCGTTCTCCGGGCTGGCTGTCAACCCCGAAGAGGGGAGCAGCTGGAGGAAAGTTCTTGGTCTCAATCTTAGCCTAGTCCAGTGGTTCTTAACCTTTCTGAACGAATCGCCCCCTTGAGCCAATGAGGAAGTTGTCATCGCCCCCGTCCCCCAACACAACCTCTCAATCACAACATAGGAAATAATTCTTCAATTTATGCAAACCCTGTTTTTGTTTTCTTTAAAATTGTCATCAGGACATAGCGATGCAAATAATTTATTTCCAGTCTTTTCCCCATATCTCCCCTATTCTGGCCAATGGCGTGCCACTGTATGGGTAGAGGCCGCTGCGCAACGCGCATGAAGATAAGCGATGCGCCTTCATATATGTACGGCGTTCTGTACTGAAGCTAGCTAGAGCAGTGGTTCTCAACCTTTTTAATGCCGCGACCCCCAACCAGTCGTAAGTCGAGGACTACTCCACTGGTGCAGCACCGTTTGCAGAATGGGACTTTTGGCGGGCTCAGCAGGGCAGAGACAGCCTGGACTATTCCTATTGGCTTTGGAAAGCCAATAGAATTAGACTCTATTCAAGAGACGCTATTCTATTGGCTTTCAAAAGCCAATAGAATAAAAGGGAGTAGCACAGCTAAGGAAAAGGGGGGAAAAAATGGCGGACTGCGTTGTTTGGCGACCCCCGGGAAATGGTCGTTCGACCCCAAATGGGGTCCCGACCCACAGGTGGAGAACCACTGAGCTAGAGGAACATTTGGAAACACAATTCAATCCACTAATAGCCAGCGATCTGATGTTTTTGTACGACAGATATACAGCCATTCACTGTACGAAAAAGTCTCAAAAGTGTCCCCAAAACTCCTCGCTCCATCGCCCCCCTGAAAAATGAAATCGCCCCCTGGGGGGGGGCCATATCGCCCAGGTTAAGAACCACTGGCCTAGACCACCATTTGACCAGGATGATATACGTTCTCCTGTCTTGAGCAGGGGGTTGGACTAGAAGACCTCTGAGGTCCCTCCCAGCCCTAAGAGTCCATGTTCCAAATCTGGGCAGCCCCGTTTTGCAAGCCGAAAGCCACATTCTCCGTCCTAGAAAAAAAACTTACTTTCTCCTTGGCTCATTTTGGGGGGCTCCTGCGGGTAAGGAGGCATCTTTTCCTGAGGGGGGGCAGGGGAGTTGGCGGGGCTGATCACCTCGATCGCATCTCTGGAGGGTTCGTATCGGTGGGAAGAGGTGGAGACTATGGAAGAAAGAGGAAGAGGAGAGAAAAGACGATAGCCATTTAGATTAACAGGGGTTCTCAACCTTGGCAACTTTTAAGACTTGTGGACTTCAACTCCCAGAATTCCTCAGCCAGCAAAGCTGGCTGAGGAATTCTGGGAGTTGAAGTCCACAAGTCTTAAAGTTGCCAAGGTTGAGAACCCCTGATTTAGAAGGAGGTTTATGCTGCTTCTCATTTCAGAAAATTCTGCAGCATTTGACCGTGTTATTCCAGAATAGACACTGTCCTTTTCCTAAACTAGTAGGACACAGTGAATTCTAGTCCCGCTTTAGCCGTGAAAGCTGACTGGGTGACTTTGGGCCAATCACCAGGAGATGGTGAGTTCTAGTCCCGCCTTAGCCGTGAAAGCTGACTGGGTGACTTTGGGCCAATCACCAGGAGACGGTGAGTTCTAGTCCCGCCTTAGCCGTGAAAGCTGACTGGGTGACTTTGGGCCAATCACCAGGAGACGGTGAGTTCTAGTCCCGCCTTAGCCATGAAAGCCGGCTGGTTGATTTTGGGCCAATCACCAGGAGACGGAAAATTGTAGTCCCGCCTTAGACATGAAAACTGGCTGGCTGACTCTGGGCCAATCACCAGGAGACAGTGAGTTCTAGTCCCGCCTTATGCATGGAAGCTGGCTGAGTGATTCTGAGCCAATCACCAGGAGACAGTGAGTTCTAGTCCCGCCTTAGACATGGAAGCCAGCTGGGTGACTTTGGGCCAATCACCAGGAGACGGTGAGTTCTAGTCCCACCTTAGGCATGGAAGCCGGCTGGGTGACTCTGGGCCAATCACCAGGAGACGGTGAGTTTTAGTCCCGCCTTAGGCATGAAAGCTGTCTGGGTGACTTTGGGCCAATCACCAGGAGACAGAGAATTCTAGTCCCGCCTTAGGCATGAAAGCTGGCTGAGTGACTCTGAGCCAATCACCAGGAGACAGTGAGTTTTAGTCCCGCCTTAGTCATGAAAGCTGGTTGGCTAACTTTGGGCCAATCACCAGGAGACGGTGAGTTCTAGTTCCGCTTTAGTCACGATAGTGACTGACTGACAAGAGACAGGGAGTTCTAGTCCTGCTTAGCTACGAAAGCCGCCTGCTGACCTTGGGCGTGTCTCTTTCTCTCTCTCTCTCCGCCCAACCCACCTCACAGGGTTGTCGTAGGCAAACGCGCTTCCAATTACTCCATCCCCAAACCGTCCCGCCGACCACCCAGGTGAGAAAAAATAAATAAAAAAAGAAATCCACCCAGACGGACAAACGGAAAGGGACCGTACGGCTGCCGGAAGAATCCGAGCTTTGCGAGCTGCGATCCCGGGCGTCCTTGTCGGAGGCGATCTGCCGGGTGATGATCACGTCGATAAAGTTGGCGGCGGTGATGGTGGTTTTGCCCCGCGTGCGCAGCTCCTCCTCGTACTTGGAGATGGAGGGGGGTCCTTTGTCCGTCCCAGCCTCGGAGTAGACAGCCGAAGACGGCAGATTCTGGGATTTGGCGCTGGAAAAAGCCGCCGAGGCCGATGAGGTGTAAGGACCCGGGGCTCCCCGCCTCTCCCCGTCCAGCGCTTTCGGCTCCATCGGCTGCGGCGGCGGCTCGCTCACCACCGAGGACCGGCGCCCCAGATTCTCGTCTATCCGGCCCCCCTCGTGCTTGCCCTCCTTGGCCTTGGCCACTTCCATCTGCGGGGCGGAGGCGGCCGCGTCCACCAGGGCCGCCAGGGCGTCGGCTGCGGTGCTGTAGCGCGAGGCCGGCAGGCCTTGGGTGATGGAGGGCGCGCCGGGGGGCAGCTGCCTGTTGGGGAAGGGAAGGAGGAGGCAGAGAGAGAGAGAGAGAGAGAGAGAGAGAGAGAAATTGCAGGGTTAAATCTGGTCTCAGGCCTTTGGGTGTTTCTGCAGCTGTGAAGAGGGAGGTTGAGGGTGGGAGGAGACACCCATTAGGATCCCTTCTGGGGAGGGGGGGTGGGGTTTAAGAGGGAACACGTCCATGGGGTTGCTGTCTTTAAATCCAGGGTTAGGGGTTACCGGGAGACAGAGGGGGAGGGAGGGGGGGAAAGGAAGCAAGGAAGGAAGGAAGGAAAAAAGGGAGGGAGTGAGAAAGGAAAAGGGAGGGAAGAAGAAAGAGAAAAAAGAAGGGGGAAAGAAGGAAGGAAAAGGGAGGGAGGGAGGAAGGAAATGGAAGGGAGAAAAAGAGGAAGGAAGGAAGGAAAAAAGGGAGGGAGTGAAAAAGGAAAAGGGAGGGAAGAAGAAAAAAAGAGGGAGGGAGGAAGGATATCGAAGGGATAAAAAGAGGAAGGAAAGAAGGAAAGAAAAAGGGAAGGGAGGGAAGGAGGAAGGAAGTGTGGAAAAAAGGGAGGGAGGGTGGGAGGAAAAAGAAAGGGGAAGGAGGAAGGAAAAAGGAAAAAGAGAGAGGGAGGAAGGAAGGAAAAGGGAGGGAGGGAGGAAATGGAAGGGAGAAAAAGAGGAAGGAAGGAAAAAAGGGAGGGAGTGGAAAAGGAAAGGAGGGAAGAAGAGAAAAAAGAGGGAGGGAGGAAGGAAGGATATTGAAGGGAGAAAAAGAGGAAGGAAGGAAGGAAGAAAAGGAAAGAAAAAGTGAAGGGAGGGAAGGAGGAAGGAAGTGTGGTAAAAAGGGAGGGAGGGTGGGAGGAAAAAGGGAAAGGAGGAAGGAAAAGGAAAAAGGAAAAGAGGGAGGGAGGGAGGAAAGAAAAGGGAGGGAGTGAGGAAAAGGAAAGGGGAGGGAGGAAAGAAAAAAGGAAAAGGAAAAAAGAGAGAGGGAGGATGGAAAAAGGAAAGGAAAAGGGAGGGAGGGAACGACAAAGGAAGGGAGGGAAGAATAAAGAGAAAAAAGAGGAAGGAAGGAAGGAAGGAAAAAGGGAAGGGAGGGAAGGAGGAAGGAAGGAAGTGTGGAAAAAAGAGGGAGGGTGGGAGGAAAAAGGGAAAGGAGGAAGGAAAAGGAAAAAGGAAAAAGAGGGAGGGAGGGAAGAAAGAAAAGGGAGGGAGGGAGGAAAAGGAAAGGGGAGGGAGGAAAGAAAAAAGGAAAAGGAAAAAAGGGAGAGGGAGGATGGAAAAAGGAAAGGAAAAAGGAGGGAGGGAAGGACGAAGGAAGGGAGGAAGGAAAAGGAATGGAAAAAAGGAGGAAGGGAACCGTTTGGCAGAAAACTGGAAGTTACTCAAACAGCGCCAGAGCAAGAAAATGGGCTTCCTTAACAACCACGGCACTCGTTTAACGACCGCGGCAGAAAGATCAGCTGTCCACCCCAGTTTATGACCGTCGCAACGTGCGACTCTTAACAGGCAGGCTCCATTAAGGTCCTATGTCGAGGACTGCCTGTAGCCTTTCTCCAATCCCACCTCACCCCCCATCCCCGAGCAATCCTAGAGACGCTACACCACCACCACCACCACCACCGCCCGGCAACCCAGGCTGAAATTCCCGAGACGTACATGATGCGCAGCTGGGCGGCAGGGTCCAGCGGGGTGATGACGCTGGTCCCATTGGAGCCCTGAAAGATGCTGGGCCGTTGCTGGAGGATGGACTCCTGGCTCCGGACGGAGGGCGACGGTGAGCGGACGTAGCCGTGGCTGCCTCCTTTCCCCGGCTGCTCGGCGCCTTAGGAAGAGAAACCAAATGCACAGGTACAGTATAGGGGATACCTGCCTCAATAGTAGTAACTGTGAGAAAGATCTCAGAGTCCTAGTAGACCAGTGGTTCTCAACCTTTTTAATGCCGCGACCCCCAACCGGTCGTAAGTCGAGGACTACTCAACCGGTCGTAAGTCGAGGACTACTCCACTGGTGCAGCACCGTTTGCAGAATGGACTTTTGGCTGTCTCAGCAGGGCAGAGACAGCCTGGACAATTCCTATTGGCTTTTGAAAGCCAATAGAATTAGACTCTATTCAAGAGAGTCTATTCTATTGGCTTTCAAAAGCCAATAGAATAAAAGGGAATAGCACAGCTAAGGAAAAGGGGGAAAAAAATGGCGGACTGCGTTATTTGGCGACCCCCGTGAAATGGTCGTTCGGCCCCAAATGGGTTCCCGACCCACAGGTTGAGAACCACTGTAGTAGACAATCACCTAAATATGAGCCAGCCATGTGCTGCAGCTGCCAAAAAGGCCAACACAGTGCTGGGCTGCATTAACAGAGGGATAGAATCAAGATCACGTCAAGTATTAACACCACTTTACAAGGCCTTGGTACGGCCACACTTGGAATATGGCATCCGGTTTTGATCACCACAATGTAAAAAAGATGCTGAGACTCTAGAAAGAGTGCAGAGAAGAGCAACAAAGATGATTTTAGGGGATTGGAGGCTAAAGCATATAAGGAACGGCTGCTGGAATTGGGGATGTCCAGTTTAATGAAGAGAAGGACGAGGGGGGACATGATAGCAGTCTTCCAATATCTTCCCAAAGAAGAGGGAGTCAAGCTGTTCTCCAAAGCGCCTGAAGGCCAGACAAGAAGCAACGGATGGAAACTCATCAAGGAGAGAAGCAACCTGGAACTAAGGAGAAACTTCCTGACAGTTAGAACAATTAACCAGTGGAACAACCTGCCTCCAGAAGCGATGAATGCTCCAACACTGGAAGTTTTTAAGAAGAGACTGGACAGCCATTTGTCTGAAATGGTATAGGGTTTCCTGCCTGAGCAGGGGGTTGGACTTGATGACCTCCAAGGTCCCTTCCAACTTTATTATTATTATTATTAAACTGAGTCAACAGATGGACAACCAGGGCTCTGACAGTCACCCGTTGCTTTCCAAAGATGGCTGGAAGTCCTCAGCTTACAACCATTTCTTTTGGGACCGTTCCAAGTTACAATGGCACTCCAGAAAGAGACTTGAGACTAGGTCCTCGCACTTGTGACCGCTGCAACCTCCTCACGGTCACACGATCCAAATTGGGACGCTCGGATTTGCAAAACTTTTTGCGGCGTCCTGGGATCAAGGGATGACCTTTTGCTGCCCACAGAAAAAGCAGGAAGCCAGATTCCCATAATGACTACGTGATTCGTCTTAACGATGGCAATGATTTGCTTAACAACCGTGTCCAAAAAAAAGAAAGAAAAAGTTGGTAAAATCGGTCGCAATTTTATTTTTTTTTAGTATGGAATTTATTGGCTGCCCGTCGCGTTTGAAAGCGACTCTGGGAGGTTTCTAGCATACGAACAACCGTATTGCTTAGCAACGAAAATTCTGGTCCCGATTTGCGGTTGTTAAGCTGAGGACTACCTGTACGGTGGATTTTTTCCCCAGTGATCTGGTTCTTTCTGGGCGACTTGGACTACCATTCCCATCAGTCTGGGCAGAACGGTCCAAGGATTGGGGGACGATTCTGCCTACAGATTGTTTTCGGTTGTTGTCGAAAGTTGTCGAGAGGAATTATTGTGTCATTTGCAGGTTTGTGACTGTTGGGTTCGGCACAGTAACGGAAATGGGACAGGTATGGACTTCAACGGAATAGTTAGGACTGCACAAAACACACTCGCAACCAGCCTGCCTTCCATGGAGGACCTGAACACTGCACAAACCAGAAAGAAAATATCTAGAGCACAGGTCGGCAACCTGCGGCTCCGGAGCCGCATGCGGCTCTTTGAGCTTCCCCGGTGGCTCCCAGCCTCCTCTGCCTTTGCAGAGAGACAGAGACAGAGAGAGGCAATTGCGCTTCCCTGCTTCCTTCTCTCTCTCTCTCTCTCCCTCTGTGTGTGTGTGTGTGTGTGTGTGTGTGTGTGTGTTTGTGTGTGTTTGTGTGTGTGTGTGTATGTGTAAAAGAGAGTGCACTCACAGTATTCTCCGAGCAGCTGGAAAGCTTACTGGGCGGAGCTCCTCCCTTTGCTGCGTCTCTGCAGGAAGCAGGAAGCAGGAAGGGCAGGAGAGAGCTAGCTAGCCCAGCTAGGCTGACTCAGGAATTCTGGGAGTTGAAGTCCATGAGTCATAACAGAGACGAGGTTGCTTACCCTGAGCTTGTTGGACAACAGCTTGAAGCTTGCCAGGTGAGCAGCAGATAGGAGAGAGAGAGAGAGGGAGGGAGAGAGAGAGAGAGGAAAGAGAGAGAGAGAAAGAAAGAGCGTGGGGGAAGAGGAGTGGCAGGCAGACCAAGGGCAGATAGAGAGGGAGGGAGAGAGAGAGAGAGACAGAGAGAGAGAGAGACAGAGAGAGACCCTTTTGACATCTAAAATGAAGATAACACTGCATATATCCTTTTTTTACCTGTATGTATATGTGTATGTATGTGTATATATGTGTGTGTGTGTGTGTGTGTATACATACATATATATACACACACACATACATACACACACAAACACACACACACACACACCTATAATAAAGGTAAAAAAGGATATATGCAGTGTTATCTTCATTTTAGATATCAAAAGGATTTTGCGGCTCCCGGTGTTTCGTTTTTGGTGGGAAACGGGTCCAAGTGGCTCTTTGAGTGTTTTGGGTTGCCTACCCCTGGGCTAGAATCCTCACCATCCAGACGTAAAAATATTTCAACTTCTCCCCTCCGGAGGGCGCAACAGAGCATTGCACACCAAAACAACTAGACAGGAGGGCAGGTTTTTTTTCCCCCGCCGTGCCATCACTCTGCTGAACACCCAATTCACACAAAACTGTTCAACCATCTAGTAGGGCAGTATTACTCTTTATCTGCTCATCTTTCCTATTGTCTATTTCCTTAAGTTGTTGTTATAAATTTGTTGCTTGTATCTTAGGATTTATGCTTTTATTTAGTTATCTTATGACTATCAGTGAGTGTTGTGTCTTAGGATTTATGATGATTGTATTTTATGATTGTGCTCATGATTGATCACTTGTATGTACAGAGAGCTTCTGCACCAGAGACAAATTCCTTGTGTGTCCAAACACATACCTGGCCAATAAAGAATTCTATTCCATTCCATTCCATTCCTATTCTGTTCTGTTCTATTCTATTCTATTCCTGTTCTGTTCCGTTCCATTACAATTCCATTACAATTCCATTCCACTCCAATTCCTGTCCTATCTCATCCCATTTTCCATTATTTCCATTTCCATTATTCCCATTCTATTCTATTCTATTCTATTCTATTCTATTCTATTCTATTCTATTCTATTCTATTCTATTCTATTCTATTCTATTGGTATTCCTTGTTCTCCATTCCATTCCATTCCATTCCATATTCTGTTCTATTCTATTCCAATTTCAATTCCAATTCTAATTCTATTCTATTCCATCCTATTCTATTCTATTGGTATTCCTTGTTCTCCATTCCATTCCATATTCTGTTCTATTCTATTCCAATTTCAATTCCAATTCCAACTCTATTCTATTACCGTATATGCCGGCGTATTAGGCGACCCGGCGTATAAGACGACCCCCGAGTTTGATGCCGGGTCGCAAGACGATCGACGCCGAGTCGCATATAAGACGACTTTCTAGGCATGCGACTCGGCGTCGATCATCTTATACGCCGGAAATGACGTCATTTCCGGCGTATAAGATGATCGACACCGAGTCGCATGCCTAGAAAGTCATCTTATACGCCGGAAATAAACGTAGTTTATAACGTCATTTCCGGCGTATAAGATGACTTTCTAGGCATGCGACTTGGTGTCGATCATCTTATACGCCGGAAATGACGTCATTTCCGGCGTATAAGATGATCGACACCGAGTCGCATGCCTAGAACGTCATCTTATACGCCGGAAATAATAAATAAATAAATAAACGTTATGACTCGGCGTATAAGACGACCCCCGAGTTCAGAGGCTGTTTCATCGCTCTCAAAAGTCGTCTTATACGCCGGAATATACGGTATATTCTAATTCTATTCTATTCTATTCTATTCTATTCTATTCTATTGGTATTCCTTGTTCTCCATTCCATTCCATTCCATATTCTGTTCTATTCTATTCCAATTTCAATTCCAATTCCAACTATATTCTATTCTAATTCTATTCTATTCCATCCTATTCTATTCTATTGGTATTCCTTGTTCTCCATTCCATTCCTTTCCTTTCCATTCCATTCCATATTCTGTTCTATTCTATTCCAATTCCAATTCTATTCTATTATATTCTAATTCTATTCCATTAATTCTATTCTATTCTATTCTATTCTATTCTATTCTATTCTATTCTATTCTATTCTATTCTATTCTATTCTATTCTATTGGTATTCCTTGTTCTCCATTCCTTTCCATTCCATATTCTGTTCTATTCCAATTCCAATTCCAACTCTATTCTATTATATTCTAATTCTATTCCATTAATTCTATTCTATTGTATTCCATTCCACTGTATTCCATTCTATATTTAATTCCATTCCATTCTATTCTATTCCGTTCCATTCCATAGTCTATTCCGTTCTGTTCTAGGTGACAAGAGCCCAAAGAGGCAGCCGGAGCTTACCTGGGCGAAGGTAGAGGTCGGTGGGAGTGGATGAGATTCTCTCCCGCTCCCGTTCTCGTTCCTTCTCCCTCTCCCTCTCTGCACTGGCAACCACGGAGGCCGGCAGGTGAGACGGGTGCCCTGCGGATCAAAAGAGAAGAGACACGGGGCTTTTAGAGAAGCTTGACAGGTGGATTACCGGGAGTCCTCAACTTCATGACCACGACGTTTCTGTTGCCAAGCGAGACAGCTGTTAAACGAATTTCGCCTCATTTTACAACCTCGCTCACCGCAGTTGTGAAGTGAATCATGACAGTCGTTAAGTAAGTATCGCGGCTCTTAAATGAACACGGCTTCCCCCACTGAGTTTGCTTGGTCTGAAGGACGCAAAAGCGGGTCACGTAGCACCCCTGGGACTCTGCCACCGTCATAAATGTGAACCACTTGCCAGGCGTCCGAATTTTTATCACGTGACCAGGGGGAATGCTGTTAAGGGTCGCTAAGTGTGAAAAACTTAACCTGTGATTCATAAATCACTTTTTTCCCCAGGACGGTCGTATCTTTGAACAGTCACAGAGCGAACGATTGTGAAATCAAGGCAGGCCTGTACACCTTTTCAGGGTCTACTGCCTCTTCCAACGCTTGCTAAGTGATCCGTCGTAAGTCGAGGACCACCTGTGATACACACATAATTGGCAGCCAAGCTGAAATCAACAGAAAGTATCCTGAACATTAGATCCGGTGGTGAATTGTGATCAAGGGAATTGGGATGAATTAAAACTCGGAAATTGTAAATACTAAACGTTCAATTTAAATATTAAGGGGAATCTAAAAACTGGGAAAAACTCACCAGGACATCGATTTGTCTAAAAAGATTGAATGTTAAAACAACTAGGATAGGTGTAAACAAAAATTATCGATAAATGCAAGACAGTTATTTTTATTTAATCGATATAGTAAGAATTATATTAATTTAAACTGCAGCCAAGAAATTAAAAGACGCTTGCTCCTGGGGAGGAAAGCTATGGCAAATCTAGACAGCATACTAAAAAATAGAGAAATCACCCTGTCAACAAAAGTGCATATAGTCTAGGCCATGGTTTTCCCAGTTGCAATGTATGGCTGTGAAAGCTGGATTGTAAGAAAGGCTGAGCGCCAAAGAATGGAGGCCTTTGAACTCTGGTGCTGGAGAAGACTCCTGCGAGTCCCTTGGACTGCAAGGCGATCCAGCCAGTCAGTCCTGGAGGAGATCAACCCCGACTGCTCTTTAGAAGGCCAGATCCTGAAGCTGAAACTCAAATACTTTGGCCACCTAATGAGAAGGAAGGACTCCCTGGAGAAGAGCCTGATGCTAGGAAAGATGGAGGGCAAGAGAAGAAGGGGATGACAGAGAATGAGATGGCTGGATGGAGTCACTGAAGCAGGAGGGGTGAGCTTAAATGGACTCCAGAAGATGGTAGAGGACAGGAAGGCCTGGAGGAACGTTGTCCATGGGGTTGCGATAGGTCGGACACGACTTCGCAACTAACAACAACAACAAAACGTGAGACAGGAAATACCAAGGGGAAAAGAGAGGAAACAGTTAATGTAATACTTTGAGATCTGTACTAAAGATATTTGTATGTTACTGAATTATGGACCAACTCAGCCGCCACGTTGCTTTTCAAATATTTAAATGTGAAATTAGAAAATCAATTAAAAAAAATTTCCAAAAAAAAAAAAAAAGAGAGAGTGAGAGAAAGCATTTCAGGTGTTCTGGGCAGATGCGCCCAGCTTTAGATCAGAAGCAGAAATGGGGGGGGGGGTGTCTGCCACCCCCCCCCGCCCTTCCAAACCCCCTCAGCAGCCTTGGACCTGAACTCGGCACGTCCATCATTCAGTGCCCCCCCTTCTTTCTGAGCCTTACCTGGAGACATGGAAGGTGGGTTGTAAGGCCTGGTGGGGAACGCCAGCTGAGTGCCCGGAATGTAGGTGATCCTCTCCATCGGGGGCGTACTCGGCCCTCCGGGGTGGGGCACTAAGATGGTGGGCGCCATGCTGTTCAGGTCGATGATTCCTTGTCGAAAGAGGGACAGAGAAAAGCCAACACGGATAAGACCGAAACAAAACAGATGTTATGGTTCCGGCTAATGAAACATTCCAAAGAACTTCCAGGCATTTATTTTCCTAAAAGTCTTTTATTGTTACAAAATGTCGGCACAACGGAGGGATGCTAGGATCTAAGTTCTCTTCCTCTGAGCAGTTAAATTATCAGCCTGTTCCCTCCCTAAATTAGCCTTCATATCTCACACTTTCCAATTAGTGTGAAGGTCAAAGGTTTTCTTCCTCTTTCTTTCCCGGGCTTTATCCCCACCCCCCCTTCTGCTCTGTATTAACCCCATAATTACCAGACAATTCTACATATTGTCAAAAGCAAGAATGTACAATATTTGCAGCATTGACAACAGACACATCAACCTACTACCGGCCTACGAAGCCCTCAGAATCCAAATCAACAGCCGACTGGAGACCACCCCGAGCCTCAGCCATCCCGCACAATCCCCCACTTTCCACTTCACTTTTCAATGACCCTGACTGTGTAGATTCTCAGTCGTCCAGTGTTGTCCCAAAGGTGCTTCTTTCAAGAGGCAACTAGACTTCCTTTGTTTTTCTTTGAAGACGTTTCGCTTCCCATCCCAGAAGCTTCTTCAGCTCTGACTGGGATGGTGGGGAATGGAAAGATTTATACTCCTTGCAGAGAGCCGGTCATTTGCCTCCTTTTAGAGCAGCGGTTCCCAACCTTTTCTATACCCCACGCCCCTAGGACGCTTCTGATATATTCTCGCAGCCCTCGAACCCTACAAAAGTTCGAAATAACGGCAATGAATTATGCATATACACTAGAATAGAATAGAATAGAATAGAATAGAATAGAATAGAATAGAATTCAAAATAGAATAGAATAGAATAAAATAGAACAGAACAAGGAATAGAATAGAATAATAGGAACGGAACAGAACAGAACAAGGAATAGAATTTCAAAATAGAATAGAATTCAAAATAGAATAGAATAGAATAAAACAGAACAGAACAAGGAATAAAATAGAATAATAGGAATGGAAAAGAACAGAACAAGGAATAGAATAGAATAGAATTCAAAATAGAATAGAATAGAATAAAATAGAACAAGGAATAGAATAGAATAATAGGAATGGAACAGAACAAGGAATAGAATAGAATAATAGGAACAGAACAGAACAGAACAGAACAAGGAATAGAACAGAATAGAATACAATAGAATTCAAAATAGAATAGAATAGAATAAAACAGAACAGAACAAGGAATAGAATGGAATAATAGGAATGGAACAGAACAGAACAAGGAACAGAACAGAACAGAATAGGAGAGAATAGAACAGAATATCGTCTTGTACCCCAGGGGGTACGAGCACCCCCGGTTGAGAACCCCTGTTTTAGAGAGTCTTTGAGGCTACCTTGAGGTTGACCTGTGTCCTCAGGGTCACCTGAGTGGTGCAAATGGGTATGGAGCCTTCTTGGAAGCGTGGAAAGGACTGTGTTGTAGACAGGAGATGGATGATGTCGTCTTGCAAGATTCGTTTTTCTCACTGTGCACATGTATACATAATCCGAACTAGGCTGCTGTTTCTCTGTATCATATAATATATGTGGGTATATGCATAATTCTGTATTTATTCATTTATTTTTGTCCTATTTATGTAGCGTATATCGGAGATGGTGACCCTTTGAGAGCTGCATGCAATGAAATTTCATTTTGTTGTTGTTGTTGTTGTTAATTGCGAAGTCGTGTCCGACCCATCGCGACCCCGTGGACAACATTCCTCCAGGCCTTTTTTTTTTGAAGAGTTGGAAGCAATTGTCGAGGTCACAAAGTCTCACCCCTATTCAGGGTGAGCTTCCAGATCGTCTGTTCTTCTAATGTTGTTGTTGTTAGTTGCGAAGTCGTGTCCGACCCATCGCGACCCCATGGACCACGTTCCTCCAGGCCTTCCTGTCCTCTACCGTCTTCTGGAGTCTGTTTAAGCTCACGCCTATTGCTTCAGTGACTCCATCCAGCCTCCTCCTTCTCTATCGTCCCCTTCTTCTCTTGCCCTCCATCTTTCCCAGCATCAGGCTCTTCTCCAGTGAGTCCTTCCTTCTCATTAGGTGGCCAAAGGCCTTGAGTTTCAACTTCAGGATCTGGCCTTCTAAAGAGCAGTCGGGGTTGATCTCCTCCAGGACTGACCGGTTGGATCGCCTTGCAGTCCAGGGGACTCGCAGGAGTCTTCTCCAGCACCAGAGTTCAAAGGCCTCCATTCTTTGGCGCTCAGCCTTTCTTATGGTCCAACTTTCACAGCCATCCATTGCAACTGGGCAAACCATGGCCTGGACTATACGCACTTTTGTTGACAGGGTGATGGCAGGTCATTTTAACGTATGCCAGTTGGCGCACTTTCAAAGTGACAATATTCTATTCTATTCTATCCCTCCCCCTCTGTTGGTCGTCTCTGTCCCAAATGTGGATTTTGCTGTCTTCGAAAGAGCGGCCTTTTGTCTTTCAAATGCAGATGGACGGCTGACTCTTGTCCTGATGGGTTTGTTCTCCTATGTTGTGTCAGGCATTTGTGAAGGGGTTCTTTTGTTTCCCCGATGTACAGATCTGCACAAGGCTCATTGCATCGTACGGCATATACCACGTTGCTCAGTTTGCGTCTGGGTGTTTTATCCTTGGGGTGGACAAGCTTCTGCCTTAGTGCGTTCTTGGGTTGGAAGTATGCACGTATGTTGTGTTGGCCCTCACTTGATGGAATCTCCCCATCACAAGAGCCCTCACCAGCCTCTCACCTGACCTCTCACAAGACCCTCCCTTGACACACCCACACCTGAAGCCCTTAAAAACAGACGAACAACGGCACTGACATCCCCTACGCCTGTGATGGCGAACCTTTTAGACCAGTGGTTCTCAACCTGTGGGTCCGGACCCCATTTGGGGTCGAACGACCATTTCACGGGGGTCGCCAAACAACGCAGTCCGCCATTTTTTCCCCCCTTTTCCTTAGCTGTGCTACTCCCTTTTATTCTATTGGCTTTTGAAAGCCAATAGAATAGACTCTCTTGAATAGAGTCTAATTCTATTGGCATTCAAAAGCCAATAGGAATTGTCCAGGCTGTCTCTGCCCTGCTGAGTCTGCCAAAAGTCCCAGTCTGCAAATGGTGCTGCACCAGTTGAGTAGTCCTCGACTTACGACCGGTTGGGGGGGGGGTCGTGGCATTAAAAAGGTTGAGAACCACTGTTCTAGATTAACCTGATTTGAGCCAAAGAACCCTACCTCGGGCACCGGCGTAGGGAAGAGCCAAGGTCTGCTCCCGTGGGGACAGTCCTCGTGCAATGTCCGGCCGCAAGTTGACCTGCATCTGCTGGGAGGTGATGTAGTCGTTGAGGATGGTCTGCCGCGTGTTCTCCATGGCGTAAAGCTGGTATTGGCTGGGGTAGCCGGTGGTGGGCGAGAGCTGCCGCTGGAACATGTAGGCGGTCGCTGGGAGTCGGAAGAGAAAAAGGCATCGGATGGGGAGAAGGAAAAAACAGGCAAGATATAATCAGAGCAGAGCTGGAAGGGACCTTGGAGGTCTTCTAGTCCAACCCCGTGCTCAAGCACTCCAGTCTCTTCTTAAAAACGTCCAGTGTGGGAGCATTCACAACTTTTGGTGGCAAGCTGTTCCACTGGTTAACTGTTCTCACTGTGAGGAAGTTTCTCCTTAATTCCGGGTTGGAGAATAGGTTGATCCCCCCTCTCCTTGTTTAATGTCCAGTTCAGCGGTGGCGAACCTATGGCACGCGTGCCAGAGGCGGCACTCGGAGCCCTCTCTGTGGGCACGCGCGCCGTCACCCCAGCCCCGCCTCCCATGATGGCCCCCTCCTCACCAGCAGCCCCCCTGGAGGAGAGTCGCCTCTGAGTGCGGCCCGCATGGAGCAGTGCAGCCAAGGACATGGCAGCTGGGACAAGACTCCGCCCTCGCGCCCCGTTGCCTGCAGATCAGTGGTTCTCAACCTGGGGGTCGGGACCCCATTTGGGGTCGAATGACCATTTCACCGGGGTCACCAAAGCATGCCGTCCGCCACTTTTTTCCCTTTTCCCTAGCTGTCCTACTCCCTCTTATTGGTGGCCACACCCACTTGGGGGTCACCACAACATGGGGAACTGTATTATGGGGTCACGGCATTAGAAAGGTTGAGAACCACTGCTGCAGATGATGCTGTGGGGCGCGAGCGGAGGGCGTGGCTTCCATGGTGGGCCGTGGAGGCGATGGGTGGCCCTGTGGGCGGGCGGGGTGGGGGCAGAACAGGCAGGGAGCAGGTGGGGCCGTTTTTTGGGCACTCGGTCCCTAAAAGGTTTGCCATCACCGAACTAGAAGGACGAGGGGAGACATGATACTGGCCTCCCAATATTTGAGGGGCTGCCCCAAAGAATAGGGGGGAAGTGAAACTATTTCTCCAAAGCGCCTGAAGGCAGGACAAGAAGCAACGGATGGAAACTCATCAAGGAAAGAAGCAACCTGGAACTAAGGAGAAACTTCCTGACAGAGAGCATCATTAACCAGTTGAATGGCTTGCATTCAGAAGTTGAGGGTTCCTCATCACTGGAGGTTTGTATGAAGAGACTGCACAACTACTTGTCTGAAATGATATAAGGTCGCCCGCCGGAGCAGGGGGTTGGACTAGAGGACCTCCAAGGTCCCTTCCAATTCAGTTATTCTATTCTACTCTACGCTGCTCTACTCTACTCTATTCTATTCTGCATTCTATTCTTTTTCATTTTCAATTCTCTTTTATTTTCTATTCTATTCCATTCCATTCTGCATTCTATTCTATTCTAGTCTAGTCTATTCTGCATTCTTTTCCATTTTCAATTCTATTCCATTTTCTATTCTATTCTATTCTATTCCATTTTCAATTCTCTTTTCTATTCTATTCTATTCTATTCTATTCTATTCCATTCCATTCTGCATTCTACTCTATTCTATTCCATTCCATTCCATTTTCTATTCTATTCTATTCTATTCCATTTTCAATTCTATTTTATTTTCTATTCTATTCTATTCCATTCCATTCCATTCCATTCTGCATTCTATTCTATTCCATTCCATTTTCTATTCTATTCTATTCTATTCCATTTTCAATTCTATTTTCTATTCTATTCTATTCTATTCTATTCTATTCTATTCTATTCTATTCTATTCTATTCTATTCTATTCTATTCTATTCCATTCTGCATGCTATTCTATTCTATTCTATTCTATTCTATTCTATTCTATTCTATTCTATTCCATTCCATTTTAAACCGTCAAATGGAGCTAAACTCACTTAACGATTGCCTCACTTAGCAACCCAAATTTGGGGCTCAATTGTGCTCTTAACTGGAGGACTACCTATTATATAGAAAAGCTAATAATAATAATAATAGTAGTAGTAGTAGTAGTAATAGTAATAATAATAGTAATAGTAATAATAATTGTACTTACCGGGATCCAAGGCTCTGTGGAACTGTATGGTGGGGTCCAGGTGAGGAGAAAGATGGCTCCTGTAGACCTCGGAGGCAGCCCCTCGGTGGTGGGGGTCGAAGGGGCTGTGCGTGACCACCGGGTCGACCCCCGGGACCGGAGATTTGGCTGGGACGCTCTCCCTTTGCGTTGGCGTCAAGGTGGACTTCCTCTCGTGATTCATAGGCTTCGCCGAGGAAAGGGTGCCTGTGAAGGAAACCCGGATTCGGCTTAAGAGTCGGCTTAACGGTTGTGGGAACACAAAGCTGCCCCACTTTGGCCAGCTGCGACGCTAAGGTGGACCCCTGAGCACGGGTCGGTTGGTTTGAAAAGTGGAAATGCACAAGACGGCCAATGGCAGAGGAAGACCCGGTGGGCCATTGAGGACGGCTTTTCGGATTTCTCCTTGTTGGTGTTGTTTTTAATCCGTTGGCTTGTCTGTTGTTTTTTAATTAGCATTTGTTATGTTTTGTCTTCTTTTTATTGTATTTTTTTTAACTGTATTTTTTTGTTTTGCACATTTTGTTGTTTGGTAAGACCTGTGTGTGCGTGTGTGTGTATCTATATATCTATATATGCAGGTCTTGGCGTATTCGGGTCTTTTCCCGTGTAAGATTGAGAGTGTCTGGGCGACGTTTCAACGAGGTTCCACTCGTCATCTTCAGGCTGGGGTCTTCAGCTTCGTGCTTGTGCGAGCAAAGTGTGATCGGAGCAGCCGTCTCTCTATAAATATTGGTGGGGGTGTGTGGAGTGCTGGCTTAGTTGCTGTAGGTGGGTTGGTTGGCTGTGTTGGAGTTATTGTTTGCGGATTGTTTGGCTGTTTTGTAACCCGAATACGCCACGACCTGCATGCCTGTACCCATGAAAATCTACGAAAATAAATATCTATATATATATCTACATATTCAAAAACTAAAACACAGATCACTGAGACTAAAAATTTATTTTAAAACGTAGCTTTCGTCAGCGTCTGCTGACGTCGCCAGAGTTCTAGCCACGATTGAGAATCACGTTCTTATAGTCTTTGTGACACCAAGCATTTGGCTAACGATCATGTTACCGCCCCTCCCCCCTGTAGTTAATTGCTGTGTTGACAGATGTTTAAATTTAGGCACCCTGCTCCTCTCCTGCCTAAATTTAAACAGCCGTCAACGGGAAAACAACACAGCAATTAACTACAGGGGGGAGGGAGCTGAATAGACCAGTAACACTGGTCTTTAGCCAAACGCTTGGCGTCACAAAGACTATAAGAACGTGATTCTCAATCCTGGCTAGAACTCTGGCGATGTCAGCAGACGCTGACGAAAGCTACGTTTTTAAATAAATTTTTAATCTCAGTGATCTGTGTACTTTTAGTTTTTGAATATGAATATACCTGAGACTCGTATCTTCAAAACCATTTTAGATATCTATATATCTATCCCAAACATGTTTAATCTCAGTTACTGATGGATCCTCTGGAAGTTGGATCCGTGAAGTCAGACTTCCCTGTTGTCAGTTTTGTTATGCCCCGCCCATCTTTCTCTTTATTTCTTTCTTTCTTTCTTTCTTTCTTTCTTTCTTTCTTTCTTTTTCTTTCTTTCTTTTTCTTCCTCCTTCCTTGTTTCCTTCCTTCCTTTCCTTCTTTCCTTCCTTCCTGTTTTCTTTCTTTTTTTCTTTTTCTTCCCTTCCTCCCTCTTCTTTTTCTTTCTTTCTTTTTCTCCTTCCTTCCTTGTTTCCTTCCTTTCTCCTTCCTTCTTTCCTTCCTTCCTGTTTTCTTTCTTTCTTTCTTTCTTTCTCTTTCTTTCTTTCTTTCTTTCTTTTTCTTTCTCCTTGTTTCCTTCCTTCCTTTCCTCTTTTCCTTCCTTCCTGTTTTCTTTCTTTCTTTTGTTCTTTCTTTTTCCTTCCTCCCTCCCTTTCTTTTTCTCCTTCCTTGTTCCCTTCCTTCCTGTTTTCTTTCTTTCTTTCTTTCTTTCTTTCTTTCTTTCTTTCTTTCTTTCTTTCTTTCTTTCTTTCTTTCTTTCTTTCCCTCCCTCCGTCCCTCTTCTCATCTTTTCCCCTTTCCTTCCATAACTTTCTATCTCCTCCCTCCCCCTTCCTTTTCCTCCCTTCCTTTGTCCTTCCCTTCCCTTCTACTTTCTAGGTCCTCCCTTCCCCCTTCCTTCTAATTTTTTTCTTTTCTTTCCTTCCCTTCCTCTATCTCCTCCCTCCCTCCCTCCCTTCTCATCTTTTCCCCTTTTCTTTCCTTCCATTCCTTTTTCTATGTCCTCCCTCCCCTTTCCGTCTCCTTTTTTCTCCTTTTCCTTCCTTCTCTCCCTTCCTTTCTCCTCCCTCCCCTTTCGTTCTGGTCTTTCCCTTCCTTTCCTCCTTATTTCCATATCCTCCCTCCTTCCCTTCTCCTTCCTTCTCATCTTTTCCCCTTTTCCTTCCTTCCTCTGTCTGTCCTCCCTCCCTCCTCCTTTTAATAATAATAATAATAATAATAATAATAATAATAATAATAATAATAATAATAATAATAATAACCCCCAGTGAGGCACTACCTTGACGTGGTTGTGGGGCTTGTGTACTCTGAGGAAGATGAGAGCTATGCTAGAGGTTCAACCATACTGGACAGGTCTCATCAGAGGAGTCAGACAAAGAGTGTCTCTCCCATAAAAAATATGGTGAGACGTAAATTTCAGAATGCCATACCGGCTCGGACGTCGCCCGGGTTAACAAGGTCCGCACTAGATATTGGAGTTCCTGGATATCTGGTGAAAAATGGGTTACAGGACTCAGGACTGTTGGCTGAGCAACCAGGGCCAGCAGCTGCAGAACTACTGGAAGAAAAGGTGTTTACCCGTCGCAGATACACAGTGATGGAAAACAAAGAAATAATGATCTGTTACTACAGATCAAGTCCAACAAGAAGAGGATATCTAAAACGAATGCACCAGTTCTGGAAAGAACAACATCCAGAATCAGAAATAACAGAACAGAGACTAGCAGATCAACGCCGATTTATAACACGAAATAAAGTATTCACAGAAACAGAATTGGACGAACTGCAAAGGTTTACCCAGGGCAAAGAAATCAAAGCCTTACCAGAAGTAATTCAGAATGTAGAGGCAAACCAGGGGGAGTTGGCAGTGAAGGAATCTAGCAGAGATATACAACTGTTCTCATTTGGAAACCAGGCACCTCTACCTCAGGAAGAACAAAACCCTCTAACTAAAGAAATAAAAGAATTGAAACAAAGAATAACTGAGCATCTAGAACAGCACAAAAACAACAGAATAAGGCTACCTGCATTGAAGCTTGTTCCAAAGAAACAGCTAGCACAAGCATTAAAAGATGCAAATACTGCAATAGCAAGTATAAGCACCAATTCACTGCAAGAAACAAACCAACTAATGTACAGCACAGCTGCAGTTATAACAGAATACCTGGGATGCAAAATCAACAAAGAAGAAAAACAAACAAACAGTGCACCAGAAAAATGGAAGGTTAGACTAGAAAATAAGATCAGCAAGTTAAGATCACATGCAAGCAAGCTAGAACAGATGAAAGAAAAGAAGCTGAAGAACAAGAAGACCAAAGAATACCTAATCAAGAAATACCACTTAGAAACAAGGAAGATCAAGGAAGCACTGGAAATAATAAAGCAACAAATAACAGCTATAGCCAGGAAAATCAGTAGATATGAAGCTCGAATTGCAAACTATAGGCAGAACCTCCAATTTCAATCCAATCAGAAACGTTTCTACCAATCCATCAATGGAGAAACTGCAAGAATCAGTCAGTACCTGACAAGGAAGAAACAGTGCAGTTCTGGAAGCAGATATGGGATAACCCAAAGAAATACAACAAGGATGCGGCTTGGTTAAAAGAGGTGGATGCAAATAAAACAGAAGTTGAAATGAAAGAACTAGTAATAACAACAAAAATGGTAGAAAAAAGAGCAAAGAAAATCAAAAATTGGTCAGCACCAGGTGAAGATGAACTGCATGGGTTTTGGTTGAAACATCTAACTGTTATACACCCACTCATTGCCAAACAGTTCAACAATATACTACAAGGAGGAGAAATTGAAAAGTGGCTAACAACTGGGAAAACCTACCTAATAATGAAAAATCCAGCAAAAGGGGCAACACCAGGTAACTACAGGCCAATTACCTGCTTACCAACAACTTTCAAATTACTAACTGGTGTAGTAGCTGATGCAGTGCAACAGCATCTAGTTGAAAACAATCTCTTTCCACCTGAGCAGAAAGGAAACCGCCCCAATAGCAGAGGAACAAAAGATCAACTCCTAATAGACAAAATGATCTTGGAAAACTGCAAGAGAAGGAAGACCAACCTGAATGTGGCATGGATTGACTACAAAAAGGCATTTGACTCTCTGCCACATGATTGGATAATAAAGTGCCTAGAAATAACAGGAGTCAGTAGAAACATCAGAAAATTTGTGCAAAGATCGATGGCACAATGGAAGACACAGTTGCAGATCAATGGTGAGAAGCTGGGAGAGGTTAATATCAAGAGAGGAATATTTCAAGGAGATTCATTATCACCATTACTATTTGTTATTGCACTGTTTCCTCTGTCAACAATACTGAATAACTCAGGACATGGCTATCAAACATCAAAAACATCTGCCAGACTATCCCACCTCCTTTACATGGATGATCTGAAGCTGTATGGAAAAACATCATCTGAAATAGAATCGCTGCTCAACACTGTCCGTATATATAGCCAAGATATTGTAATGGAGTTTGGCTTGGACAAATGTGCCACACTTACTATCAAACAAGGAAAAATAGTGAAAACTGAAGGAATCAAGATGCCCCACGAAAATAACATTAAGAGTCTGGATGAGGAAGAGTACTACAAATACTTGGGTATCCTTCAAGCTGACAACATCAAGCACACTGAAGTCAAGAAAAAGATTAGAGGTGAATACATCAAGAGAGTGAAGAAGATCTTAAAATCCAAACTCAATGGAGGAAATACCATAAAGGCAATCAACACCTGGGCAATCCCAGTCATTAGGTACACAGCTGGAATAGTGGACTGGACTCAAGCAGAACTAAAAGCAATGGATAGGCAGACCAGAAAAATAATGACAATGAATCATGCCCTTCATCCACGCAGTGACATTGATAGACTTTATCTACCAAGGCAAATAGGTGGGCGTGGAATGCTACAAGTACATCAGATGGTTGAAGAAGAAAAAATGGCTTTGGAAGAATATCTGAAGAACAATGATGAAGATGCACTGAAATTAGTATATCAGGAAGGCTTACTAACTACTGGAGAGACCAAACTGGCCTACAAGAAAGACCAAATGAAGAACAGAATAGAGGCATGGGAAGACAAAGCACTACATGGCCAATACATGAAAAAAATAGCTGGGAAAGCAGATAATAATAAAACCTGGCAATGGCTAAGAGCAGGAAAATTGAAGAAAGAGACCGAGGGACTAATTCTGGCTGCACAAGACCAAGCCTTAAGGACAAATGCATACAAAGTCAAAATTGAGAAGACAGCAACAGACAGTAAGTGCCGCCTATGCAAAGAAGCTGAAGAAACAGTGGACCACTTGGTAAGCTGTTGCAAGAAGATTGCACAGACTGATTACAAGCAGCGGCATGACAAAGTAGCAACAATGGTGCATTGGAAGATCTGCAAAAAATATCATTTGCTGTAAGCAAAAACTGGTGGGATCATAAAATAGAGAAAGTCATAGAAAATGATAAAATTAAACTGCTCTGGGACTTCAGAATTCAAACAGACAAGCACCTGCAACATAACACCCCAGACTTAACAATTGTCGATAAGAAAGACAAAAAAGTCTGGATAGTGGATGTGGCAGTGCCTGGAGATAGCAGAATAGAAGAGAAAGAACTGGAGAAGATAACAAAATACAAAGACCTACAAATAGAAATAGAAAGACTGTGGCAAAAGCAAGCAAGGGTAGTACCAATAGTCATAGGCTCCTTGGGTGCAATCCCAAAACAACTGGAGCACCACTTGAACACCATTGGCATTGACAAATTCGCTATTAGTCAATTGCAAAAGGCGGCCTTACTAGGAACTGCTTCCATCCTGCGACGATATCTGTAATACCATCAAACATCCACATCTGCCTATCCCAGGTCCTGGGTAAGGACTCGATAGGTAGACAAAATGCCAAATCCAGTCTGAACATCTGGCTGACTGTGCGATGATCGATAATAATAATAGTAATAATAATAATAACAAAGTTGGAAGGGAGCTTGGAGGTCATCCAGTCCAACCCCCTGCTCAGGCAGGAAACCCTACACCATTTCGGACAAATGGCTGTCCAGTCTCTTCTCAAAAACCTCCAGTGTTGGAGCGTTCACCGCTTCTGGAGGCAGGTTGTTCCACTGGTTAATTGTTCTCACTGTTAGGAAGTTTCTCCTTAGTTCCAGGTTGCTTCTCTCCTTAATGAGTTTCCATCCGTTGCTTCTTGTCCTGCCTTCAGGCACTGTGGAGAATAGCTTGACTCCCTCTTCTTTGGGGCAGCCCCTGAGATACTGGAACGCTGCTATCCTGTCCCCCCTCGTCCTTCTCTTCATTAAACTAGACATCCCCAATTCCAGCAGCCTTTCCTTGTTTATTTTAGCCACCAGTCCCCTGATCATCTTTGCTGCTCTTCTCTGCACCCTTTCTGGAGCCTCAGCATCTTTTTTACATCGTGGTGACCAAAACTGGATGCCGTATTCCAAGTGTGGCCTTACCAAGGCCTTGTAAAGCGGTATTAACACTTCGCGTGATCTTGATTCTCTCCCTCTGTTAATGCAGCCTAGCACTATGTTGGCTTTTCTGGCAGCTGCAGCACACGGCTGGCTCCTGTTTAAGTGATTGCCCACGAGGACTCCGAAATCCCTATCACAATTACTATGTCCTCCCTCCCTCCCTTCTCCTTCCTTCTCCTTTTTTCCCCTTTTTCTTCTTTCCCTTCCTCTTTCTGTGCCCTCCCTCCTTCCTTCCCTCCCTTCCTTCTGGAAATTGCTTGACGACTCCAGGATTCAGTAACACTAATGGCAGCAATTTGTTTAACAACTGTCACCCAAAGGTGGTTAAAACCGAGAGCGACTCCCTTAACAAATATCTTGCTTAGCAATTGGAAGCGCGCTAAACAAACATTTGTAAGCCGAGGAGCACCTGTACAGCAATACCACAGGAGGAAGCCATTAGTACCCATGCTGAAATACTAAAAAAAAAAATACAAATATAACCAATTAAAGTCTTTCTGAGTTCCAGAGACTCAGAACGGGTAGATGGTTAGTAGATTGCCTGCTCAATTGATCCATTTTTTTTCTCCCTCGTCCCGCTGACCATTAACGGAAGCCGCAAAGCCTCCGAGGCTGCCTACCTTCGCCGCGGTTCATCATGGGTGAACTTCTGGACAGGCTTTGATAGCCCACTGGGGTCCTCCTGGCGTTGGGATCCTCGTAGATCCCGGGACTGACTTGGGACTTGGGAGCCTCGTGGAGCGTGGACCGCAGGACGGAGGGCCCCGAGCTGACCACCGAGGTGTGGCGAGAGCGCATCTCTCCAGCCTTGGGGTCTTCGTGCTTCCCGCGTTCCACCACCTTCACGTTCTCGGGGACCATCTCCATGGGCGGGAGGCCTCGCGAGAGTTTGCTGGGCCCGGTGATCAGGGACTTGACGTTGTGCTTGATAGCCGACTGGCAGGAGCTGCTCTCATACTTGATGGGCGTCCCCTGGAGAAGAGAGGAGAGGAGAATGGGGGCAAATAGCGGAGAAACCTAGCATGGTCTTGGAATGGCGGTTAAATCAACCTCTGCCTGCATCTTGGAGGTGGGGTCAGATGGCCCATCAACCAATAACAGGATATGGATTGTTTTATGAAGATGGAATGTAATTAAGATACGTATAAGCTAAAAATTTACAGATAAATGCAATAATGATGTTTTTAACTGAGCTGATATAATAAGAACTGTACTAGCTTGAATACAAGACAGTAAGTGATAAGGGGAAAAAGAGAAGAAATATCTGAAATTGTAACCTGAGATTTGCACTAAAGATTTTGTTATCGAACTGTTGATTAACCCAGTCACCACGTTGCTTTTTAAATACTGAAATGTAAAACTGGGAAATTAATAAAATGTTATTAAAAAGAGTTACTTTTTTCACTTCCGTTGTAACTTTGAATGGTTATTAAACGATCTGTTGTAATATAAGGACTATCTACATTAGAAGAGTATACTAAAAAGCAGAGATGTCACCCTGCCAACAAAAGTATGTACAATCAAGGCCATGGTTTTCCCATTGCAATGTATGGCTGTGAAAGTTGGACCATAAGAAAGGCCGAGCACCAAAGACTGGAGGCCTTTGAACTCTGGTACTGGAGAAGACTCCTGCGAGTCCCCTGGACTGCAAGGCGATCTAACCGGTCAGTCCTGGAGGAGATCAACCCCAACTGCTCTTTAGAAGGCCAGATCCTGAAGTGGAAACTCAAGTCCTTTGGCCACCTAAGGAGAAGGAAGGACTCACTGGAGAAGGGCCTGATGCTGGGAAAGATGGAGGGCAAGAGAAGAAGGGGACGACAGAGAATGAGGGGGCTGGATGGAGTCCCTGAAGCAGGAGGCGTGAGCTTCAATGGACTCCAGAAGACGGTAGAGGACAGGAAGGCCTGGAGGAACGTGGTCCATGGGGTCGCGATGGGTCGGACACGACTTCGCAACTAACAACAACAACATTAGAAGAACAGACGATCTGGAAGCTCACCCTGAATAGGGGTGAGACTTTGTGACCTCGACAATTGCTTCCAACTCTTCAAAAAAAAAAAAAAAAAAGGGACTGTAGGATTTGAGCTTTTTTCCCAACTGCGGCCTCCAGGTTTTTGCTCACCTGGGAGATGGATCCTTCGATGATGGGGCGGACGTGAGGGACGAGATCGGGAGACTTCTGGCTTTCCTGATTCAACAGGTCCTGCCGGGGGATTTCGTGGACCGAGCGCCCCATCTCCTTGATGGTGGTGACCGCGTCGTAGGGCTTCCCCTTGGTGATGGCTCCCTCAAAGGTCCTCATGGGGGGAGACTCCCTCTTGATCTTGGGGTACTTGAGCCCGATTTCGTAGCTCTCAGCGGTCGATCGCGGGGTGCCTTGGGTGGGAGAGAGAGGATCGCAGGATTGGGATTGGGATAGAATAGAACAGAATACAAAATAGAATAGAAAATAGAATGTAGAATGGAATAGAAAATAGAATAGAATAGAATAGAATAGAATGGAAGGGAAGGGAATAATGGAAGAATGGAATAGAATAGAATAGAATGGAATGGAATACAAAATAGAATAGAATGTAGAAAAGAATGTAGAATATAGAATGGAATAGAAAATAGAATAGAATGGAATAGAATATAGAATATAGAATAGAACAGAATAGAATAGAGCAACAAACATGATTAGGAGACTGGAGGCTAAACCATATAAATGTCTAGTCCAGGGGTAGCCAACCTTGGCTCTTTGATGACTCGTGGACTTCAACTCCCAGAATTCCTGAGCCAGCATGGGGAAACTTTGGCCCCTTCATGACTTGTGGCCTTCAACTCCCAGAATTCCTGAGCCAGCATGGCTCAGCTTGGAAACCTCTCCCTTTCCCCTCAGCATGGCTGGCTCAGGAATTCTGGGAGTTGAAGTCCACCAGTCATAAAAGAGCCAAGGTTGCCTACCCCTGGTCTAGTCTAATGAAGAGAAGGACGAGGGAGGGGGGGACATAATAGCAGTGATCCAATATTTGAGGGGATGCCACAGAGAAGAGGGGGGGGTCAACCTATTCTGCAAAGCACCTGAAGGCAGGACAGGAAGCAACAGATGGAAATTGATCAAGGGAAGAAGCAACCTGGAACTAAGGAGGGATTTCCTGAGAGAGAGAACAATTAACCAGTGGAACAACCTGCCTCCAGAAGCAGTGAATGCTCCAACACTGGAAGTTTTTAAGAAGAGACTGGACAGCCATTTGTCCGAAATGGGATAGGGTTTCCTGCCTGAGTGGGGGGGGGGGAGGGTTGGACTTGATGACAAGGTCCCTTCCAACTTTATTATTATTATGAACAACCTGCCTCCAGAAGCGGTGAATGCTCCAACACTGGAAGTCTTTAAGAAGAGACTGGACAGCCATTTGCCTGAAATGGTATAGGGTTTCCTGCCTGAGTGGGGGGGGGGAGGGTTGGACTTGATGACAAGGTCCCTTCCAACTCTATCATCATCATCATCATCATCATCATCATCATCATCATCATCACCACCACATAGCTGCAAGAGACCTTGGAGGTCATCTAGTCCAACCTCCTGCTCAGGCAGGCAACCCTGTACCATTTCAGACAAATGGCTGTCCAGTCTCTTCTTAAAAACCTCGAGTGATGGAGCACCCACAGGCTTCTGGAGGCAAGCTGTTAGGAGAGAAGAGATGGGGGGAGGGAAAGGGGGGAGAGAAGAGAAGGGAGTGGAACATTGGTCTTTTTCTTACCTTGCATTATGGAGCCCGCCAACACAGTCCTCTCCTTCATGTCGGAGTGGGGACTGCCTTGAGGCACAGCCCGGCAGATTAAGCCTAAAAGACAGAAGTGCCATTACTAAAAACAGCATCTCCCTGTTTCAACTGTACCTCCGACGATATTTGGTGAATTTCAACACATTTCCGAGGAAGCCAATAGCGATACATTTACATCCTAGAAACATTCTTTGAAGCTTCATTTTGTCCAGGAACCACACAGCGTTTGTACCTCGGTGTGGCCATGTACACACTGGGTCTGCTAAGACAAATTAAAATGTAACAGAATATACCCCAACGGTGCTGTTTCACAACTGATTTATTTTATTTATGTTGACATATTTATGTAGTGCGATGATGGCGAACCTTTTAGAGACCGAGTGCCCAAACTGCAACCCAAAACCCACTTACGCATCGTCGGGTGCCGGGCGGGGGTGGCCCATTGGGTGGGGGTGGCCCACTGGGTGGGCGTGGCTGCGGTGATAACGGCAGACTGGGTGGGACTAAAAAGTTCAGTCAATCAATTCTAACTTTGCAAGATCTTTTTTTTCCCCCGCAAGAAGTTGAAATTGACTGATTGATTGAACCTTTTTTTTTTTTTTTTTTGCACACGGGGGCGGAGGCCTAAAGCGAAAAGGTTTTATAAAACCTAGCTGAACGCCTAGGACTGGGGCGATGGCACGCGTGCCCACAGAGAGGGCTCTGAGTGCTGCCTCTGGCACCCGGGCCATAGGTTCGCCATCACTGATGTAGTGTATATTGGAGGTGGTGACCCTTTGAGCTCAATGCAATGAAATTTCATTTTAATGTATGCTAATTAGTGTACATTCACAGTGACAATAAAGTTGTTATTATTCCATTCCATTCCATTTTCCATTCCATTCCAGGGAGGGGGGGGCAACAGATGGAAAAACTCATCAAGGAGAGAACCAACTTGGAATTAAGGAGAAATTTCCCTACAATGAGAACAATTAACCCCTGGAACAGCTTGCCACCAGAAGTTGTGAATGCTTCATTGCTGGACGTTCTTAAGAAGAGACTGGACAGTCTGAAATGATATATAGAGTGTCCCTTCCAGCTGATTCTGATTTTCACGCAGGACACCCTACACCAGTGGTTCTCAACCTTTTTAAGGCCGCGACCCCCAACCGGTCGTAAGTTGAGGACTACTCAACCGGTCGTAAGTCGAGGACTACTCAACTGGTGCAGCACCGTTTGCAGAATGGGACTTTTGGCGGGCTCAGCAGGGTAGAGACAGCCTGGACAATTCCTATTGGCTTTTGAAAGCCAATAGAATTGGACTCTATTCAAGAGAGTCTATTCTATTGGCTTTCAAAAGCCAATAGAATAAAAGGGAGTAGCACAGCTAAGGAAAAGGGGGGGGAAAATGGCGGACTGCGTTGTTTGGCGACCCCCGTGAAATGATCGTTTGACCCCAAATGGGGTCCTGACCCACAGGTGGAGAACCACTGTCCTACACTATTTCAGAGGCTACCTCTTCTTGAAAACCTGAAGGAGCACCCGCAACCTCTGGTGGCAAGGAGTTCCACTGGTTAATTGTTCTGACTGTCAGGAAGTTTCTCCTTAGTTCCAGGTTGCTTCTCTCCTGGATGAGTTTCCACCCGTTGCTTCTTGTCTGGCCTTCAGGCGCTTTGGAGAACAGCTTGACTCCCTCTTCTTTGGGGCAGCCCCTGAGATATTGGAACACGGCTATCCTGTCCCCCCTTTGTCCTTCTCTTCATTAGACTAGACAGACCCAATTCTTGCAAACAAAGAGGAATTTGCTAGCCAAGCTTACCTTCTAAAGGCGTGGGAGATTCTCTCATTGACATTGCCTGCTTGATGTTTCCTTCCATGGCTTCATAGGTCCGTTTGAGGCCCATGTCGTGAGCGGTCCTTGGGCTCCGCGTTCCTTCCCGGACATTCTTGATGGCTGTTGAGAAGGAGAGAGAGAGAGAGAAAGAGAAAGAAAGAGAAAGAAAGAGAGAGAGAAAGAGAAAGAGAGAAAAAGAGAAAGAAAAAGAGAAAGAGAGAGAGAGAAAGAAAGAGAGAGAAAGAGAGAGAAAAAGAGACAAAGAGAAAGAGAAAGAGAAAGAGAGAAAAAGAAAGAGAAAGAGAGAAAGAGAGAGAGAGAAAGAGAAAGAGAGAAAAAGAGAAAGAAAAAGAGAAAGAAAGAAAGAGAAAGAGAGAGAAAAAGACACAAAGAGAAAGAAAGAGAAAGAGAGAAAGAGAGAGAGAGAAAGAGAAAGAGAGAAAAAGAAAGAGAAAGAGAGAGAAAGAGAAAAAAAGAGAGAGAAAGAGAGAAAAAGAAAGAGAAAGAGAGAGAAAGAGAAAAAAAGAGAGAGAAAGAGAAAGAGAGAGAGAAAGAGAAAGAGAGAAAAAGAGAAAGAAAAAGAGAAAGAAAGAAAGAGAAAGAGAGAGAGAAAAAGACACAAAGAGAAAGAAAGAGAAAGAGAGAAAGAGAGAGAGAGAAAGAGAAAGAGAGAAAA